TTGCAGGAAATCGGTACGCTCCTCTGGCCAGTAACAATGCTGACCAAGAGCATGGACATCCAGACACGTTATATCTCTCCGAAATGAAAACTCGTGGTGCACCATCACTTCGGATCGAGACGGAACTCATAGGCAAGAATCGAAAGGCTGCTACACAGGCTCTGGTCGACAGCGGAGCAACAGGCATATTCATGCATCCCAACTTTGTGGAAAAGCATGGAATCAGGACGAGTAGGACTCCCCACCCCATCCCAGTCAATACGGTCCAAAACACGGAATTCAAAGGAGGACCAATCACGAGGTTCGCAGAACTCAAACTACAAGTTCTAGGCGAACAAGGGGGAGCACACATCGAGTCGGCAAGATTCTACATCGCCGAAATCGGAAAAGAGGACGTCATTCTAGGAACCGACTGGTTATTGGAACACAACCCAGAGGTCGACTGGCACGCGTATGGACTACACTTCACTAGGTGCCCACCGACATGCGACATCATAGGAGGACCAGTCAAGGCAAAAAGGGCCTTTAGGAAACCAGGACGTCAAGAACCAGGAGTACGGCGCATGGTGACAGTACCGCGAGAGCGCGACTACTCAATCCCATTGCAGAAGCCAGGGAAAGGACAGCTAGGTCGGAAAGTGGGAAACACCACAGTACCACATCCGCGGATATTGCCTAAAATCCGGGGGTCGCAACCCAAAGGCACGAACAGGGAGTACTCGCTCAGGACCCAAGCCAGAAATTACACGGCGCCGACATGGGCAGAAGAGGAGCCCCAAGAAGGTGGTGGACCGCTATCGGCTCTACCTTCCACGGATCTAGACGAAGATGGAGTATACCTCGTCAGGTATCTGGAGACAGGGCAACTAGAAGCCCTGGAGTTATACAACGACCACGAGGAAGGATACGACATCCATCGCGTGGAAACCTCCATCGCCAATACACCGGCACGCAAGGCGGAGCCTGCCAAGGCAGCGATAGGCAAGCAAACGAAACACACCAATTCACAGAAATTGGCAGAAGAGGCCTCGAAAGGGAAACCTGAATTATCCTTCGAGGAAATCGTACCCAAAGAATACTGGAGTTATAGGAAGGTTTTCGAAGGTCGAAAACCTGGGAAACTACCTCCCAAACGACCATGGGACCACAAGATCGAACTCAAGGACGACATGGAACACTCGCTCAGGCCGAAACTTTACAGCCTCAGTCCCATGGAGCAAGAGGAACTCAAGAAATTCATCGACAACAGTCTCAAGAAGGGATTCATCAGAGAATCCAAGTCGCACATGGCATCCCCGTTCTTCTTTATCAAGAAGAAAAATGGAAAGCTACGGCCGGTAATGGACTACCGGAAGCTTAACGAAATAACGATCAAGAACAAGTATCCTCTCCCGATCATTCAAGAGTTACTGGATCTCTTGACAGAGGCGGAATACTTCTCGCTGGTGGACATCGACACTGGATACAACAACATCCTCATCGACGAAAAGGATGTCCACAAGGCAGCGTTCGTAACGAATCTAGGGATGTACGAACCTCTGGTTATGTACTTTGGCCTCACCAACTCGCCGGCAACGTTCCAAACTATGATGAACTCGCTTTTCAAGGACCTCATCTATGCAGGACGAGTGGCCATCTACATGGACGACATCTTGGTATTCTCAAAGACTATGGACGAACACATCAAGACGATGAAACAGGTTTTACAGATATTGCAGGATAACGACTTGTACCTGCAACCCTCGAAATGTCATTTTCACAAAACGAAAATTGACTATCTCGGGTACGTCATCTCTCATGGACATCTAGAAATGGACCCAATCAAGGTGGCCGGTATCATGGACTGGCCCACACCGACCAAAGTCAAGGAGGTCCAATCGTTTTTGGGATTCTGCAACTTCTATCGCAGATTCATCAAGGATTACTCGAAAATAGCTAGGCCGCTATTCGAGTTGACACAGAAGGAGCGCAGTTGGGACTGGACGACGGCATGCGAGGAGGCATTCCAAGCACTCAAGAAGATATTCATCTCGTCTCCAGTACTCATCATGCCGGAAACCAGGAACCCATTCCGCATCGAATGCGGTGCATCCGACTTCGCTACCGGAGCAGTATTATCCCAAGTCGCCCCAGATGGGAAATGGCACCCATGCGCATACATTTCCAAGTCGCTCTCACCCACCGAACGCAACTACCCGATCTACGACAAAGAGTTGCTAGCGGTCGTTCGAGCTTTTGAAGCTTGGCGACATTACTTGGAGGGCACTGAGACTCCGGTAGACGTCTGGACGGACCACAAGAACCTCGAATGGTTCCGATCAAGTCAAAAGTTGAACCGTCGGCAAGCAAGATGGTCGCTATTCCTCTCGCGTTTCGACTACAAGTTAACGCACAAGGCGGGGACGACCAATAAATCCGACGGTCTGTCACGGCGTCCAGACCATAAAGAGGGGGTGGAATTTGACAATTCAGGCGAAACGCTCTTGGAACCCAAGCTTTTCGATCAAACACCGGAAAAGAGCAGAAGACCTTTCGCAGACGTCAATGCAATCACCACAGAGGACGAACTGGACCCCCACGAGATATGGCACATCAGAGCCACAGGACGAGGAGGCGTCACAATCATTGACGAAGACCTCAAGAATCGAATCACAGCAGCAAACCAGAAGGACAAGTGGCTACTCGAAACCTTAGCCAAGATCCAGGAGCTAGGCCCAAGAAGCATGAAGAAAGGCCTACAGGAATGGAACGAAGAAGACGGACTCGTCCTACACAGAGGAAAAATCTATGTTCCTCAGGACGAACAACTACGCAGAGACATCATCAAGTTGAACCACGATAATCTAGCAGCAGGACACCCAGGACAAAGAGGAACACTAGCAGCAGTAGGGCAAGAATTCACCTGGCCCGGAATATCGAACACAATCCACCAATACATGGAAGGATGCGCAACCTGCCAATCTACCAAGAACGACACGCATCCGATGATGGTTCCTCTCCAGCCAACGGAGATTCCAGACCGACCGTTTGGAACGATTACCATGGATTTCATCACGGATCTTCCCCAGTCAAACGGATTCGACTCACTCCACGTGGTAACAGACAGATTCACGAAGACGGCCGTCATCACACCATGTCTAAAGAACATTGACTCAGACGGGACGGCCCAACTATTATTGGAGCACACGTGGAGAAGATACGGACTACCCGACAAGATCATATCGGATAGAGGACCCCAATTCGCGTCGAAAGTGGCACAAGCACTACTCAAGGAACTAGGGGTTAAATCGGCGCTCAGCACAGCATATCACCCACAAACCGATGGCGCCACGGAACGAATGAACCAGGAACTGGAGCAATATCTTAGGGCATTTTGCAACTCGTCACAGGACGACTGGGCCGACCTCATTCCCTATGCAGAATACGCCCACAACGTACACCAGCACTCAGCCACGAAGAAGTCACCATTCGAACTTCTACACGGATACCAACCAAGGGCGTATCCGGCGATTATAGGAAACACGAATGTCCCCACCGCCGACGCGCGACTTGAAGCTCTGCAACGTGCTAGGAAGGAAGCACAAGCCAGCCTCGAAATCGCAGCCGAAGCCATGAGGATACAGCACGACCGTTTTGGAACGGAGTTACCGCCTTTCAAGAAAGGAGACCAAGTATGGTTAGATGGGAAGAACATCCACACAGACCACCCATCGGAGAAACTAAGACCCAAACGATTTGGGCCGTTCGAGATTATCGACACTATCGGCACAGTCAATTTCAAGCTGAAGCTGCCGAACAACTGGCAGCGCATTCACGACGTCTTCCATGCTAGTCGACTTACGCCCTACAAAGAGAACGCAACACATGGACCCAACTACCCCAAACCGGCACCAGATCTGATCGAGGGGCAAGAAGAATTCGAAGTCGAGAAGGTCGTCGGAGCTCGACGCTTCGGGAGATGGAAGACCCTCCAGTACCTGATCAAATGGAAGGGCTATCCGGAATCGGATAACTCTTGGGAATCAGCGGATCACGTCACCAACGCCAAGGAGGCCGTCGCGGAGTTCTATAAACGACACCCTTCAGCACCCAAAGGAAGGGAAGCATCGATCCGAGTATTGAAGGCCGACCTGGAAGACAACCGAGAAGCTGAGGAAGATCAGGTCAGGAAACAACTCGAGAAAACCCCTAGCGGCAGGAAACTACTCGCCACAAAGGACGCTCGCCAAATCCTACAAGAGCGAGAAGATCAACGAGAAGAAGATCGAATCACGAAGGCGCTGTTGGACCTGCCAGGAAGAAGGCTTCTAGACGAAGGATACACCATTCGACAAATTCAGCTAAAGGCACGAGAGCTGAATCGACAATTCAAGGACGACGAGTACAAACTCGAAGGGCGCCGCATCGGGAAATCATACCTCGACAAGGGGACCACTCCAGCCAAGCTCAAAGAAAACGCAGCCGCCCAGCTAAAGGACGTAAAAGATGCCGGCAACAGGAGGAGAGCCCAAGGCCTCCAAATCCCGGAGACGCTTTACTCGGCAAAGTTCAAGACATTGGGAATTCTGGAAATAGCGACAGAACACGCCGAGAAGGACGCCAAATTAAAGAAGCCATCAGCACCTCCGCAGTCGAGAAGGACGGGATCAGCGGACCGACAAGAAGCGCCCAGGAAGGAACTCGATCGAGGATCCTCTAGGACTTACGCTACAAGCGAACGATCAAGCAACCTTAATCGGGAACGATCGGACCCACGCGTCAGGAGTCAGAAGGCAACCACGGACACTTCTCCAAGCAAGACCTACTCGGAACGGTCTTGGACGAAGCCACAGCGCAAACCCTCAGACAGCGCAAATTGGCGCGCCCAGGCATATCAAGAGCTGCAAAGGCAGACGAATCGCGGTTTGGCATGGCCGAACAAACGACGGTGATTCAAGCAGGAACCACCACCACGGACACGACCCGAAACACGATCCTCGCCAGGACCACTGTCGCTACGCCTACTCAAGCCTCGACCACACCACCGTCCTTACTCGCTCAAACAGGAAGGAAAGGAATCTATAAAAGAACGCTTGTCGAGACCCAAATCTCTCCCCAACTTCCCCACCAAACCTTTCCTCTACCTGGATATGTCTTCCTCTACACTCCTCCCTCTCCTCAACGGCACCACCCATCTGTCTCCACTTGCCCTCCCAATGCCGGAGCCATTCTCCCATCTCCCCATGACCGACATTCATAACGCTCTCCCCTATCCCTACGCCGACCCATTCCCCGGAAACCGGCTCCCTCCCATCCCAGTCTTTGACGACGCAGGCCGACCCATTTCTAGACCCAGCAGCCCGCCATACGATCCGGAACAGGCAGCTAGGGAACACGAGGTCCATCATTCGACGCCCGTGTCCCCACCACGAACGGGATCGCCAACGGACTGGGTAAACCATGTCCGCGAAGCGGAAAGAGCAGGAGCTGCAACCCATCCACCTTCTCCACTAACCAACAACTGGTGGAATGGCGCCCGCGCTTCGGAACGAGTCTGGCCCCCTCTCCTCAACCCCTCACCCTCTCCTCCTCCTCTTATCCTGCCGCCACCTGCCACCGACACACGACTTTGCTGGGAGTGCGATCGCCCGGGACATCTCATCGCCAATTGTCCTATCACCCGTATCCGCCGTCGCTCTGACATCACAGCGCGTAACTTCATACGCGACTACGAAGCCTACGGCGAAGTAGTCGAGCTCCTGTCGACGCAGCTGGAACATGTCGCGGAAAACTATGGGTACTACTGGCACATTCGAGACCGGATGATCGACGACGCCAACTGGGAGGGACACCCGACACGTCATGCCCCTGTCATGGACCCACGCACTTTCATGGCTCTCCCCATCCGCGGTCCTGATGTCGTCACGAGCCAACGACGAGTGTAAAAAGGGGGGTAGTGTTAGGACCGTGTCCTAACACGTGCTTGGCACGTGGACAACTGGGAAGGTCAGGTGTTTCCCTGGACTCGAACCATTGACGATTAGGACTGTGACTTGACACGCGTCTAGGCACGTGACTCAGGACATGGTCATGAGCTACGCACATGACTCGGACTCGGACTGTTTATCATTCACATGCTAACGCATGAACGCTTTCGTCTCAGTTTCGGATTGATTACTATTCACATGCTAACGCATGAACGCTTACGATACTATGCTTTCCCCCTTTTGTTCTGATGACTGATGTCGATCGTGATCGGTTCCTCTTCTATTGTGCTTACTGATTGGATCACGATCGGTTCCTTATTTCTGATTGATGCGAACAGACATTTGATATACTTACTATACATGGCTACATCCAAGAGCCGCGGAGTACGAACGATGACTGCGGCTTACCGATGTCGATCGTTGATAGTACTTAGTGTTTCGAAGCACGGACCATATGTCCGTCCCGCCCTAAATAGTCCTGTACTATATATAGGGGAGCTGAGCTTCCTAGAAGCCTCAGCTCGTTCACTTTGTATACATCTTGATCTCAGCACTGCGCCCGGCGTCTGGCTGCCTTCCCAGCTCATGCTTCGCGATCTCTGTCAGATCTAAAGAACCATACTCAGTCTGACGACGCACTGGACTCGTCTCACAGCTCTTATCACCCTCTACCGCCTGCAACGTATCAAGGACTCGCTGCCTATCGAGTCATCCGTTGGGACCCCTCCGAAGTCATCTGTTGTATCGGAGAAGACTTGTTCGTACCAGACGAACATCGTCACGTGATCAACCAGCATCTCCTCAGACTCTTCGAGGAGAAGATCAATACAGACCAACCCTTCTTGGAACAAGCCCAACGACGAGCAGTCGTATTCATTCGGTGGGCCGTCACTATCAGCTTCAGCCCAGGGAACCCCTCTTAGTGCATCACGTGCACTCGACTAAGCCTAGCCGGCTTAACAGCTGCCACAAGAGGCTCTGAAGACCTCAGTATCTTGGCCTTGCACACAGGATCATTGAAGTTGTCATCATTAGCCAATGCTTGCTACTGGTCATTATAGGACACAACATGTGGGTTGGGCTTAGGGATGTGCTACATGTAGCCTTGCAGACCTTGTTTATTAGTACGGTGGTTAATACTGTCTTGTGCAGCACATAATCATCACCACTATTGATATTACAATTCTTAGTGCCATCTACACTGTCCACTGCCTTATTATATAGAAGATACTCAAACTTAGTGTTTTTCTCTAGCTATTGGGCTATAAAAAAGATAGTCATGTTGGTATATAGTGCAAGAACGATATATTTGCCTGCTATGTAGGAAATATGTGCACTAAGCATATCAAGATCATCTTAAACAATCTTATGCTTATTTATATATAGGCATGCCATATATATACCCTTGTCCCCACCCTCCACCTCACTAGTGGCCATTTGGAAAACCCCTCTCTCTTATTGGATCTTAATTATTGATAATTATTAATAACAATAATTTGAGCTAATTATGGCTAATTATTCATAATCATGTTTTTGATCAAATTTGCAAATTAAGGTAGTATTGTCTATACTAGTAGAGTCTTATTGAATATTATACTCAATCATAGTTTTACACATTCTAAATCCAAATTGTATAAGTGCCATAATTTGTTTTTACCCTATATAAAGTGTATTATCAATTTTCCATTGGTTTATTATCTTCTTAGTGGTGTTTAAACTAAATCCTAAAAGACCTGACTTTTTATGTGTTTATTGACCTATTTATTTATAAGAGAGAGGAAAGATAAATGTTGTATAAAATCAGAGATGTTGAGGTTGCCTATATTATGTCTACTTATTTAGATTACCAAGTTTATATGTTAGACCTTGTGGCTTAGTGGCTTAGAGCATCTGTCCTGGGTGCTTGTATATATGAGGTTGTTGTTTCAACTCTGGCAAAAGGCAAGTTTGTTATAAGGTATATTCTGTATTTAGGTATTTAACTAGTGCTCTGATAGACATGACTCTATAAGAAGGCTATGAGAACTATGATGCTTGATTTATTATTATTATTTGGAAATTTCAAGTTATAATCAATTCTAATAATTCCTAATTTAAGAAAATTATGTCTAATTAGAACAGGTTTAGAGGGGGGGTAAGCTAAAAATGTCTAATCCTAATCTTTTATAATTTAGTATAGTAGGGCATCAATTATACCTAATTAGAGCTTAATATAAGGGGGTGGTTTTCCAGATGGTGACACTACCTTCTCATGAATCATATATAGACACTCCATGGATAACTTTGTGGCATACTAAAATTATTAATAAGACAATCATAGCTATAATTATATTACAAATGCCAAGTTAATGGTTTTAAAAAAGACAAGACTAGTGATCTGCAGCATGACAATAAACTATGGGGCTACCAAAAAGACTAAATACATATGCACACAAATATTTTGGACCACAGCTAGTCTCTAGAGGGATGAGCTTAATTGTCTTTGCTCATTCAACATAGGAATATAGTAAACAAACTATCTGAAAGTTGAGAAGTAGAAATACACCTATAAGATAAATATGCCATATAAAATCAAGCTTAGAAATAGTCCAATAAGAGTGGGCCCCTATCCATAGGTGGCTATATAAAGTGAGTAAAATTGGGAAGAGAATCTAAGGGATATATATAGTATTAAACCCATCAGGGAAAAGCTCTATATTAGATTAACCATAGTTAAGCATAAATATAGCTATATTTTACCAATTACCATTAAGGATTTTTAGCTAACCCCCCTCTAATCCTGAAATTATAAGATCTAATTAGAGCCAATTGAAGCTAATTTATTATATGGATTTTCGGAAAAATATCAACTGGGATGTATAAAATTATAATTAGGTTATAGATTTCAATGGGACTGTAATAATATGGACAATGTCCCCTTAATTGCAAATTTGGTTATAAAGTTGATTATAGATAATATATTCTAATTAGCATAGATTAGTATTTTGAATAATTGGATCTAGTTAAATAGGATATTTTTCCAGATATATGTATAAATAGCTAAGATAAGCTTCTGAGAAGCTTAGCTCATTCACTTTATATATACTTGATCTCTGCACTATACCCAGTGTCTAGCTACCTTTCCAGCTTATGCATTGTGAACTTTACCAGATCCAAAGTATTTTACTAAGTCTAACAAAGCACTGGACTCATTTTAAAGCCTCACTTACTCTCATTATGCTACTATCTATCATAGGCTTGCAGCCTATCAAATCTTGTCTAAAAACCCATCAAAAGTTATCTATTGGATTGGAGAAGATGGCCCTGTCAACAACGAACATTATGCCATTAATAAGAAACATTTCCTATATCTCTTTGAAAATAAGATCAATCATAATGAATTCTTTCTCACTCAAGCATAGCAAAGAGCCATACTATTCATCTACTAGACTATTACTATTTAGATAGCCTAGGAACCCTTTCCACATGCCTACCAGTCACATAATAAACCTAATAGCATCTGGAAAAATGTCCTTTCTTAACTAGATCTAATTATTCAAAATACTAATCTATGCTAATTAGAATATATTATCTATAATCAACTTTATAACCAAATTTGCAATTAAGGGGACATTGTCCATATTATTACAGTCCCATTGAAATCTATAACCTAATTATAATTTTATATATCCCAAATCCAAATTATATAAGTGCTACAATTTTATTTTTACTATATTCTTTATTTTCTATTGGTTTACTATATTATTGTCTGGTGTCTAAATTCGAATATTAAAAACCCTGATTTTTAGGGTATTTATTGACTCTCTTATATATAGAATAGATAAAAGATGAATGTGTCAGAAAATCAGAAGTGTTGAGAGTGCCTTATTTATATCAATATATTTAGGTTACCAGGTAAATAGTTTAGACCTTGTGGCTTAGTGGTTTAGAGCACTGGGATGTGTAGGCATAAGGTTTTTAGTTCAATTCTGGTAATAGGTAAGTTTACTATAAGGTGTAACTTTAGTTTGATTAGTAAGCTCTATAGATGCTCTATGATTGGAGGTGTAGTAGTAGTAGAAAAACCATAGAACTGGGTTAGTTGATATTTTTCCGAAAATCCATATAATAAATTAGCTTTAATTAGCTCTAATTAGATCTTACAATTTCAGGATTTGAGGGGGGGTTAGCTAAAAATCCTTAATGGTAATTAGTAAATATAGCTATATTCATGCTTAACTATGGTTAATTTAATATGGAGCTTTTCCCTAATATATAAGCTATCTATACCATGAGCATTTATGCATAAGCATATTAATAAGCTTGCAGTCCTTTTCAGTGTGGGTCTACTTTATGAGCATACCACATAACTATCCCCCTTGGTCCCATATGAAGCATGTATTAGGATCACATTCTAACATACAGTCACCACAAAATTGGAAAGAGTACTCAGAGCACTAGTCATTGTGAGTCTCCAAGTAGTCAAGGTAGAATGTAGGGACAAGCTTGACACTAGTCAATATTAGTATGGTAGAGTCCTATGAAATTCTTATAGAAAACAGTGTCCCATGACTTGATAAGCATAGCGACTGAAGGCTATTATAGTGATGGACTTTGAATAACTTGGATAAGTACCTGCCCATCTAATTGGGATGGCCCCTCTAATGAATTTGGTGGTAACACAAAGAATCCCTAATAGATGCTTCATTCTTGTCTAATGCTCAGTCAGTAGGGCTGCCCTTGCCTCAAATCCTTTCAATGAGGAGATAATGACCAAATTCAGTGCAAAAGTCCCACAGGTCCATTTTGCCACTATAGATCACAGGTGTGAGGTCTCAAGAACAGTTCACCTGCTATCAGTAATCTTGGGTTAGAGTCCCATGTGCATGTAAGAACACACACTGGAGTCAGACATGAACGTGGTGCAGCGCTGTGCATTAGGTTACACACTAGTGAAGGGAGTTGACAAGAGGCACCGGAAATTGCCGCGGTACAACGGGCGCCGGCCTCCGGGCGACATGGAGAACTTCAACTGATTCTAAAGGTGTCCCTGGGTGTCCCTAGATGTCCATGTTTCTTCGGGCACTGCTGTTCCTTCCTGACGTGCCTGGTAATACGTAACGTAATGCTCGGACTTTACGCGCATCCGCAGTATGGAGGTCGCACGCTGGTCTCACTCCGATCTTCTCATGACCATCGTCATGGTTGATTCGATAAGACCTAGTCTCCGTGACTGACTCAACACCAGAAGATAGTTGTCTTGTGCATAGGATAAGACTTGCCTATCGCTGACGACAATCCCGACGGGCCATTGCGACTCGGGCGAGGGTCACTGTACAACGAAAGCCAATGCAACGCCCTCCTGTACCAGCATGATGTCGTGAAACTCGAATAACCCTCCCCATTCCTGAGCTCTTACCTTGCTACATGACGTTCTGGCAACATGCGTAGCGAATTCGTCGGGACGCGAATATCCAAATGTGGACTGAAAAAAGTACACTCACTTTCGACACTTGAGCCTGACCGAAGCTCACGAACGGGAGCTATAAATTACAACATGTCCATAAATCACAGTCGTGCGAATCGAAAACCATACCCAAGTACGTGTACATCGAAAATGGCGAGAAAAGAAATAATCAAAGCGTGACGGATTGTTTAGCATTGTCAGAGTTGCGGTAATAGCCTGACGTCGTGGTGTCCGCAGCGCGCTTGGCGTCGGCCGACGTATCGCGCAGCTCGTGAGATTCGATGTCTATGTATACCTGCAGCGATAGATGGACGGGTCAAGACGAGTAAATCGAAGCGCAAAGATTCGACGTACTTCAGGCCGAACAGATTGCGATGAGAAGACGACATTCGGCGGCTGTAAGGTCACAAGAAAAACGACTGTGAGAACGAGATCAAGCAATGTAAAGGTCAGGCTCGACCGACCCTTATCCTCTGTGGACCTCTCGTCGCGTCCTCGCTTCTCCCACTGGCATCTAGGGCCGATGTATATTTCCAGCCCTCGCGAGAGTTGAGACTCGAAAGTAGAGAATTTGAGTACAGCTTAGCGAGAGAGAGGTTGAAGATCACATGGCTGATTGCGGGGGTACACTATTGTCAGTGCAAATTCCACGTTCGATGAGCTAAAATCGCTTACTGGGCGGTCGACTGTCATGAGGGTGCAATGATGAGCTGACTGAGTGCGATGGCGAAAAGGGTGGGGACTCACGTCACCTAGGTAAACACCAAGGTCTATGATTGCCCACACTGATGTGATGACACCAGTTTGGACAGTAACTGTAACCGACCTCAAATCAGAACCGAAAGCAGAAGCCAATACGATCCGAAAGACACGCACGCCGAATGATCCTATTGATAGCATCATTTGTCGTAGAAAATGCGCTCCTGTTTTGCCTCTGGGAGGAACGGCTTCAGCTTCTTCAATGAATTCACAGGAAGAGTCGTACCAGATGAAAAACTAGGACGGCACTAATGAGCGTATCCGCGAGCGCGGAGCCAACCAGCCAGGTGATGACAACGGGTCTGAAAATCTGGGCCGCTGACACCGTGGGACTGGGGATAAGGATGGCGGCAACAAAGAAGATCGCCATAGCAGCAACTGGAAGAGAGGTCAGGCAATGAATAGCAATGCATGACGAGGATTGCTTACGAGACGAGACGACGGACAGAAAGGTGATCGCGACCATCATCCAACCCTGGCCCGTGAGGACCTTCACCCTCCAAGCGAAGAATGTCTGGACAGACATCGCGATGATGCCCTGAAAGGCGCTGAGTTAACTTCAACGTAGATGCTTAAGTGCGAAACGCCTACATTAGTGAGAGGACCTGTGAGTGCACCGTAAGAAACACGTTATCAAAAAAACGAACGAAGCGACTTGCCGATACCAAAAGCTGAAAAGATATCAAAATTCCTCAATACAGAGCTCTTCGAGCATCACAAGACTTAGTACATACCCCAATTTGAAACCGCCTGAGCAGGCATATCTCCTACACCGACTCATTAGAGACTGATCATTCTCTCAGGAAGGCAGAAGGCGGCGTACCAAAGTTGTTAACGAGCCTATCATAGCTATAATACATCGCAAACACCGAGTTGATGGTCTCAAAGAACACAAGACTGGCAATCTGTATTTTCATAAGAACGTGTGTGTTATCGGATGACCATCCGAATGAATGCGCACAAATATCTTAAACCATCGCTGATCTCTGAGATGCACGGTTCAGTATCAGGTGTCCGATGAGCATCAGTAAAGCGAGCCAACCGTTTGAACGTGGAGAAGTAGAAATGCGCCTGCGATATAAAGGTGCCGTATAAGATGAGGTTGAGAAACAGCCCTATGAGAGTGGGCCCTTGTCTGTGGAAAGCGAGTGGTCAATCAATCAGGAAGATCAGCGACGCGCCTGAAGACGTACACAGTCTGCGCGAAGTTTGGCAGGGCGTTGGGAGAGCTGGCCATGGTACAAGGGCGAAGGGCAGGAAATGGATTTGTCGCAGGGAAACCCAGCCTTAAGCCCTGAAACGTTGGGTTATATTGAAACAATGCAAACCCGGTGACTTGATGCGCCTGCATGGGGAGCCTACCTCAAGGTCGCCACACCAATTACAACGACAAGGGGCATGGAGAAGGTCGACCAGTAGACAGAGATTTTGGTATCTGATGCGAACTTTGACCTATGAATCATCTGATAGGCGCCGCACCTTCGCCGCACCTCCATCTGATGGCCCAGGAGGGGCTGGAACATAGGAGTTGATTCGGAACGCTGGTACAATAGACGCTGTCCCCTATTCAATTCACCAATGAAATTGAGCCCCAAGCCGTTGATCTCTTTGGGATCATCAGATCCTGTCGCGCGATAAGAATTAGCGTACCGTCAATGTGGAGTACAGCCTACCAGATCCACGATGACGTGAAGAGCGGACACGAGCTTTGGTACAACAGGTCCAGAGGCAAATTTTTCCCCGACTGAAACTTCTTCAGGGCCAACTCGACCACTCGCTCTGTGCCTTCAGCCCACATGCGGTATGTTTTGCTTCTCATCAGCTCTTTATAAGTTGGAATTCGGAAAGAAGGCTGTCGCTCGCACGCTGGATCGCCGATCATCCCGAAAAGATCCCAGCGTGTTCAAAACGACTTATGACTGCTCGCCAACTCGGAAGCGGAGCTCATAGTGGCTCCAGGTCGGAGGTGGAAGGAACAACACCAGTGTTGCCTTTAGGAGACTAGCTAGGCTATACTCGTGAGAACGACGCCGGATGTTGAACGAAGTACATAATCCCCTCGCCGACGACAGTCACTCACCTCTCCTACATACAATTCGACTACCCACTCAACCCACGACGAAGATTGATCCAACCCGAGTCCCGGACGTGACCTTGGAGAAATTCTACTCCGAATTGGCCGGGCTATGTCAAGACGGATCTGGCATGATGAAACATCTCCTGTATGGGGCTTGCACGTCGACGCGAACTGTAGGACAACGGAAACGGTGATGCCGGGCTGAGTGGAAGCAGTGTCGGGCCGTCAGTCGTCTGGTCATGACGCAAATGCACGCAAGTATGAAAACACCGCGGGCAAAGTCCGATGTGTTCAGCATGGAATCAACCGATAAAGGGTGATTACATGGCAAGCCTACCCAAAAAGGGAAAGTTGGCCGTATAATCACCATGTAATCACCATGTTCCACTACTTTCGAGCTGAACACACGGTACTTTGCCCGCTGTGAAAGAGGGTTGTGGCCTGTTGTGGCGTTCTGTGTGTACCAGCGACGTGATTAGAGGCCACCGCCGGGCGTGCTGTCTAACTCTCTCTGGCTCTCAGATCCCGATGACCCCAAGCCCTCATTATCAGCGATCTGTCAACCGTCGCTGGGCCGCGGGCGTGCCACGATGGTCGCGAATCGTGATGACTGCATGGCGCTCTCCTCTCCCCATATTTGTCTTTATCTTGTCTTGAAGCTGTGCAGTGTCAAGCAAGGACACCTCGAAGTTCTAAGCCCTGTATGTTTTATTCTGTCATTGCTACCGTGGTTACGTTCACACCTGTTCACAGCATCTTTTGCGCTGCCTTCGCTCTCGTATATGACACGCCAATACGTCCTGCTCGATGAACTTGCGTGTGTAAGACAGCTCTCACCACTTCTTACCCTTTCTAGCTGAGCTCCCAAGGAAGTTACACAGGCTGCGCAGCCCCAAAAGGAATTCTGGCTCTCAGTCGACTCCACACTTGTCAGAACGCGTCCTTTGCTCACGCTCGAAAGCACAGCTTAAGAAGATATGCGCACGCTGTAGATAGGCGAGTGCCTTTCCTAGGAAGGGCAGGTATCTTACCTTACCCAGGACTCGCGGACCGTGACTCACAAAGAACCAATAGCCCACATGTAAATCACACAGGCCTAGATCTCTGATAACGCCGTATCAGAATCTACACGACAGGCTGAGAGGCCAGAGTCCCTGCAGGACGCCATCGGCGAACGAGCTTTGGAAACGCTCTGCCAGATCAGCCGTGCCTGTGGGTGCCCCCGACCCGCGAGGCTCGTGCAGGGTCGTTCGACGACCGCAAGTATTAGTGAAGACACAGGGCCGCGAGCCCGCGCTGTTATGGAGCAGAGGGTGACCAACCTTGCCCAACCTCACAGCGTCTGATAAACGAAGACTCCGACTCGCGAGTCGTCCAGTCTGGCGAACGCGATCCACTCGAGCGCTCCCGCGTCGCCGTGCCCGATCGAGCGCTAGCGCAGGCGAGCACTCCCGAGCCTCCACCCTGACTTATGCCCGCCGGAACAAGTGACGGGAATGCTGCCGCCGGTCTCCGCTGGTGAGACTTCCGGTCAGTCCATAGCGTGATCGAGTGCACGCCCAGCCGCCGCTTCCGACATCCTAGAGAACTCCTAGAGACCGAGAGCGACAGAGCGACAGCTTCGTCCCCTGCGTTTGCGCGGTGATGCAGCGCGTGGCTCCCTCACTTAAGTTCGGAGTCGACGGAGCGTAGCCCCCTCGCGTATTGTCGACCGCCGCGTCTCGACCGCCGCACACACACTGTTGAGTGTGCAGCATGCGGTGTGCGACTCGCACCGCGGTTCAACGTTCAACGTTCAATGAGCGGTGTCGGCGTCTGTTCTGTCGATCGCCGCGGACGGCCATGGGGCGTGCGCTGATGAGGCATGGCGCAAAGCTGTCAGTGTCCGCCTCTTAGAACTCGTGGTGTAGCCCTGAGTGTCCGGGCGCAACGTGCTCAGCCTCGTTCTCGTTCTCTGAACGGACGCGTGTGTGGTAGTATGTACGCTGTGCAACTGCGAAACACAAAATGACAAGTTGACCCCGCGCGCGCGCTCGCTCGTCCAGAAAACCCCACCCGCCCCACCCCGCGGACGCCGGCGCGCGCTGAAGCCGTGCCGAGCGTGCGCATACAGAGTACAGAGCGGCCTCAACCAGCCTCCATCTGCCTTCGACCTGAGACGGCACAGGACGATCTCGTGCCCGTACAAAAGCGACACGAAAAGCAGCACGAAAAGCGGCACGAAAGCCGCGCCGCGCCGCACCAGCACAGACGATCCGAGGGGGGTTGGGAGGTGGAAGCGCATGACTCCCCGGAGTCGACCCGATCCGACACCCCATAGCACCCTATCTGCCCAGCGCTAACTTACTTACTTACTTACTGAGGATCACAGCCGCGGCGGGTCCTTGTCCTCCCGCGACTCCCGCCCGTCACGGCCACGGCCACGGCCCTCGCCTTCGCCGGGACCGTTGTCATTGTTGCCGTCGCCATCACCGCCGGGGCTGTCGGCGCCGTGGTCGTCATAGTCGTGGGCGCTTTTCCGCAGCGACATATCGCGCATCTCGTGCGACTCGATGTCGACGAAGGCCTGCTCGAGGCAGAGAGGAAGGAAGGAAAACAGAAAAAGGAGGGTGGGAGAAGGAGGAAGGAAGGGGGAGCGCGCATGCAGACGGATGGACAGACGGCTATCAGGACTCGTTGTGCACGCTCAAGCCAACTGGGAACGCGGCGCACCTCTGGGCGGCCGGCGGACGGCGCGAGCGACACGATGGTCTCGGGCGGCTATCACAAAAGCATGTTCGACATGAGCGATCAGCGAGCCAGCAAGCCAGCAAGCCTATCCACGGCCGATCAGCGCACTCACCCTCTCGAATTCGATCCGCGCGCCGCCGGAGCTGCTGCTCGCGCCGAGCGCGGATGTATATTTCCAGCCGTCGCGCGCGTTGAGGCTCGAGAGGAGCGAGTTGGAGTAGAGCTTGGCGAGCGCGAGGTTAAAGATGAGGTGGCTGCGGGTGAACAAGTGGACTGGTCAGAACGCTGTGATGGTGCGGAGAGGAGAGAGGGCGGCTTACTGTGCGGTTGGCTAGGGATGGAGTCGCGCCGGTCAGTCGGTCAGTCGGTCAGGCGCCAGCGAGAGGGTGAGTGACTGACGTCGCCTAGATAGACCGCCAAGTCTGCGATGGCCCATATCGAGGTGATCGCGCCCGTCTGCACGGTGACTGTGCGCGCTCATCAAGAACGAAATTAAGGAAGAAGGCGGGAGAGAGGGAATGGGGGCGACGCACGCCGGATGAGCTTGTTGACCACGTCGTCCGTGTCAGGAAATCCCGTCCTGTGTCTCCTCTACGACGGGACGCCACGACGAGGACGACGAGGACAAGGACGGCGACGATGCGGGCGTTCAGCTCATGCGATCACATGCGCTCGGGCAGGCGGATGGGCGGACTCACGAGGTAGGTGACGAGGACGCCGCTGATGAGGGTGTCCGCAGCGGCCGAGGCGACGAGCCATGTGATCACGACGGGACGGAAGATCTGCGCGGCGGACACGGTCGGGCTCGGGACGAGGATCGCGGCGACGAGGAAGATGGCGGTCGCGGCGACTGTGGCGGTTGCGTGCGAGGGACGTGAGCGATGCGACGCACAAGGGAAGGAGCGGAGCGAAGTAGGGCGGGCGGCGCACTCACGGCATGAGATCACAGAGAGGGAGACGATGCCGGCGACAATCCAGGTGCTGTGCGTGAGCACCTGTATCCGCCACGCGAAGAATGTCTGCACCGCGAGCGCGATGAGGCCCTGCAAGGCCGCGATTGGATTGGGTTGAATTCGCGGGAGCGCGGGTGGGGGCCAATAGGGCTTACTCACGTTCGTGAGAGGGCCTGGATCGATGTCGTCGTCAGAGGTCAGAGGTCAGAAGTCGAAGGGGGCCTAGCGGCGCAGGCGCACGACGCACGCACCGATTCCAAACGCTGCGAAGCGCACGATAAGGTCAGCCCGATCGCCGAAGAGCAGACGGCGAGAGGATGCTGACCCCAGTTCGAGACCGCCTGGGCCCCCATGTTTCCTGCGAATTTCATGTACGTGAGACCGCGGACGCGTCAGACGGGAAACGAAGACGCGCCGCGCACCGAAGTTGTTGACGAGCCGATCGTAGCTGTAGTACATCGCGAAGACGGAGTTGACGGTCTCCAGCAGGACAAGAGCCGCGACCTGTGCACGCGTGCATGTGCATGAGTGATAAGGCTGACAAACAGGAGAAGAGCACGACATTGCGTGCACGTACGAAGATTCTGAAGCGCTGGTGATCGCTGGAAGACGGGTATCCTTGAGCGATGCGCTGGCGTCAGATGGCGGGAGCAAAATATGAGACGCACCGCTTGTGCGTTGAGAAGTAGAACGAGGCCTGGACGAGGAAGGTGCCGAAGAGGATGAGGTTCAGGAAGGCGCCGATGAGCGTGGGGCCTTGGCTAGCACGCGGGGTGCAGTTCAAGGACCGGGAGCAACGGATGGATGGGCGACGGACGTACACGGTCTTCGCGAAGTTGGGCAGGTCTTGAGCGCGAGCCGACATGGCGTAGAACAAGAAGAGAGTTACGAGGGTAGAGAGATTTGTGTATGATGTCAAGGCGAGTGTTTTGACCAAGGCTCGGAGGGGGTATTATACGGACGCTGCGGATATGTGCGAGTCAATGGATTGAGGAGAGGAGAGACCAGGACGTCTATGCGGTTGACATCGTCCAGCGGGTACAAGGGCACCGAAATGAGCGAACTGTAACGACTCCGGGCGGTTCAACGACAAGACGACATCTGAGCGTCGATCCTGGCCGACACGCACGATCGGCGTTGGCGCATCCCCGTCAGCATGCGGAGTCCGGCTGAGTCCGGCTGAGCTCTGAAATTCACACTCAGTGGGTCGTGCAAGCCAAGGCCGCTGGATTCGGCTGATGCTCCGCAATGCCATATCGTCTCCAGTCTGGCACCGCACGTCCACGACCCGATGCATGGGTGCAGCTCCAAATCTCGCAAGACAGGGCGCAGAGCCCGGAGCAGTGAGTGGATCGTGTGCGACATTGTCCGCTGCTCTTGTCTGAACGCGATCAGATCTCACGACATGGGCAGAGACCTGTACCTTCGACTTGGCTATAGCGCTTACGGCCTCCGTCACGCGCCGTCACCCGATCAGGCTCCTCCACAAGGGCGCTGCCCGCTCCCATTCCCAGGCCCGTTTCTGACATATCACGGTGCGACATCAATTATCAATGCATCAGTACATCAGTCTCCTGTCAGTAGTTACAGAACCCAGTCGTGCGTTCCCACCGGCCACCTTCAGATCAACCGTCGTCCCTGCATCAGAATACAACCTCTATGCATCAGACGGCCTCCTGGCGAACGCAACTGCCATCGATGATCAATGATTACCTAGCGCTGAATGAAGCCGTCCATTCTCCCCAAGCCCACCATCATGGGCTACCTATCCGCACCCGGCGCTCGTTCGATACCATCTTGTGTCAGGTTCCAGATCGAACGGGGTCTGGCTGCTCCTCGATCCCAGTAATCTGACTCTCGCACCCTTCCATCGCTTCCACTGCATCATACCCGACCGCCTGAGCCCACATCAATCTACAAACACTAGTAAAGGCCGAGTCTCTATATCAGCACCTACCCTGTAGCCTTACACCGCATCCGCTCTGTCTCCCGCTACTCATCCACATCCACTCGCCAATCATGCCGTTTGTCAAAGCTGGTATGGGCTTTCCCAATATCACTTCATCCCCTTGCTCATGCAATCTACAGGAGACGTCGCGAACAAGAAATTTGATTATGTTATCGTCGGTGAGCATATTCCAGTAGATCGCTTAGCGATTGGGCATTGAAACAAGGTTATCTTCCTACAGGTGGAGGAGTAAGTTGAATCGATCGAGATCGGATACACAGGGAGAGGTACGATTGACTTGTTCTTAGACAGCGGGCCTTGTGCTCGCCACCAGGCTGTCCGAGGACCCCAACACATCTGTCCTCGTCATCGAAGCCGGCCCTGCCAACCTAGACGACAACCTGCTCCGTACGTACTGCCCTCCCCTTCTCCGTCCGCTCCCACCCTGCTCACTCGCACCCCGCGCGCGTCGCAGTCCGCCTCGCGTCCTTCGCCGCCCAGTTCGGCCAGGAGCAGTACGACTGGTTCTTCCGCACCGTGAGCTTCCTCATCCTTTACTCGTCCGCTCGCGTCCGATCTTGACCGTGACCGTGCAGGTTCCCCAAGAGAAAAGCGACGGGACGCAGTTCTTCTGGCCACGGTAAGTGTTTGCGCCCGCCCGCCCGCGGCAGCTTTTTCGTCTTCACCGCCGCAAGAGGGATCTGCTGACGCGGCGGCCGTTCGTCTGGGCAGCGGCCGCACGTTGGGCGGGAGCTCCGCGATCAACTTCTTCGCATACTGCAAGCCCCCCAAGCAGGAGATTGACGGCACGTCTCTCCCTTCTCCGTGCTCTTCACCTGAGCACCCGCGCTGACGCTCCGACGGCAATTGCCAGATTTCGAGAAACTGGGAAACCCCGGGTGGAACTGGGCCAACTTCCAAAAATACGCCGCCAAAGCTGAGGGGTGGGTCGTCTGTCTTTCTTAATGGGCGCTCCCGCGCGCGTCGCGGACTGATTGGACTTCTTTCCGTTTCTTTACAGGTTCATACGGCCCTCGGAGGCGCAGATCAAGGAACAGGGACTGGACCTCGCGACCTGGGAGCTTGGGACTGAGGGTGAGCGGACACACTCTCACGGGTGCAGTGGCTTCTGACGGGGCACTGATTGATCTGGACGTGCTAAGGCCCGATCAAGTTGATCGTCCCGCCTCGTGTTACCCCGGCCGATTTGCAGTCCGCACAGGTGAGTCGCTCCGGACGCTCGTCGGGCCGCGCGTCTTACGAGTGGGTACTTCCAGACGCTACAAGCGGCGGGGATCCCGCTCGCTCCGGCACCCGTGAGTCCGACCATGCCTTCTTTCCATAATGATGTCCTCGCTCATCCGGACGCTGTAGCTCAACGGCGACGTGAGTGTCTGCGCTCCGCGGTCCATCTGCAATCCCGTGCTGACGAACCCCACATCCCGCATAGCCGCGAGGATGGTACCCCTTCCCGATCACCGTCGACCCGAAGGGGTTCACGCGCTCGTACGCCACGACGGTGCGTCTGCATGTTCGGTTTTGATGATCGTCCCCACGTGCTGAACGCTGTGTGCAGGGCTACTATCTGCCCAACGCGGCGCGCCCGAACCTCTCGCTGCTCCTCGAGGCGACGGTCACGAAGGTGCTCACGGAAAGCGCGGGCACGGGCACGGCGCTGAGCGCCACCGGCGTGCAGTTCACGCTTAAGGGCGACACCGGCACCGTGCACGCCGTGCACGCCGGCAAGGAGGTCATCCTGTCCGCCGGGTACGTCGCCTTGTTCCTCTTCGCCTAGCCCGATAGAACGCCCCGACTGAGACGCGGATGGTGTTTTTTTGGTGTTGTTGGAAGCTCAATCAAGACGCCGCAGCTGCTCGAGCTGTCTGGGATCGGCAACAGGGAGATCCTCGAGAAGCACGGGATTACGGTCGCGCTGGACTTACCTGCCGTCGGTGAGAACATGCAGGAGCACAGCTTCGTCGCCACCTCCTTCCGTGCGTCCCTTTTGCTTCTCTCCTCGTATTGGTGGTGCTGCGCCTGACGACCGCGCACCAGAGTTCCGCGACGACCTTCCGTACGAGACGTTTGATGTCCTGCGCGATCCCACGCGCGCGGCCAAGGAGCTCGAGGCATAGTACGTCGCCGTCCCCTCCTCCTCCCTTCCGCTCCCATTTTGCTGATCCCCCACCAGCGCCAAGGGCGAGGGCTTCTTCACGACCGCGCACCTCGGCTTCGTCTTCGCGCCCCTCGAGTGGCTCTCCCCGCGCGGCAAGGCGCTGCACGACGCGCACAAAGAAAAGTACGCGGCCAAGCGCGACGCGTACCCCGTTGGCCTGCGCGAGCAGTACGATATCATGGTCGGCCGCCTGGACGGGCTCGCGCCCGGGTGCGAGCTGCTGCCGTTCGCGGGGTTCTCGTCGTTCCCGAGTGCGTGTTCGCGTCGCGTCGTGCTGTTTACTGTGTGCAACGGCGGGCTGACTCGTGCGTTGGTAATAGATCCGCCGGCGGAGGGTAAGAAGTACTTTTCGTACTACCTCTCGATGAACCACCAGTGGTCGCGGGGGTCCACCGTGAGCACTTCCTCGCCTGCATCATATCTAACCGGACACGCCCGCCGAGACGCCTTTTTTGCTTGTTTTGCAGCACATCGCCTCGGCAGACCCGCATGCGCAGCCTGCGATCGACCCGAAGTACTTTGACGAGGAGATCGGTGCGTGGTCTGGGACGAGCGATACGCCGCCGCGAGTGTGTTGACACTGATGCGGATGCGGCTCTGCGACAGACCTCGAGACGTTCGTGGAGACGATCAAGTTTGTGCGCTCGCTCCGGAACTTCTCGCCCTTCAAGGAGCTGCTCGGTGCGTCCCGCGCCGGCATCGACGTCGAGCTCAGACCCGCCTTTTTCTTATCGTCTTTTTCCCTCGCGCAGTCGACGAAGTCAACCCGGGGCCGAACGTGAAGACCGACGACGATATCCGCGGTAAGCCGTCCCGCCAGCCCCACGTCCCCTCCTGACTTGGTACCGACGCTGACCCACCACCACCCGCCGCGTCGCAGCCTGGCTCAAGAAACACATGTCCACCACATTCCGTGAGCACCCCCACGCCCGCCCTCTCCCCCCACATCCACGCGCCGCTGACATGCCCCCTCCGCAATTGCGTCTCGTCGCCCCCGTCGCTCCCGCCGCGGCGCCCAGACACCGCGGGCACAGCGTCGATGCTCCCCCGCGAGAAGGGCGGCGTCGTCGACCCCCAGCTGCGGGTGTACGGCACCGCGAACCTCCGCGTCGTCGACCTCTCCGTCGTCCCGCTCCTGTTCGCCGCGCACACACAATGTACGCCCTCCCTCCCTGCGTGCGCTGCCGTCGTCGAATGTCCGCTGATGGTGTGTCTTGTGTGTGCGTGTGCGTGTAGCCGTGGTGTACGCGCTGGCGGAACAAGGTGCGTCTCGAGCGCGCTCGCTCGCTTATGGGCACACGTTGACTGACTGACTGCCTGCCTGGCCATCTTTTTTTTTCGTTGTGCACGACAGCGGCCGACCTCATCAAAGGCGCGCTCTGACCGCGCGCGACGCAAACCTGTCGTCGCTTTCGCCTCTGTCGTCCCTGAATAGGACGCCTGCGCGTGCCTCGAGCATCTGGAAATGTACTTTTAGGGAAAATAACCACGTCTGTAGTATGTACCCGCTTCGCACCCTGCAATCTCATAGCACGCGATCGCCGAAATATGGCACTTTGCGCGAGGCGAGGCAGCCGTGGGACTCGATCGGCGGTGGTTGTCGTGCAGCCAAGCCCACGACGTCGAGCGTCGAGCGTTTAACGCGTGTAAGCAGCGTCGGCACTTGTGGACTGAACCGGGGGACGCCCGGGTAGTACAGTAGGTACACGCTGGGAGCGCGCGACAAGGGCGGGGCATGCATAACATAGGGTGTTACGATAAGTCTACGATGAATCCAGAGTCGCGTGGATAGGCTTGCATACGTGATCTCAACAACGACGACGACGACGACGAAGACGAAGATAACAGGTCAGAGAGATTAGAAACGGCGCGCGAGACGAACGGAGGGGAGGCAGGGGGGGTATATACCGCGCGGCTAGTGGCCGAACACGGTGCTGACTTGCGTGCTACTACTACTACTAGTAGTAGATAGATAGATAGATTGTATAGAGATCCCAGGCGAGCGCGAGACCGTACGCAAAAGAGAGAAAGAAAGACAGAAGGGGAGAGAAAGAGCAGCGGCGGCAGGGGGCGGGATGCACCCCAGCACGCCGTCACTATCGACCACCACCGCCATCGTCACCATCATCGTCATCATCACCACCAACACTCACCCTCGCCCCGTCCTCTCCCCACCCCACCCATCAATCCCCCCGATTCGCCAAAAACGCCCCCCCATCCCTCTTCGCCCCGCCCCCGCCCCCGCCTCTTCCCCCTCCCGCGCCAAACCCAACGCTCGGAAACCCGCGCCCACCCGCGCCGGCCCCGCCTCCACCGATACGAGCGCTAGGAAAGCCCGTCATGTCGTTCGGGAACCCCTCGAACGCGGGCTCCTCGTCTCCCTCGAGGACGAGGCCAACGCCGAGGGCGGGGAAGTGCGATGCGACGGGGGAGGCGAGGCTCGGGGACTGGGGCGCCGACGCGGACGCCGACGCGGACGCGGAAGTGGACGAGGCGGTTGATTTTTTGGAGGAGGAGGACTTGGAGGACTTGGAGGGTCTTGAGGGCCTGTGGGCGCGCGCTGGTGCAGGCGCGGGGGCGGCGAGTTGTGGATCGGGGTGCGGCTGTGGGTGAGGCTGCGGCTGGGAGAGGTAGTGGTGGTTATAGTGTCGCGGCGCGGCGCCGGTGCGCGAGGCGGAGGAGGCGGAGGAGGAGCCCGTGCCGCCTGTGCCACCGGTGCCCGTGCCGTCGGGGCTCAGGGGGCCAGCGGGGGCGCGCCGCGTGTACGCGCGCGCGTCGAAGTCGGCGTTGGCGTCGTCGTCGGCGTCGGCGTCGGGTGCTTCGGGGTTTGGGGTTGGATGTGAGTGCGAGTGCGAGTGCGAGTGCGAGTGTGAGTTTGAGTGTGAGTGTGAGTTGGAATGCGAGTTGGAGTGCGAGTTGGAGCGCGACACCGAGCCCGCGCGCGCGCGGTCGAACGCATCGCCCCCGCTCCCCTGAAACCCTTCAAACGCACCCACGCCCTCCAACCCGGCCCCACCGCCCCCCGCGCCCTCCCGCGCCGCGCGCCTCGCCGCCCTCCGCTCCCTCCTCTCCGCCCTCCGCGCCTCCCGCTCCTCGCGCACCCCCCGCTCCCGTTCCTCGTGCTCCTCCTGCTCGCGCCTGCGCCGCGCGGCCTCGCGCGCGTGCTCGCCGAGGCGCGCCTCGATCGCGGACGGGTCGAGCGGCGCGGCGTCCGAGTCGAGCGTCGACGAGGAGAGCGTCGCGCGCCGCCTGTGGCTCCTGCGCTGCTCTTCCCTGTCGTCCACGTCGTGTTCGTGTTCGTCGTGTTCGTGCTCGTGCTCGTGCTCGTCGTCGGGGAGGTATATCGGCGGCCTGCCGAAGAGGTCCCAGCCGAAGAGCCTGATGCGCCTCCCGTGCGCTTTCCTCTGTTTCTTCTTCTTCCGCGCGCCGAGGTGCGAGTGGAGCGACATTGTGTCCGCGTCCGCGTCTGCGTCTGCGTCTGCATCCGCGTAAAGAGATGTTGAGGCGGAGGCGGAGGAGCTGGCTGCGTCCGCGAGGAGGCCCTCGAGGTCGTGCGGGTGTGAGTGCGAGTGTGGGTGCGGGCGCGGGTGCGGGTGCGGTGGGCGGATGCAGGCGAGGCAGGGCGAGAGGAGGGCGCGGACGGAGTCTGACCAGGAGAAGGCGGCCATAGTGCGGGACGGAGACGGGGGCGAGGACGAGGACGGGGACGACGGTGTGCGTCGGGTCGTGGGCGGTGGACGGATGGGTGAGGACCACGGCTGCACCAGCGAGCGAAAGTGTGGGGCGAGGGCCAGGGGGTGGTCCCGGGCCACGTGCCCCACACCCGCAATCACATGCTCCCCCACACAGCAGCGGTATGTCATATCATATTATATTAGTTCCAGACGTCCGCGGCGTGCACCACGACGCCGACGCCGACGCCGACGCCGACAGATCACGCGTACAGCGGGACTCGCCCGCGAGCGGCGAGTGTGGCCAGACCACAGACCGCAGACACATCACACATCACACAGCACACAGCACACAGCACACAGCACATCGGACAAAGGAACACCAAATCCCAGATACCAGACATCGTATACCACACAAGCACGAGCTACATGCACAACACCGCGTCCGCGCACGGCCAGCAACGGAGACCAGGCCGCGCGCCCCCGCGCGCCCCGCCATCCACGCGCGACGCACCGACCGCAGACGCACCGCGCTCGTCCGTGCGCACGCCCGCACGCCCGCACGCAAGCGCCGCGCCTCACTCGTTCCGCGCCTCGTCGCCCGAGTCCAGCAGCCTGCCCGACGCGCCCAAAAAAAAAAAAAAAACACACACACACACACGGCGGTCAATGCGTCGCGCGCGGTCAAGAGGAGGGCGGAGGGGGCGGAAGGAAGGGGACGACACGCACGAGTACTGTTTCGTGAGCGCGCACTCGCCGCCGTTCTCGAGGTCGATGCTGTACGAGTAGAAGTATCCCTCGGACGAGACGACCATCACCTGCGGCACCGTCCTGCCGCGACCGCGACCGCGACCAAATGACCGTCAGCGCCCGTCCACCACGCACGCACGCACACACGCGCGCAAGGAAAGAGAGAGCAGAGGGGGAGAAGAGTGGGGGGGCACGCACCCGCTGAGCGCGACGATGCAGCGCGCGCCGCTCGTCGGGAGCTTCAGGAACGCAAAGTCGCGCGCGGGCTCCCAGATCTCGGTGAGCGTGTTCGGGAGGTAGCCGCCGACGGACGCGGTCAGGTTCTTCGTCAGGTGCAGCGAGCGCCGGCGCAGGCTCGAGCTGCGCGTGGCGAGCGGTGCGGTGCGGTGCGGTGCGGTGCGTGCGAGAGAGAGAGCGAGTGAGCGAGCGACGGCGCGATCGAGACGAGACGAGACTCACGAGACGCCACCGCCGCCGCCGCCGCTGGATTTCTTCTTTCCGTCGATAAACGCGTCGTACCCGCCGTCGTCCCTGCTCTCGACGCTCCCCTCTGGACTCGCCTCCTCCCGCGCCCCACTCCCACCCGCACCCGCACCCGCACCCGCACCCGCGCCCCCACCGGCGCGCTGCCCGCCCGCCCCGAGCTTAAATATATGCACCGTATCATGCGCGCTGCTCACCGCCAACAAGCTCGCGACCGCATTAAAGCTCATCGAATAGATCCTCGCCTCGCGCGTCCCGCGGCGGAACTGGAACAGCTTCTCGGCGGCGGGGACGCCCCAGACGCGGATGACGGTGCCCTTCTCGGACGCGGTCGCGAGGAGGGTGCCGGTGGCGTTGAGGGCGAGCGCGGAGAGCGGGGCCTTGTGCGCGCGGATGAGCTGGGTGACGGTGAGGGATTTCGTGGAGAAGAGGAGGACGTCGCCGGTGGGCTGGGTGGGTGGGGGCGAGGCGGGGGGTGGGGAGGGGTGCGTGGAGAGGGGGGAGGGGGTTGGGAGCGGGGAGGGGTAGGCGAGGTAGGAGTTGTCGGCGGAGGGGGAGAGCGCGACGATGGCTGGAATGCGCGCGGCGTGCGTGCGGGCACGGCTGAGGTGAGCGAGTGCGGATGCGCGGGAAAGGGAAGGAGTGCGCACCTTCTGGGTTGGGGGTTGTCTCGATGACGTGCTGGAGGCGCATGTTGGAGATGTCGTATATGTATATCTCGTTCTCGAGGACGATGACGAGGGTCTTGCGGTTGAGCTTGACGGCGAGGATGGAGGAGGGGAAGAGGAGCTCGCAGATCATGGACTGGCGCTGCGGGCGCGCGGGCGCGCGGGCGGGCAGGGATCAGCCGCGCACACGAGGAGGGGGCGGTGGGGAGAGGGAGCGTGGGGGCGTACTTTTGTGTTGACGATCTGGAGCTTGCGCGGGCTGGACGAGGGCTGGTCGGCGGCGCCCACGAGGGCGATGAGCGACGTGCAGAAGAGCATCTCGACGATGCCGCGCGCGCCGTCGTCTGCGGGCGGGGCTTGGTGGTCAGCGCGGCCGCGGTGCAGGACAGGACAGGACGAGAGGGGAGGGGAGGGGCGCGGACGCGGACGCGGACGCACTCATCGTGTAGACGCGGCCGAAGGGGTCGCAGTTTGTGATGCTGTAGCCCTTGCGCGTGCCGACGGAGATGCAGCTGGCGGGGCAGCGGGGTCAGCGCGGGTGCAGCGACATGCGGGAGGCGGGAGGCGGGGCGGGGACGCACGTGAAGTCCTGGTTGAAGTTTGCGAAGAGCATGTTGGAGTGTGTGCGCTGCATCGAGCGGGGGAGGACGACGACGACGACGACGACGACGACGACGAGGAGGAGGAGGAGGAGGAGGGGACGGGGCTGGAGTGCCTGCCACGCTCTGTGACCCGGGTCACGTCCATCCCAGTCACGCCCGCGCGGCAGACGGCGGCGCCAGAAATGCTCCCGCCCCCGCAGCCCGCACCGTCACCGCACCACCACGGCGCACGGTCCTCGCTGCCCATCCACGTCGTCACAGGGCTGGGGCGGCGGTGCGTGTCTGGGCGTGCGCCACGATCGCTGCGGTGTCGCATACTACACTCCTCACACGGCGTCGACCAGATCCCGACCTCCTCACCGCACATCGCCTCCCTGCCGCGTTGCCCATCACGGCCCTTACGCATCTGGTATGGACCCCCGTTGACAGGCTGCGAGAGTGTACGGCGGCGCAGGCGAACAGCCCCCGGTTCCGTGTAGATACTCTGTACCCGCCTTCGTGCCGATGTAGAAACTCAACGCGCTGAGCGACGCGCACGCAAGCCATGATTGACACGACGGGGCTATCCGCCCCACCGACTCTATTCGAACACACTTCCCCCGCCCAGTAGTATCATACACGCTTCGTTCGTGCTACGCAGTGCGCACGTCCCACGCCCTCCTTCGGCGCTTCAGGGGCCGATGACCCCCGTCCAGGTATCGACGAGGTCCACGACGCAGTACCCGTTGATCGGCACGTACTGCTTCGTGACCATCTTGATCGCCTCCTGCGCGACGAGCCCGCCCACGAACGCAGCGACGTTCGGCAGGTCCGCCGTCGGCGCGCGCGCGCTGCCGGTCCACCCACGCACACACGCGCACACAGTCAGTAAAAGAGCGGACGGCGAGGCACGGGACGCGGGACGGGGGGCTCACATCTCGCCGAGCGCGTCCTCGAGCTCTTTCGGCGGCAGCGCGACGTCGCCCGCGATCGCGAGCGCGTGCGCGCGGAGCGCCTCGACCGTGGGCGGCGCGTCGGGCTGCGCCGCCGTGTGCGCCTCGAGCGCGGACAGCGCGATGTGCGTCGCGGTCTCGCGCGGCGACGCGGCCGCGGCGTTCGCTGTTGCATCGATCATCAGCGACCCCGCGCGCGCGCGAGATGAAGGGGACAGCTACCGAGCGCGACGGGGTCTCGGTCGAGCTCGCCCCACCTGCGGCCGCGGAGCGCCCTGAGCGCGTGCGCGTTGCGGACGAAGCGCTCGACGAGCGCGTCGTCGACCGGGATCTGCACGAGGCCGCGAAACACGGCGCGCTCGTGCTCCGCGCGGGCCTTGTAGAGGCGCTGGAGGCGCACGTAGCCCGCGGTGTCGGCCTTCATGTCGGGGAGCGCCGCGGCGAGCGGGAGCACGTGCGGCGGCTGCAGCGCGAACTGGCGCAGCGCGCTGAGGAGGTGCTGGAAGACGGGCGCGGCGGGCGTGAGCGCCGCGAGCCCGGGCGCGCGCAGCAGCGCGGCGGTGTCGGCGGGCACGGTCGTTTCGGTCCAGGCGCGGTAGGCCTGCGCGGCGGCCTCGTCAAAGTTTTCTTCGTCGGGCTTGGTTTTCATGGCGAGCACGGAGCGCTTGAAGGCTTGCTTCTCGGCGGAGGACTGGGGCGGCAGGCCGTCGTGCTGCGTAGGGACAGAGCGCGGGCGTCGGTGGCGACGACGGGGTGATGGAGAGGGGTGCGTGTGCTCACGGATTTCTTCCAGGCGTCGAGCGCGCGGACGAGGATGACGACGTAGGGGATGTGTCCGTGGTCGGTCGGGTCCATGCCGTCAAAGTCGAGGGACGTGGCGTACTCGAGGAGCTCGGGGAACGGCTTGTCGATGCGCAGCGACGGCGCGGTCTCCGCGTGGCTCTCGATGACTGCACACGGCGCGCGTCAGCCGCGGGGCCCGATCGACGACAGCGGGGCTCACGAAAACGCGCGCACCGTCGTGCTCGTGGTACTGGATGTAGAACTCGGCCAGGAAGCCCGCGGAGCGCACGACGACGAGCGGCGCGCGCGCGGGGTCCGCCCACAGCAGCGCCGCGAGGCGCGCGAGGGCGTCCGCGCGGAGGTTGTGCGCGATCACGAGCGAGAACGCGGAGAAGAAGGCGGGGTCGTTGTTCAGGACGTCCGCGGGGTCGGCGACGCGGGCGCGGCCCTCGACGCCGTCGTTGAGCTCCGCGAGGAGGCGGACGGCCTCCTCCGCGCGGGGCCTGCCGACGCTGGCGTGGCCGTCGAGGAAGAAGTTGACGCCCGCGTCGGCGGGGGTCGCGGTGTGGGGGTCGAGGATGGTGAAGTGGCCGATGCCCGGCAGGACGAGGTTCTTGAGGATGGAGGTGGCGGTGGCGGAGGCGGAGAGGACCAGGATGCGCGAGGACTCGAGCGCGGCCTGGCCGGTCGCCGCCCATAATCTGCCGCCGCCGGGGTCAGTGGTAGTTGGGCGAGGGGGCGATGGCGGGGGCGGGGACGGGGACGGGGAGGGCGGGCGGGCACGCACCGCAGCTGACGATCATAGCGTCGCGTTTTGTTGTCCGGCTGGGACCTGTAGACTAGACATGTCAGAGACCACGAAGCGGGCGTGCGAGGGGCGATCGCACTGGATGTTGGTCGTTGCAGACTCGATGTCCTGCGACTCTCCTGGAGACATGGCGGACGCGTTGGCGATGGGACGAGTGGCGAGGACGAGGGAGACGGTGGACGCGAATGAATCAGCGTGTCGGCGATCTCCGAAGACGCTCCCTCCCGCTCCCACTTGCCTCCAGCCCGAAAACATACAGCACGGCGGAAAATAACATGTGAGGCCGTGTCTACCACGCCGTGGACGTGCCCATCTCACCCATATCGCAGATACCCGCACCTCGCAGGATGGACGACGAGACGGCAGAGATCGAACTGGTGCGCTCAATGCCCCCGCGCACACGACGCCGCTGACGCCCGCGCAGCTGGAGCAGAACCTGAACAAGACGCGCCAGATATCGCAGCGCATGACCTGTGCGTCCTCCCCATGACACGCACCTCGGATTCACGGGATCGTGCCTCTAGCGATCTTGACGAGCTTTGACAGCCGCCTCGTCAAGCTCGAAAAGTCCATCCTCCCCCTCTACAACTCCACCCAGACCTTGACCAAGCGCAGCAACAGTGAGTGTCGCGTCGTCGCAGCCAGAGTCCGCGAGATTTTGAGGAACGTCGGATAGATATCGAGAGCGCGCTGCAGAAGATTTATGAAGTCGCGGGCAATCAGGAAGGCATCGCCGCAGAGGAGGCCTTGATTCTGCGCGGGTGAGCGACCCTGGTCTCTGCATGACTGGCCTCTCCAAACCGGACCACACAGCCCCCAGCCAGAGCAACTGTCGGTCTACCAAGACGCTCTCGAGCGCCTGAACGCGAGCATCGCGTTCAAGTCCTCTGACCGTGACTCGCGCGAGACAGTACGCTTCGTTTCTGTGCCCTCTCCACCATGTACCCACCACTACCCATCCCTCAGGCCCGTCTAGTCGACACCGGCGCCAAGAAGCTCGCGCAGCTCTTCACAAAACTCGTCGCCGAAGGCTCCTCGGGCTCTCCCCCCGCAGGCTCCGACTTTGAGCTCATCCCCTTCCCCCAGCCCCTCCTCGCCACCCTCCAGCCGCTCGTCGCCTTCCTCCGCAGCCTCCCGCTCCCGACGACGCACCCCTCGCACCAGGCCGCGCCCGCGATCCTGGCGACCCTGAAGGAGGCCCAGCGCGGATACGCGGACATGCGCGGGAACTGGGCGAAGAAGTGCTTGGAGCTCCATGGCCGAAGGGTCGTCGAGCGCGCGGAGACGATCGAGGGCGTAGAGGCTGGCAGGGAGCTCGGCAAGTGGGTCGGGAATCTGCTGAACGTCGTGGAGGTAACGTCCCGCTCGTGGTCCCCATGCGTTCTGCCTGACGTTCCTTGCAGGAGGAGTACGGCTTGCTGGTAGAGCTGGCCCCGCTGTCGGGCCAAACGCTGATATCGACGACCTTCAGCACGCTCCTGCTCCCGCTCATCTCGCTCTTCAACTCCACGCTGTCCTCGCTGTCCTCGCTCATCAAGCGCTCCCTCCACAAATACACCTTCCTCGCGCTCTCCGCCTACTCCTCGCTCTCCACGCAGCAGTCCCGGTGGGACGACCTCATCACGCGCCGCGGCGAGCGCAAGGAGAACGAGCTCAAGGACGGCCTGCACGCGCTCCGGGGCGTGTGCCTCCGCAGCTTCCCCGAGTTCCTCGCAGACCTCAAGGTCACGGCCCTCGGCAAGGGCGGCGAGCTCGGCACCGGGCTCGCGGATTTCACGGTATCGGTGAGCCTGCACGCACGGGATGCGCGTCTGGGTGCTCACGCGGCTCACGCGGTTCTAGACGATCCGCTATCTCGAGCAGATACTGGAGGTGCAGGATGCCGTCGGGTCGGCCCTCGCGACGCTCGGGGACGGCAACTGGCGCATGGGCGACGGCATGCGGATGGCGGCGAACAAGGGCCCGAAGTCCACCGAGCCGCTGACCGAGCGCATCTTCCTGGAGCATTACATCTGTGCGTCCCTCCCTTCCGTCTCCCTTTCGTGCCGCGGCGCCACGCTCACCGCCGCGCAGTCGACGTCGTGTCGACGCTGATCAACTCGCTCGCGACGCTCTCGCGGATGCAGAAGCGGCCCGCCTTCGGCTCCGTCTTCCTCCTCAACAACGTCTCCTACTTCCGCGCGCAGATCCTCGACCCGCGCAAGCCGCTGCGCGCGCTCCTCCCGCGCCCGACGCAGGACCTCGTCAACTCGAACTTCCGCACCGCCAAGGCGGGCTACTTCGACTCGAACTTCTCGCCGCTCATGCAGGCGCTCGCAGACGACAAGGAGAAGGCCGGCGCGAGCCGGGCCGCGACGAAGGAGAAGTTTACGCGGTTCTTTGATTTGTTCGAGGAGGTCAAGGAGCGCCATCGGATGGCGAGGGTGCTTGAGGACGAGGAGGGCGATCGCGGGCTGTTGGCGGACGAGGTGGTGAAGCTCGTCGTGCCGAGTCTCCAGCGGTTCACGCAGAAGAACAGGGAGAAGGAGTTCAGCAAGAGTGCGTTTATCTTGCCGCTCTTCGTTGATCGCGTCTCACGTCTGCCGCTCGGCGCGCACCTGCAGATCCCTCGAAGTGTGCGTCGCATTTACTGGCACTGGGCGTTCCACACACTGATAGTTGAATTGCAGACATCAAGATGTCCCCCGAGGAGGTCGAGGCTCAGATCAGGAGTTTCTATTAGACGAACAGATGGCACGTCTGCTTTCGTTACTGTTGTTGTCATTACTACTTGTCAAGAATATACCCGGCTCGATGAGATCTACGCTCCCGAGGTTACATGTTGCTCTGCAGTCCACAAGCCTTGCGCCCAACAGGTAACCAGCTCGTTGCAGGTAAACTGGGCCTTCACGTGATTCGCTCCGTGCTCGCTTCGCCGGAAGATCCAGGATCCTCGTCGTCGCGCTTTCCCCAATATCCATCTCCATAATTCAAGAAAAGCTCCTTGCCCTTTCGAATCTTAGTCTCTGTCGTGGATTCAGTTGACAGTGAACAAAAATCCATAATCCTCGACCGAATGGGAAACATACTTGCAAAGAAGCCGATGCGATGATCGTCGTTCACAAGCAACACTAAGTGCAGGACAAGCAAGGGTCAATTTTGGCATGGCTGCCGACGAGTTCGAGGTTACCTTTGGCTTCGACATTTTCGCCTTTGCCTTTCGCGTGATTAATGTACCGCGTCTCGTTGCCGACCCTCATACCATCGATGACGAGGTCGGGATCCATAGTGAACGCATAATTCAGATGGCGATATCTGCCAATGACACTGGATACGGGCGAGAGAATGAGATCACACAGACGAATACTAGGCAGTGTGTAACACACTCGAGTACCACGTCGCCTCTATTTGCCGAGAACAGCTCGCCGACATACTCTGCCCGATTTCCGTGAGCGGCAAAAGATAAACAAATCCTTGAAAGAAAGATCGTACCGCCGATGTATTGGTCCTTTTCGATCGTCCTGAGTGCGAATGCACCGAGCCCGTACATTCCTCTTCTGATCTCAAGACTCTGAAAGCAGGCACGTCGAGTTCACATCTGATCACTGATGAGTCGAGGCACTGATGCTTACCGCTTGGTCCCCACGTTGTATGGCTGCGTTGGAACACAATTTTTTGATGCCCTCTGTCAGACCACGGGCCTTGTCAATACTGTTCCAATAATGGTATTGGGGAATGAATCCATACTCCTGTTTTGGCGCATCGTGGTGGTACCTGTCAATCAGAGAGCACATGAAAATAGAGAGATCAAACGCACTTGACGCCGCATCCGCATAGCTCGACGTTGCACTCTCTTCCCGACGCGCGACAAGGACAGATGTCTGGGTGCTCACGGTTCTTCGCCCCGCAGTTGCTCCACTTGTGAGCACACTTGCACCCCTTCCACCTCCTCGTACCTTGACAAGATGCAGGGGTTCAGCTCGTGCAGAATTGGCATAAGACCTGATCTTACATTGAAGCTTGCAGCGACAGTTCCTAGAGCAATGCAGTTGGTTATCGAAGCACGCGCATCCGGACGATGCGTCGCAGGGCCCGGTGTGGACGCACGGCGCGGTCCTCACGTACCCGTTATGCTGACCTAGCTTATCGTCCACTGGACCGCCTTATCAGCTAAGATAGCTAGGAATAGCATGGACGACGCGTACCGAATTTCTCTTCGACCCTTCTCGTCGTGGTCTCCGTCGTGTCCACGTCGTACGCGTCCTCGTCCGGAATGAGCTCTTTGCGCTGAAAGAATACCTAGAAAGGCAGAGAGGCTCAGAGACGGATCAACGCAGCTCGACGGGACATACTTCGTAGCACGGCTTGTGACAGAGCACCGCGAGGTCGCATGGATCTGCATCTGGAAAGATCTCGAGGATGACTCGGAGCTCGTCGACGTCCGACTGCTTCCACAGCACGAGATCCTGCGGTTTTACCGCAAATGGTCAGTATATGGCGTGCGGGCGTGAAAATGTTCCTCGCCTGTCTGAGAGCGTCCGCGTGCCGGAAACATTGTCTGTCGCAGGGCTCGCCGGGGCGCAGGAGGAGACCATCGGCAGTCGTTCGCGCTCTCAAAGGAGCGAATTTTGGGGTGGGCTCAGCTGACAAGAACTGTGGTTAGTGCTGTGAGGATGTAGTGAAGACGAGACGTTGACTGACGGTGCAACAAGCAACCGTAGGTCATACAATTGAGGCTAGGACAGAATTTGGCGGAGAGGCGGTCGAGACGCCCGCGCAAGTCTTCCTCAGCCACCTCGAATGATTTCAGAGGCACGCGAACCGAGCCCGACGGGTTGCCCGGCCAAGGCAGCGGATCGCTAACAAGATGTCCTCGGAATGAGATCAGTACGATCGCCTATGTCATCGGACGTACCGCTGAAGAATATCCCATATAAGGCCACTCGCGTTGTGTCTACGGCTCTCAGGCAGAATATCATGCCTGTCGATCTCCTCAAGGCTAACCCCGTGGTCGATGTGCAGCCGCTGAAGTGCTTCTGCCTGTATCACCTCATCTGGACATCGAATGAGTGGTGCCATGGCATATTCAAGAGGTGAATATACAAGTCGGTACTCACGGTCAGGATCCCGGAATTCGCGCGAGTTGTCTTGCCATGCGAATTCTGCGAATTCTTGGGCATATTCTTCAAGTGGAAACTCTGGATCGTCAGCGTATGGAATAAATGCCATGAGATCAGGACGCTCTTCCGCCGAAAAAGACACCGAATGGATCATCGGGGTGCAGTGATCATAACTGGGATGCGGAGTCATGTCGTCGTAGATAGGAAGTTCCTCGCAGGGAACTTCAGTAACAGTGACCGAGCCGTCTTCATTGTAAGTCTCAACCACTATGGGCTCCGAGGGTCTGGTCTGCGGATCCACAACTAGATCACATAAACTCTCTGAGCCTGCCTGAGATGTCACGTCAAGGACCTTCCGTCTATCGGAAGTGCCCGCAAGGGAAGCTATAACGCGAGCAGAATATGGCTGCTCCCAAGCGTAGAACTCATTCCACACCTCTCTATAAACGGACTCAATCAGCGAGCGTGTGTCACGGCGATGAGCGAATCGATCCGGATCAGCAAGGCTCATGGTCGGAAGTATATCTAGTGAAATCACCACCGAGAAAGGACAAAGCAGACGCAGAAGACAAGATGTGCTCTGTGCTTTTCCGCCCCAAGGTTGCCGTGCGGCGTGAGTCCATGTTTGGGCATGTTTGGTACTGCGCTCACCTTGAGCGCAGCGAGTGCACTTGTGATTCCCGTGCGCAGGGGTGATCAGTGGCGCGCAGCGTTCATAGAGACAGACATGCCCGATCGCAGGGATTAAAACGAGCATATTCTATATTTTGAGAGAGGCGGAAAGCGTGTCAGGATAGCGGGGGATATGTCTGATGTGAAGCGCTAGTGATACAACATTGTTAGGGATGCTACTTTTATACGATGAGATGCAAAGGAACACCAGTCACTGAGTCAGTGCATGAGGCCCTTCACCCTCCCCTTCGCGGAAAGCCCATCTAACGAGACTTCAAGGACATCTTTCTGCTCCCCCTTCTTCCAAGCTTCCACCAACACCTTCCCCTCCACGGGAAGGATGCTATGATCCCTCGTCCCAACGGTGATGTGCATGCGGTTCCTCACGTCCTCCTTCAGCATCGCCACGAATTGATGCCCGGCTTGACCCTCCTCCCCCTCTATATCCTCGACAACAACATCCTCGACGGTGACCACCATGACCCGCCCATCCGTCAACACATGGCCGAGCTTGAACTTGAACAGCGGCGGTTTTGCAAGTCGCTCTAGGGCTCTGCATCGCTCCCACAGATCCAGCTCTCTTGGGAGCGATTTTTCGTGAACAATCGTGATATGGGGCCGCGCTGCTACCCTCTTCGCCTTCTTCAACGCGTCCCACATCTCGGTCATTTTCTTCGACACCTTCGCCTCCGCAAGAGGTCCCGAAAGTACCTGATCCAGCTCAACTTCCGCAAGTAACCCGTAGTATCTCGGCGGCCTCGCCGTCTGCCTTCCTAGGTTCTTCTTCACGCTCGTAGATGTCGTATAGCCCCTCGCCGCTGCGAGCGCCTTCCCGATGTCTTCGCGACTGGGTTTCGCGATCCCAAGCACATCAACCACGCCGTTTACCGCGCGCTCAACAGCGTCTTCCAGCGACTCGGTCAAATCCATCTCGATGACCGCGTCCACTTCGTTCTCGCTAAGCTCCTCAGACGTGTTCAAAAATTTCCAGATTACGGTCTCGTGTGACTTGCTCTCCACGTCACCGATGAGCGACTGGTGGTTCTCGCCACGTACCAGCACGCGGTCACCGCAGATCCGGTGAATCGTGGAGAGCGGTTGATCGAGGGCCCAGTTGAGTGCGAGCAGGCGGACGGGTGGACTCATTCCCTTAGTCGCGTCTCGAAAGGCTGCGCGGTGCATCTGCAGATGATTGTTTCTGAAGAGGTTAAGTTTGGTTCGCACGCGTAAGTCAATGTATAAAACGATGAATGAGACAAACGCACTTGTCCGCGATGACGACGTCGTGATTCTGAAGGAGCTTCACGACACGCTGCAAGAACACGGGGCCAGCCTTTTTCGCCCGCACATTGTCGCTCTGAGTGTGTCCAAACCCAAACATATTCGCCAGGGCGGTGGAGACAGCCGTCTTGCCTGATTAAGGAACGTCAATACTTGCTCAGTCTCGAACCGCTGAGACCTACCGGCACCAGGGATCGCGACCGGCACAATGATAGTCTTCCCGAAAGTCTTTACAGACGCGCTGTTCGCGACCGTAACGTCCCCCGCCTCCTCTGTGGCCTGCTGCCCCTGCTGCCCCTCCGCGCTCTCCAACCATTTCAGGAATCTCTCCCTGGTGGCAATAATCCCCTTCCCCTGCGTATACTTATCGAACTGCTTCCTGTCCCGTACAATCTCGCTCTTGATCCATGCAACGTACGCCTTCGTCTCCGTGCGCTTCATCTTCGACTTGGGGATTCTCGCCTCGCTCAGCGGGCCCTTCGTGGAGAGCAGCACCTTTGTCACCTCGCGCCAGTCGCGGTACATCATGTACGGCTCGTTGAACTTGACCTTGAAGAAGAACGACGAGCCTGCCGCGTACGGCGATGCGCTTAGCCCGGAGTTGTCCTTGCCCTCGCCTCTCGTCGGAGGCTCCGAGACCGTCGTGCGCACGACGAAGCCCTCGAGCGCCTCGCCTTGCCACTGTCCGGTCTTGGATACTTCCTCAGTGAAAGCCTTGACTTCAGAGATCGTGTTGAGGACCGTCGAGGCGGTCACGATGAACCCCCACTCTTCGGCGAACACATCGACGATCGATGGCGGCATTGTTTTGAATAGCTTTGTCGACTCGTTGATGCCGTGCAGATGTAATCCTGTTTTGTCGGCCGAGTAAGGCAGGACGTGCTCTTCGAAGGAGTCGTCGCACAACTAGATTTGAGTGTTAGAACATGGGACGGTGTAATGGGAGCAAGGGACACTGACCTCGGCCACGGCGGTCCAGTTGTTGTCCCACAACCGCTGTGCGAGCTCCTCCGGCGTTTTTCCCGCAGCCTCAAGATGGCGTAACAGCCAGCTCTCGCCGACCTGGGCGTGGCTCTGTGGGGCGTTCTGGATGGGCCCGAGGGAGTGCTTCGACGTGACAACGAGTTTGGAAGGTGTGAGGGCGGCGATGAAGATAATGCATCCGTTAGACTTGAGCGTGAGGGTGTATGGAGAAGCGGTGCTCCGCTCGAGCGACTCCCACTAGAATATAGTATACTAATGAGGCAGAGCACTTGGCCGAAGGAAGCGTCACGCACCGTTGTCCAGGGCACTTCGCCAATATTGAAGAACTTGTCGTAGCCCCTAGCCACGATCCTATACTGCTTTGCATCGCCAGACTCGCCGTCCACGCTGTGCTCCGTCGTGAACAGCCCTCGCGCAAGCGTCGGGAATGGCGAGGGTATATCGTAATACTTGTACTCGTTCATCTTCCAGCTGCTGATGACGGTCTCGGGCTGAGCAGGCGCGGGGTATTGCGACGACCGGACGAGCTTGGGAGACTTTTCAGAGAGGGCATGGAGGTCTGCGATGAGTTTTGAGTCGTCTTTGTTGAATATCGGCGCCATGGTTGCTAGTGGTCTACAGATGCGAGTGGCAAGTGGTGCTGTTGTGCGTGCAGTACGACAAGGAGGGAACAGAAGGCGACTGCCCGCTATGCGATGGAACAGACGTTCTGACCACATACATATAATCGAAGTCAGTTATGAGTATCGGCGCAGTACAGTCATTTTGGTCAAGCGCAGACGGGAGCGCACTGGCTTGCGCGCATGACTCCCTGAACGATTTGGACCATCTTGAACAGCTTGAACAGAATCAACACGCACCTCGTAGAGTTTTATACTGCAGAATCACCCTCGAATCTCCAGTACGATGTCAACCGTCCGAGAGTTTCTCCTTCGCCCGCAAATCGCTGAATTGATCATGGTCAAGTCGGAAGATCTTATCTTATCCATCAGTCCACGGACATAGCGCGACGCCGCACCAATACATATATTTTCTCGAAGACCCACCGAAACGACTCAGATTTCCAGCCTCCTGTAACAATCATATATACATCCCGCATGGTAAATGCATTCAAGCTTCACACCATAATCGTCATCTACAAATATACAATACATGACTTACAGCCTACCTTGAGGCGACGTGCTAGTGCATACATATAGACAGTAAAAGAGATACAGGAGGCGGATGAAATGATACCTTATAGATCTTGAAGCGGGACACTCGCTTCCCTCCAAGTGACACCCTCGTCACCGCGGACTATGAAAATCGCTTTCCCTGGATCAGCCTCCCAATGATCTACCCTATACAACGTCTCCGACATGAGCGCTATCTCTCGAGCGCGTTCGTCGTTGTCAACGATCATGGTCGATTCCTTTGGGTCTCTGAAGAACGCAATGCCGTGGAATACTTTGAGCCCCGGGAAGCAGTCCAATACCCTCGCCCATTGCCCCTACAGCATAATGGCAATTCGTCAATATTGGAAGTACAGGGTTATATGGCATATGATGTACGTACCAGATGCACGGGCGCCTTCGTCACGCCGGCCCAGTCGTACATGTAGTCCACGGAGGGCACGCGCAGCCACACCAGCCGGGGAAACATCTCTGCCACCCTCAACAGCGCTTCTATCGAGTCGAACCACGTCACTTCTAGCATCCGCAGCGCGTTGCCATCCACGTTCTTCAGCAAGTCCAGGTATCTATCGTTCAGCGGAATCCCGCTGACCTCCTCGAGAGCGCGGCCCTGGGAATCGGCCAAAATCGTCGTGAGCGGCTCGTCTTCGCCCTGGTCACTTGAGACACGCTTAAGAGAGGGCAGGCTGCCCGGTTTGAGGGGGCGGAGGGAAAGGTATTGGAACTTGAGGGATTGGAGGGACGGCGTGCGCTCGAGGAATTCAGCGAAAGGCTTGGCGTTCGCGTCTGGGTCGGCGTAGATCTCGAGGGAAAGGCAGATTAGGTTAGGGAGTGTGATGTTCGAGAAGAGGTGCGCCATGTTGAAGGACCAGTCGTACAGGGCTAGACGGAGGCTCTGGCCGCGATCTATGAGCGATAACTCTGTAGAATCACACTCGGGGTCGTACCTCGAGCCCCGGGGAATGCTGGAGCACGCCGGCAAAACACCGCACGCTCTCCTCTTGTCTCAGAAACGCAGCATTCTCAACCAGAAGGGATCTTAAATTCGTCATGGACCACATCTGGACATGCATCAGCGCTCTAGCCCCCACAGACAGACGGCACAAATCGAGTGCTCACAGGATACGTGCTCGGCCCTGCCAAAAACGCCGCAGGGGGGTTGATGGCCTGCACGAACTCGACGTGCTTCACCAGCTGATGCCGGCTCACGGCCAGCCAGATGCCCGCCTCCGCCTCCCGCTCCGCCTCCCTCGTAAAGCACAGCGACGTCGACCACGCGAACTTCTGCAGATTGACCATCTTCCCCAACGCCTCGCCGACGAGCGCGAGGCCCTCCGCATTTGAGGGCCGCCGCTCCTTCTTTGCTGCCTTGATCTTCGCCTCGCACAAGAACGACGGCACCCGTTCGGGGCCGTACCGCATCGGGTCGAGCTCCCCGATAACTTCTACGACGCGCACGTTCCGCGCCAGGTCGGGGCGCGCCGCAAGGTGGCGCCAGACTGTGTGTCGTCGATGATGGCAGCGCACGAGCCGGTAGTCTATGTGTCTTGGGACGGCGATGCATTTGAATGCTCTGCATGTGAGCGCGAACGACAGCAAGTCCTCTCGCGCATCCACGTACGACGCTACCGCGTCAACAAGCTCCGTGGGCAAGACGAGCATTGACATGCGAGTGCGCTCGGGGACTTGTAAGGCTTTGGAGGTGCGTTCCGCACGACGCGATGGACGAGCGAGGATAAGGGAGCTGTCGGGCTCACCTCGCTATCGATCCGAGTGTGAGCACGGGTCGGGCAGGGCTGATCCCTGTGTATTTGCTACTTATATACCAAGCCCTGCTCTCTTGTGACGTACAAGGTCATGATACGCACTACATAATCTGCAGAATCAGTATAAGGAAACATCATGCTACGTGCCCGGCCCAGGCTTGCCACTGCTTGTATGATGACGATTTTATTCGCTGACAACAGCGACGGAGGCGCTTGGGTGCGATCTTCGCTGGAAGAGCGTGGACAGAAAGAGCTAGAAAAGGAGGCAGGTATCGCGTTTGCGTCAGCCCATGGGAACGAAGGAATTACAAGGGTCAACGGAGAGGTCGTCCTAGTATAACTCGCGGGGTTAGTGCCGCCTTAAGATTATGAAGGCCCGTTCGGGTGAGACACATGATGAGCAGAGTATTCGGAACCTGAGGTGTTTGAGCTGGCAATGGCAGTGCCAACGCTGTCTCTGACAGCTTATTGACATCCTTTCATGTCGCCTTTCATGTCGGTATCTGAACGTGAGTGACACGGTGAAAGAATTGACTCTCTGAGCTTGCGCTGGATTCCATGAATGTTGGGAATCATAGGCTGTGAGAGCCGGTGGGAGACCAAGGTGACCCTCCGCGCTGTTCTCGGATCGAAGTTGTTGTGACTCCAAAGATCCCTGGGCTATCCACCCCAATTCCCTGTGAACCAACAAATGCCCAGCACCACCCATGCTGGTGATTGGCCATTGGAGGGGACAGGAATACATGCCGCATGTCATATTGTGTGGTGGGCATAAAAAGAATGCAAAAGATGATAATAAAGTGCGTGGCGGCACCGTCTCTCGTGCCAAAGGCTGTTTTACCCTGCCGTCCGGCCTCCCACCTCTCCTCGACTTGCTCTCTCCTCTCAAAAAAACTACACTAACTCCGCACGAAAGCTCTCATGCCTTCCCAGCAGCCTTGACAGCTTTGCGCACCCGGTCGCGACGCGCCTTCTTGTGCAGCATGACTGAGAAGCGGTCGAAGTCGTTAAGTGTCCGTCGCTTCTCGACGGCGGCGAGCTTCTGCGCCCACGACGTCTTGTTCCACTTCTCCAACGTGGATTCCTTCTCAAGGTACTTTTTGACGACACCTGAACCGGCAGCGCGGGGAAGGCCCTTGACGGTGAGGGGGGTGAGGGTGAGGTATCGGTAGGGGTAGGATTGGCGGGGGACGCCGGTGGTAGGGCCGTCGATGATTGCCTGCATTCGATACCTCAGCTGTGTTTTCTCCTTGCTCAAGAATGCGAGAAACGCACCCGGTTGTGGTCGATGATCTCAGCGATCACGGCGATATTGCCTGCGCTAGGGCCAGATTTGAGAAGCACGACTGCATCGCGAAAGCGCGCATTTAAGGGCTGAATGACGCAGAGTTATCGCAAATCCCAGTACGCACCACGGCCAATCTCGACGAAACGAGTGAAATTTGATTCCTGCTACAGAGCGCAAAGGCATATTAGTATTCTGATTCGAAGTCGCGAACATCACGCCAAAAGCTGCAGGAATCTGAAGACTACGCCCTCCGTACCGATTCGTCTTTCACATACTGTGATCACGATCATCCCTCCCCAACGTCCTTCTGCCAGCCCTCTGCTGACGCAGCCCAGCACCATCCAGACCTTCGTCATCCCATCCATCTCTTCTAATGCTTCAATTTCCACCATTCCAGCTGGATCCTTCCCCTCACAGATTCCTACAGCATACTAGCATGAATAAGGGTACTCACAACCATGGCGAAGTCTTGAGGATGTCCGTTGGCGTCGTTGTCGGCTGTTTCGATACTTTCGGGAAGGTTTGGGAGGATCGGAGTTTGAAGAGCGGCTGATGCAGCCGGGCGTTACCGACTTGCTCACTAGAGGGCATGTCTGTTAGCTCGCACCATGTCCTCGACTGTTGTCGAACCTTTGCCTTCCTCCATTCACGAACTCCTGGAAAATTGCGATAGAGCTCATAGCTTAATACAATCTCCTCCTCACACCGCTGGTCCCTCCCCCGCATTCCTCCCTCCTTTCTCTCTCGCATTCTTAGGGCCTCACAGCCTGACACACCATCTGCGTCCTTTTACCGCCTCTACGAGCTTTCGTGCTCGACTGGAACGTCCAGTTCCGCAATGAGCTGGAATATTTCTGCCCCATGCGTCCTGACTGGTCTATCTCTGTTCTTTCGACCCCGCTGACGTCGACCCCGCACGATACGCGACGCTTACGGTGCTTGCAAGGCTCATGTGTGATTCCTTCAACCGAAGGATAGAACTAGGTCTCCCGCGAAACGCTCCTGCGATTATACAGGACTTTGAGAAGCTGCAGGCGAGACCCAAAGTCCACGAACGGCTGCCGAAGTGGGCACAGCGCGTGCCTGCTCTGCAGGAGCGGATATTCATCCCGGACTCGCAGGGAAACACCCCGGTGGAAGGGGACGAAGATATTAGCGAAGAGTTTCGAGAGATGAACATCGTCGTCAGGATGCCTCATATCTATTTTATCTAATCTCTCTGCGTCGGTCGTGTCCATCCTTGGAGGTTTGTCTGTGCATGCTGCTATTCCTGATATATCTGCTCCAACCAATATTGCTTGGTTGCGCATAATTGTATGTATTTTTAGAGATTTTGTGGATCGGCGACATAGATTGTGCAAAAATCGGCACATCCGAATGTGCCTTATCCTCATACACTTTGTCCAACCCGTCAATCAATGCCTCTGTGGGCGCCGTTTCAGCTCGCCCTTTTTACTGCTGGCCCTCGCTTCTAAATCAACTGCGCAAGGTACTTAACGACGTCATGTCGTACGGGCGAAGGCCAGGTTTAGCTAGCGGTCAAGACGCCGCCAGGGTGCGGCGTAGACGTTCAATCACGATTTGTTTGAAACCAGGTCGTTTTGGTTGATCGCCTCATCGTATCAAACGTCGACAACTCTCTCCTGCCAAAAAAACAACGGGGACGATAGTAGTGCTTGGTCTCCTGGAAGACAGTGAAATGAAAATCCAAAAGGTGGCCTCGATGAACAACGTCGTATGGCTGTTAAGCCAAGTTCCTCAACTTGAGCGACTTGCATATATATCGTACGCGGCAACGATGGTCGCTGCAGCGTCCTCGGTCTTCGTCTTCGTGCGATAGAAGTCGACGTCTGACGTTGATGCGCGCGAATGAAGGAGGAGCGCCGCTCACAGCGATGATATTAGAGATGTCACGACACTTCGAAGTCAAGGCGCTGGCCACTTTGGTCAGCCTCCGTGATCTTGGCCGCGGTGAGGACATCGTGGAACACGCCAGGATGGTTGACAAGGTCCCGGAGCGTGATCATATCCCTCGCAGGGAGACAGTCATCCATAGCCTTTCGGGGATGCAGTCAGGGCTGTGTGAATGGGTGAGAACGCACTGTCGAGTAGAGTGCATGTGAGCTGGACAGGTCAATCCGCCGCGCTGGGACTTCCATACCAGTGCTATTTGTGCCCTCTGTCAGTAATGCCGAGACCTGTTTGCCTGAGATTCACGTAACTCGCCGCTTTCCAAATCCGTCGACTTGTCAGTCCTTCCATCTGATAGAGACGGGCGCAAAGATGGTAGGCAGTGCTAGAAAAGAGCTGTCAAGATCAAGGCGGCCGTGAAGTGATGAGAGAATCAGCAGGCCCGCATGATATCAAAGATGGCACACCAGTTGCAGGTTGATGTAGGGATGACCGAGGAGGACCAACACTACGACAGTTCCCTTTATTCGGTCCAGTTTGTTTTGGCTCATCATGGACGTAATTGACGAAGAGCAATCGCTATCCAGTATATGGTGCATATAGAATCAGTTGATGAGCGCGAATGGGAACTCCAGAGACATCGCTGTCTCCATCAAAACGGCCCGAGCCAAAATGCGCGGCCAAAGCATTCAGCTCACCGCAGCCGAAATCATGTGATGGAACCAACAGTGACAAGCTCGTACACAGTGGATGAGAGCCCAGCACCATGACAGGATATGGCAAGCAATCGAGGTCGTTGTTGAGTCGATGAGAGTCTACTTCAGCAAGTCGTCCTTACGATAGTAAGGAATCTGCTCCGTCAAGATGTTATAGGCCTTGGAAGTATCGGTCACGATATGTGATTGACACAGCACAGGAGGTTTGGCAGAGTCGACGATGTGGGTTAACAGGCAAGAGGTAATGTGACGCATGCTCGCACATAGCGGATACTTTGAGGCTCGCCGATGGGGCGTAGATGCTGTAACTGAGAGCGTATACCGGGTGGTGGTCTTCCCAGGAGGTTCAGTCGCGTCTTGTCTCTACTCTGCGTTTACGCTACCGGTCGGTAACTGCCTTTGTCTAGACAGGTTCGATGAGATTAGTATGTCTCACCGAAAAAGAGCTGTCCGACAGTGAAACCGGGTAAGGATAGACACAGGCTGAGACTTCGATCGAGCAGGGATGAGCAGACTCCGTTCCAGATCTGTCATGTAATTAAGGTCTCTAAAATCACCTGGATGCCATATAATGCGTAGCATTCAAATCGAATCGCACGATATGTAGACCATGAACATAGGGTTACCGGTCTAAACCCCTCTTTCTCCTTTCGATCTCAGCCTCGGCCTCAAGCTCTTGGAGAGCAGCCTCAGCCCAGCCCTGGAATCCACCCTTCTCGTATGCTTGGAAAAGACGCTCCTGGGCTGCTGACCATGACCACGCCTCAATGCTCGCATTCCCAGGGGTGATCAATTCCGTTGAAATGGGGGAGGCCAGCGACAGCGACAACGAACCAGCCGGAGATGGAGGCGTCGATGCGGTGAATGGGACTGTCGGGAGAAGTATGTCGGGTTCCGTAGGGCGGTGTATTCGGGAGGCGAGGATGGGCATTTTGGTCAGAACTATTTGTCGCATGAGCATGGCGAACTCTTGCGTCTGTATATGAGAGAAGGTTTGCGCAGTGTCAGAGGCCAAGCAACAATGATGTGGGGAAGAAAAGATAGACACTAACATCGCGCACACCAAGGTATGTTTTTACACCGACAATCCCTGCCATACCGGTCGCTACTACCACCGCGGTCGCGATGCTAAATGCCTTGAGCGTGTAGAGAGGTGCGTTAAAGGAATCGATGATTCCTTCAGAAGCTTGATCAGCTAAAGAGTCGATTGCTTGCGGCTTGTGCACGGCCTTTTGCAGAGTCGGACTATTGGGTATTGATGGGATAACACGTCTCGGTGGTGGTGCTGATGACTGATTTGACCGAGGCTGAGTGGGAGATATGTTCAGAGCATGTCTACGAGGTGGGGGGGCTACGTTCCCCGTATGCGAGAGTGTAGCCGTAAGAGCTGATGCGCGCTGTCGTCGAAGGAGGAAAAGTGGAACAGCGAGTGCAGCTGACGTGACTGCGAGCTGGCATGAAAAATAGGAGGGGAAATGGTCAAGTGCGCCCAGAGATTCATCGTCTCAGAATGATGATATTGTGACATACGAGAGACACGGGGATCCATGGTGAAAGCTTGGCTTTCGGTACGGACGAGGTTGGCAGAGTAGATGTTGATGGCGACGGCTCTGCTAGAGATGCCATGATTGTAGTATCGCGATCTGATTGATCTCGAGCCCCTCTGGCTCAGATATGCCGATAGCCTTGATTCTCCGTGAATGGGACGCTTTTGAAGTGGACAAAACCGAAGAAACAGGCAGAGGAGCCTGAACGTGACGTCAATCTCATGACCGTGGGAGTTCTTTGCCTGTCCACGGCTGTCCACAGCCGCCCACAACCACTTCACGCTTTCGTTTGCTCTATCCATATCTCTCGTCTTGAGTGCACTTGTCGCACTGCCGCACTTGTGTCTTCTCTTACAAGAGGAAGAAGGTAATGTTGCGATCGCATTGAGTAATTTTTCCATTTTCTGCGGAGGCCTCGACCATACAGTCGACGGGGCCGGGCTAGTCTCCCGAAGATAGCAATGTTGACGATTCTCCTTCAACCTCCGACGTGGTCTAGTCGTGGTCTCCGGATATTCGTTACTGGCTACAGAACGTGTTTCCCGCGCACTAAGCGAAACCTAGACTCGTCTGGCGCAAATGTCGAATGGCCCACAAGAGTCTCCGTTATTCTGATCTCATTCACCGCAGTCAATCGTCTTGACTGGCACTCCCCTAATGGTGCTGGACTGCTGTAGGCATTCACTTGACCATTGATCTTATTTGTGGATTTTGTGGAGGGCAGTTGTCTCGCTACGTGGTTTTCGTCGTACACACGTGTGACCGGAGCCGATGACAGAACTGCGGTATGCTATCTGCACACTACGGCACTACTACGGCATAGTGGCTTACAGGGTGGAGAGGTTGCAGATGTGCCTCTCGGATCCATCAGACTCCACTCTGTTCCGTAGAACTCCAGTTAGGTCCGATTTTCGAAGTGTGATCGATCGCCAACGGCCTAGTACACGTCCCAAAACTCCCGGTCAGCTCTAGTACTGGGGCAATGATGCGATATACTATCGCTTGCGTTCCAACATGCCTTGCCGATCAATATGTACGAGATTGCCTCTGAGCGACACTACTCATCACCCACTCGGCTAGCAAGATTAGTGCAGAATTCCTCTCGTAATGTTCTTCTGCCCGAAAGGCCAGATAACTCTTACTTCTTGCGCATCCGGTCGTCACCTGCAGACCTGGCCTCATGGCACTTGATTCCGTCATACGTCCCTGGAACTGCGACAGGCCGAAGACTTGCGCTCGGGTAATAAGGGTTAATGATACGCTTCGATAGACGGGCGACAGGTCAAGATGGGAGTCTTCAGCATGTCAGGTTGAGCGTTAACAAGACGGTGATGACATTTCATGCAGGCCCTCAGTCTGAAGGTCTGATACTGGCGCATGACTGGCGTCCCTGCAGTCGAATCTTTACATCTCGTTCTGACGTAAAACATATCTAATATGTCCAAGGCAACTACGTCCATCAACGCAAATACCCCTGCTTACGGCTCGCCAGGTGCATCGTGTATGCTGAGGATTCTTTTCCCTTTAGATGGCGTGAAGCCGCAGATCCGACCCTCGGCTTGGTCGAGCGCCATAAGAAGGGTCGTTCTCAAAACTAGACATCAGGTTTTCCTTGCTCCCTGCCCACCCCTTGTCAACCTTCATCCCGAGCATGGCCTCTGATCTCACTGTGATCGGTGGATTTGCAGCTGCCACTGTTGTTGCGTCTCTTTTCATCAAGTATCGCAACTGGAGAGCTCTTCCAGTTCCACCAGGCCCCAAGCCATGGCCGTTCGTAGGAAACATCACCGACCTCCGGCCCCTAGAGCTATGGGTGGCAGCGAGGGAGTGGAGTCAACAGTATGGTAAGTGTCTTTTGGACATCTCGACATGTGTACAGAGGACCATGTGTCCACTGCGTCTAGATCTCACCGGAGCCTAGATGCTAGATCAGCGTAGCTATTTGACATGGGTGCTGATCACATCGCCAATTGCAGGTGAAATCGTATACACTCATCTGTTCGGAAAGGGCATCATTTTCCTGAATAACCTCGACGTCGTCAATGACCTGCTCGATAAGCGTGCAGCCATCTACTCTGATAAGCCACGCCTGGTAATGGTGAACGAACTGTGCGTATCTTTGAGCATGACAATTTCCCGACTTTTTTTCTCATTCAAACACGTCCCTGACTCTTATCCAGGTGCGGCGTTGGAAATATGGTAAAACTGCCAAACGTCCTTCTAACGATCGGAAAAACCTTGACAGTGCCTATGATTAGGTTGTCTTCACAAACTATGGTGACAAAGCGAGGCGTCAACGCCGTCTTATGTCGCACACCCTGAGTGCCTTCCACGTCCCAAGGCAACATCAGATACTCGAAAGCGAGGCACGCAACATGATCGGCAGGTTCCTCGAGGGCGGTGATGCATTCGCGCACTTGAGACGATACGCTGTCGCTATTATTGTTCGTATTGTGTACGGGGTGGACATACGCGATGACGACGGGAGCATGAAGTTCCTCGAGCTTGAGGAAGATACCACGGAACTGTTGGCGAATGAGATCACCTCTCGTGGGGGCGTGTGGGCTGTAGATATGATACCCTGGTGTGCGTACCTGGCCGCCGGCCTTGTCGATGATATGTTTACTAACTCTTGACCTCGAACAGTGAAACACATTCCTTCGTGGTTTCCTGGTGCCGGCTTCAAGCGCAAGGCCAACGTGTGGAAGAAACAGTTTGACGAGCTCCGTGAGCTTCCCTGGGCCACTATGAAGGCCAACATGGTGCGATGTCGTTGTTTTTGGCATTTGCAGTGCTCTTATCAAGTCTTGTTACATAGGCAGCGGGCAAAGCGCCTTCGTCGTTCTGCTCGGAGCTGCTGACTCAATCTGGAAAAGCGCTCAGCCAGCAAGACGAGACTGACATCAAGGACACGGCCAATTCTATGTACAGCGCAAGCATGGACACAGTACGGCGGTCTAAATCTTGAACAAGAACGATGACGACTGAAGCATTACGTTTTAGACTGTCGTCATCATATCTCACTTCCTCATTCAGATGATGAAGCATCCCGAGATCCAGGAGAAGGCACATGCTGAGCTGGACCGCGTCCTTGGTGGTCGCCTCCCAACATTTGCGGACCGGGACAACTTGCCTTACATTACAGCGGTCTTTGAGGAGAGTCTTCGATGGGCATGCCCCGTACCACTTTGTGAGTCCCGCCTTGAAAGCTTTTTGATAGTAGAGCTGTTATCAATCAACATCTACCCTAGCCCTTCCTCACTGCCTGCTCGAAGATGATGAATATAAGGGCATGCACTTGCCCAAGGGCTCAATCGTATGTGTTCGTCGTGTTTGAGAGTGGCACAGGTTCTAATTGATATCTCCAATTTGCTACATAGGTCTTTGCAAACATTTGGAAGATCGTGCGAGACGACAACATCTATCCTAACCCCGAGACGTTTGATCCTGAGCGGTTTGTTGAAAAAGGCGATGGGTCTTACAACACGAAACAGGCTGACCCTCGGCAATTCGTCTTTGGATTTGGTCGCAGGTTCGTGTGCCGCTTAAGTGCTGTATCCCGCCGTCTACTGACCATCCTATAGACGATGCCCGGGCGTGCATCTTGGTACAACTTCTGTCTGGTTCTTAATCGCGTCATTGCTAGCTACACTCGACATCCGAATGCCGCTTGACTCTGACGGCAAGCCCATCGAACCAAATGTGACGTTCGAAAACTCTATCTTCCGGTCCGTGTTCCTTCTGCTCTATCTTCCTGTATGTCATCGCGCTGACTCGGAGTTTCAGCACGCCGAGTGACTTCAAGGTGGACATGAAACCTCGCTCAGGCGCAAAAGCGGCATTCCAGTCTTCGGCACCACTCACATCTCCTTAATCCACCTGATCATCATTGCTTTGTAATTTAATATACTGTGTACTTGCTCTTGCATCGCCTAGTTGTTGCCACATTATGATATGTATGTGTTCCTTGCTGACTAGAATATTCCTATGCATCTCCGCCGGAGAACCAAGACTAAACAGAGACCGGAACATTGCCCACAGCGGATAAAAGTTAGGGCCACCCACCCCGATGGGAAACGGATGCCATGACGCTGATGTTCTACCCTTTAGAACCCAGCACGAAACCCAAGGCGTCCTTGAGATCTTCTGGTCTGCCTATTGCGTTCGCCTCTTCCACTAGTGTAGATGCCATGACGCCTCCTTCTGTTTCTTTATCGCTCCCCTCTGCATCCATACTTCTTGCTCGCTCAATCAATTGCGATATGGCCCAAGACATGTATCCAGCCTTGCCCGTCTCCCACTGCCTCTTGGCCGGATCTGATGGTGGGACTTCTGCGCGAGAGAGGTCGAGGGCTGGTAGGTGTTGTATGACATTGAATAACTCGGATATATGGGGTGGAAGAGTCGAGAGTGGTTGGGAAGGAGAGGCAACCAAGGACTGAAGGAAAGAAAGCTGCTGCAAGTGACGCTGAGCGCGCGCAGCCTGTATACTAGATTTATGGACTGCGCGAGTATATAGTCGCTTGAGACGATGTTGCTGAACAGAGATATTTACAAAGTATATATCACCGTGCGAGGCGGTAAAGATGAGGACGCACGTTATCAACCTGCTTTCTCAACTCCTCTATCTCGTCCATCAACTCATCTTCGGTTTGCTTTCCCTTCTCCCCTTGCGCTGCATCCAGATCTAAGCCCTCTTGGTGAGGCACCACAATCTCCAATTCCTCTGGAACTTTGAAGATGTTCCTCAGGGACCACGCCTCGAAAAAGTCAAACGCGATATCTGTGTGAAACTCCAGGAGTGTCTGGAATGATACGAGACCTTGTTCGAGCTCGGTGGTATTTTCCCAAGCTCCACCAGGCGGCTGATCTTCTACCCAACGTAGAAGAAAGGTCTCAATCGCGTCGACTGCACGCCCAACAACATCGTTTGCACTATTGACGATATCGTCTAAAAGGAAATGAGGTGAAAAAGATAAGAGCTCTGGGAGGAGAACAGAGGGAACGGACGGCGCTGCGATGGCCGGAGGTGAATCTTTTGTTATTGTTGATGTCGATGTTGTCGCCTCCATTGTGCTCGCCGAGGGTGGTCGCAAACAAACGAGACGCGATAAACGCTGCTTAACGTCACGTGAATTGCACGTGACTACATCTGTTGGGATTATCGGACCACTCGCAATTTACACCTTGCATGCTTGCATCCATGAATCAGCAGATACACCTCACAGCAAATCGATGCTAACTCAATCATATTTAGGTACTGCTTAAACAAGAACGCGCAGCGATGTATCTTCAATTTGCATGACGTCAACTTGGGGGCTTCTTGCCCATGAGCACATCTGGCATCATAACTTTTCGTTCATGTTCGTGTGATCGTTCATAAGTTCATTTCCAAGCCACTGACTTTGATAGAACCCTGACAGCATAGGTCCTCGGTACAGTAAGCCATCCCAAGCTTCGTCATAACTCAGTTCGTTCAACCATTGTCCTTTGCAAATCTATCCAGGATCTGGAGCTTGATCCCTCTTTCCTCTTATTCTGATCTCTTGTTTACGGTCTCCAGATTTATGGTAGATTGTTTTCGCTTGACGAGGCGGCCAGGTATGTTTTTACCCTGCTTCTACTCTCGTAACCTGTGATCCTTGGCCTTATCATCCATTTCTATCCTCCGAGGATGAATCGTCACTATCCTTCTTTGGCACCGTGTTCACATTGCGTCTCCTGCAGCCAGTGTGTTGTGTCTAGGACGTAATCAGTCTCTATCAGCTTCTCGGCATTCCCCTACATCTGCGTCCCCTTGCACGGAGATCTGGCAGTGAGTCGTTCTAACGGCATCGCAACTTGTCAAGGACCATCGGAGATCCCCTACGTATCAACTCATGGCCTCGGGCTTGGACAGATCCAGGCGCTACTTCTCACTTTCTAAGTTCAATGATAGGTACAGACCAACGGATTACCTCCGTTTGAATGACTGATTGTGGCACATCTATCTATTCGACGACCCTTAGATTCGGAATGGTGCTTTTGTAGTTTACCTAAATCCGTGTCAGCGTTTACTGCTGTCTTACTCGGCACCGGTGACGAATGGAAGTAGACATTATGATCGCACAATACCGATACCTTCCTTAGCTAGCCTTGGCTTCGCTGAATTGACTCCGCCAGTGAGCCGATATAAGTTCAGATGCATGCGTGTGGAGAACCCGAATCGTTGGACAGTCTGTGATATACCTCGGGATCATCGCCATATAAACGGACATGCAGGTACCGCCGCTTGGGAGCTAGAGCTTTTCGGCATGTTGCCTTGTTCAACTTGGAAAGAGGGCTACGCTCGCGGTGGACATGCGAATCGAGCATCCGCGGATCCAGCCTCTCAAAGGCCATGAGATTCGTTGAATTACGTGCGCTAAAAGGAGCATGATCTTTGAATCCATGTCCGATACGCAATGTGGAAATCTAGACTAACTCTTGAGCCTAAGTTGAGGTCGCGTTCGTTCAACGCAACATAAGAAGTTTGTGAGGTTCATCGATCGAACGATCATTTTGCATTACAAGTTCATCAAGCACGGGTAGCATTTAAACATCCAAAACTACATAGCATTGTGATAAGTGTCCGTCGGCGCTGCTGCATGTGAGCCCAAATGCAGCTCAACAGGAAGCGACTCGTCTAACAGCCAGAGGGGAGGGTGGCGTCGTCGACTTGGTTCTTGGCATTGACGCCCAAGCCGCGGCTGGCGAACGCCTTCCAGAGAAGGCACTTGTTAGCACCGTTGTAGCGGTTAGCATCAGCCTGGATGATGGCATCGCGACCAGTCAAGACTGCGAATTGTCGGTTGAGTGTCATCGAATAAGAGGTCAAAATAGTACAGGCACGTACAAGTGGGGTTGCAGGGCTGGATAGGCAAAGCGTCAATGAATAGGTGCAGGAAGACAACGTTGCCCTCAGTGCCGCTATAATAATCGATCAGACAACGAATTAGCACATAGGAACCGCGAAAGACTCACTCAGGGGTAGTGCGGGCAGTGCTAGAGTAGCCGTGCGCGGAGACGAGAGCAGCGTAGACATTGTGGAGGGTGTTGGCCCAAGCTTCACCGATATCGTGGACTTCGGTGAGAGTCTTGAGCGACCCGTAGGTGAGGGGGTTCGTGGTCTTCGAGGTGGAGTACGGGTGCGAGCGAATACCGGCGGGGTCGTTGACGACGTATTGACCCATGACGTAGTCCTGAGTGTTGACGCTCTTCTGCTCAGTCCAGCTACATATACAACGATTTTTGGTGTGAGTATCGTTGTAACATCAGAAGGAACGCGGGAAAACGCACTCAGCCATGGCGTCAGACCAGCCTTCGCCCATACCGCCGGCCTCGGTGGTTTGCAAGCAACGGCCAGTTCCACCACCGGTCATGCGGTTGGTGATACCGTGGGTGTTTTCGTGGACGACAATGTCGTTCTCGAGTGCTCCATCACGCTCGGGGTTGGTCTCGTCCCAGAGGAACATGCGCATGGCACCAGATTGACCACTTGGGTGGAAAAAGTCTATCAGAATCGGGGGCAAGCGCACGAGCCTTGGGAACTTACTCAGCAGGGGTCGAGAAATCAGCATTGTCAGTGCCGGCGCTGTCCTGGACGCTGACGGTGACGCGGTCGCTGCCAGCACCACCCTTGCCGAAGTTGTTGGTCTGGAAGTTGAAGGCGCTCTCCGTGAAGCCCTATTGTCTCAAGTCAGCTCCTTCATCTCTCAAAACATGATGTAAAGTGACCCACGTAGCGGTAAGAAAAGTCGTGAACCGAATTGACAATGTAGAACGCGTTGGTGATCGCAGCGTTCAGGTTAGCAGAGGTAGTAGGGGCGTTTGCAGGGTTTTGGGTGTAGATGAAGTTGAGGCCGGAGGAAGACTGGGAGGCGGTCTTGCTCTGGGAACCCTTGTACGCGACGACGTTGTTACCGGCAGTTGTGGTCGTGGTCGTCGAGCCCGTGCTATGCCAGCCGGAGGGAGAAGCGACGGTGTCCTGGGGGTCGGTGACGGTCTCGAAGCCGTCGGTCAAAACCTCTTTAGTGATGGGAAGGACACGGTACTACCAGTGGATTGCAGGGTTAGGGAAAGCCTAGACATACATGAGAGGTGGATTCTCACCGAGGCTTTGGCAACGAAGTCAGTGATCGAGACAACCTTGTTGCTGTGGGCGTCGACGAACGCCTCAACCCACGCGCCGGTCGCCTCGTTTTGAATTTGAACGACGTGAACGAGAGCGGCACTGCCGTCGTCGAGAGCAAGGAACTCAAGAGTCGCGGGCCAGTCGTTGTACTTGCCGTCGAGGGTCTCCTCGGCGGTGGCGATGGCCTGCTCGACAGTGATGGAGGGGGTGGACGAGGGCAAGTTGTCGGCCTTGACGAACGAGGAGCCGAACGCGACAACCTTGCCAGCCTTGTTGAAAGCGACGTTGGCGACAGCGTTGGCGAAGGGGACACCCTCCTAATCATTCAATAAGGCATTTGAGCACCATCTCAGATCTCCGATCACGATCGAGGCGACTCACGTGGGCCTGCTTGACGAACGCATGGCCAGAGACGTCACCTTCATAGGCTGATTTGAGGGCAACAGCGGATTCGCCGACGTTCAGCTTGTCCTGGACGAAGGCAATAGCGGCATCTTTGATGTCGAAGTTGTCGCGCTTGGAGAGCGGGTGGTCGACGCCATCAACACCGAAAGTCTACCGATAACAATCAGCCCTGTTTCACTGGTATATTGGCATAGGGATGCGCACCTCGTAGGACGACTCGGGGTGGAACGTCTCGATCTTCAAGTCTCGTCCAACGTTACGAACGCGGTGCGTCGAATGCTTGGAAGTCGTAGGCCAGGGGGCTGCCGTCGCAGTGGACGCATAGAGCAGAGCCAGGAGGACAGAGGAGAACAGTTTGTTGAAAGACGCCATTGCAGTAAAGTAGGTGTCGATTTCACGAGTGCTTCACACTGAGTGGATGCAGGCCTAGACTGGGATGTCGAGGAGGCAGACGATGAGCTCGGAGAGTCGAAGTCTGAAGAGACAGGACTCGAGCCTTCTGCTTTTATACATGAGATGCTGCACTAGAAAACAAATGGATGGATGCTGCATGCGGGGTGTTTTAGCGGAAGAAGGTTAGGACGCATGGAAAACTAAGGCCCGCCGGATCGCTTGGCCAGTATAGCACACGGTGGAGTACGCGCAATTGACCGAGGGTTAGTGCTGATGAGGGTGGGGGCGGGTGCCAAGAGGCGGTTCCTGCAACGCCAAGTAAAGAGTAACGTGCCACGGGGTATCCGCTGCTCTCTGCTTCCCCCGTTACCCATGCAGTTCGCGATATCGTATCGGCGGAGAGCGCGTGTATAGATGTGTATATGGAAGTTGCGGGGCGAGATAAGGCTCTCGACGGTATTGAAGTGGCCAGATCGAATGTTTGCACAAGGTCCTAGGTGAGAAACGGAAATCCACCCTGCACACGAGTGCTTCCAGCGTGCAAGGTTGCAGGATAACAGCCCAGCAGACCGGTATGGGCGAGGATCTAGGATCGTTAGAGAGTATGTATCGCTGTATCAGACCAAGATACAACAACTGCTGCCCTTCATAATTGGAGGGACGGCTCTATCGCAAAGCCTGTGCCATACGCTGCATACATCCAAGAAGTTCAAGCGACGGCGAAACGGCACGATGGAGACTGATGGGGAGCATGTGCTGTGTGCTCGTTGAAAATCACTGAGAAGCTACTGACCTCGTAACGTTGACTAAAATTCTCTAAGCGGCGTGGTGAAGCCTAACAATGATGAGCCCTTAGCGAGTCGTGACTCCGGTAGTATGAAAGTCCAGGAGTCATTGGTCGCAGAAGAAAGGTCAATCCAACGTAGAAAGGAATTTTGTTCTCGTCGCATGCCTATGGTATTCAACCATGTGACCTCGTCGCGCCTCTTCATGATCCTGTCTCGAAACATGAACACATCTGCACCAGTCCTGCGCTCTTGGAATTAAATTATTATAACTCCTTTGCCTTCGTGCAACTGGTCAAAAATATAAGCATTGAACCCGTTCAATCTTGTGGAGGCTGACGAGCTCGAGAATGTACCACATGCTATTGCTATCGGGTGTCCTGAACCACACGACGGCGGCTATCCCTGCCCGCAAGTCTCCATGCTTTTGACATCGCCATAGCACGAAGACTGTCGCTGACCTGATCTTTTTGCGAAATGGTGTCAAATGACACCAGCCCGAGCAGCTACACTTAGCTGCAATACACCACGCTCTCAGTTCTCCCGTGTTTGCGCCAACGCTACGCCAACGCCCATCATGATCTCAGGTGGGAGGCGGTTCAACGCAGCAGAGACATCGACTGACTTAGGCCACGTAATCAGTTCCCAGCCTGCTGCTGTCGGATGCAACGGTTGCCGACGCCGACGCTTACCGACACTCACCAGCGCTCCTCCCAGACATGTTGCAGGGGTATACTTCCGTCCAGATTCCCACCTCAGTACCCTACCCTCAGCGTCTCCGCGTCGGTAATCCATCAAGACTCCACCGCAGACCGTGTTGCCAGAGCAGTAGCGCCGATACATTCCAGCCAGTCCAAGATCTAGACGCGGCTGACATACGCGCTCGAGTGATAACCCCACTGTATTCAACTTCGTCATGTCTCTTGAGTCCGTGAATCAACTACTGCTGAAGGCTTGCTTATTTCCATGGTGCTATGCCTATATCCTGTAATCATGCTGTTCGTCCCTTACTTGTCAACAAAAGAACAGGCTCTTGCGTTCCGCGTATCACTGGGCAATATCTGGTTCTCGGTTCTGATGTTAGGAACTTTTCTGCCTCCAGCTCGACAGAGAGCCTCTGCGACCCCAACTCAATACTCCTGCGCGAGTTTAATGACATACCTGAGACTCGATGGACTTTGATCCTGAAGCCTGAGTCTGCATAACATCAGAAACGGATCACATCGCCCCTTGACGTATTGACCCTTAGGTCTGCCTACAGGTCCTAAACGTCTGAGGACTTCTTTGAACCCCGATCATCAAGACGGGGGCGCTCTATCCGATGTACCCAAAAAAAACCAATACTCGTGTCAATATCCCTGCACTCCCTACGTCTGACCTTCAGGAATGGAGATCTAGCCTACAAATCGCTCCCTGAAACCTGTGTAGCTTTGCGTCGAAACAAAAGTTGTTCATTGCCGCCTCTTAGGGCCAATGTTTTGTCACCGACATTTGATTCTACGTATGACATGAGACGACGACTGGTTATGTGATGGAAAGCTCACCGTAGGTATTTAACATCTTTTCTTTCCTTTTGTTGTCGTCACCGCACAGTTCCCACAATATGTCTTTTTCGACCATTCTTCGCTTGGTACTTCTGTGCCTCCCTGTTGTTCTCTGGTATAGTCGCCGCCAAAGGACACTTACTATTCCTCCCGGTCCTCAAGGAGGTTTCTTCTCTGGTGTTGCGTCAGTATTGTCCAAGACCGAACCATGGCGACAATATGCATCATGGAGCAAGAGATATGGTACGTACAATGTCTCGTATTGTGAGGCGTTCACTCACCATTCATCTATAGGGGACGTTATATCCTTTCGCGTGTATAATCAACACATCGTAGTTCTCAACACTTATTCAGCCGTGCACGATCTTCTCGACAAGCGCGCAGCAATCTACTCTGACCGGCCCAAGTCATGGATGCTACACCATCTAGTTGGTCGGGAAAAAACTGTGTTCAATATCGCCGCATCCGACGCACGCCATCGACGTTATCGCAAAATATTGCATAACGAACTGAACCAACGTGCGACAGAGCGATATGCTGAAATTCTGGAAGACGAGACAACGCTCCTGATACAGGGCCTTGAGCAGTCGCCGCAGGGACTGGAGGACCACGTACGACGGTGGGCCACGTTGCTTGATCACGTTCGCAGGAGATAACTGAGCTCGAGCCTGTCTTGAAGGCATGCTGGAAGTGTGATCATGAAGCTTGCGTTCGGGTATTCCGTCGCAGAACACGATGACTTTTTCGTCCAGGCAGCGGAGGAGTCGTCCAAGATCTCTGGCTTCGCGCTTGCGCCTGGCAGATGGCTAGTCGAGTCCTATCCACTTCGTAAGCCGTCTACGCCCGCGCTTTCTCACATACAAGTCGAGTCTGAAGGGACGCCGTGACGTGATTCAGTGCGATTCGTTCCGTTGTGGTTTCCTGGCGCTGGCTTTAAACGCCAGGCGGACGTGTGGCGTCGGAGACTCGACGTCCTCACTGATGTACCACATCAATGGGTGAAAACACAGATGGTAAGCGCCTGACGGAACGCTCGGTCATGGTGCACATGGAGAAAACATTACTAAATGTGTGCGCGGACTCACAGGCTTCAGGAAACTTTATCGAGTCTTTCACGTCCCGCCTGTTGCGAGACTCGGCCGGATCTCCAGTCAGCAACGAGGATGAGGACATCGTGAAATGGTGCGCCGCTGGGCTGTACGCCGGAGCTGCAGACACGGTGAGCGCTTTATGCGTGTTAGTACGCCGGTAACCAGCTGATGATGTGTCTGGAGACTGTTTCGGCCTTGCTTTCTTTCGTCATGCTCATGGCCCTGCACCCGAACGTCCAGAGACGTGCCCAGGAAGAGATTGACAGCTCCGTAGGCCACGGCCAACCACCAACGCTCGCAGATACTCGGCACCTTGAATACCTCACTTGCGTCATGAAGGAGGTATTGCGGTTTGCTCCTGTAGGTCCACTGGGTAGGTACACTTGTTCTACGTGCGTTTCCCTGGAACACCAAGTCTAAACTGCGTTGATCCGTGTCAATCAGCCTTAGCCCATAAAGTGAGTCGAAACGACGAGTACAGGGGCTACTTGATTCCGAAGGATGCGACCGTGTTCGCGAACGTTTGGTATGTACATGAATTTGATTGCAGAATCCTCTTACGAGGCCTTTCCTGAACGAACTCTTCCGCTTCTACATCAATGAAATGTCGCAACAGGTCGATCTTGCACGACGCACAGATGTACCCAAATCCGTTTGCCTTCGATCCAGGACGATTCTACCCCTCAGACGTCCCTGGAGAAGCAAAGACACAGCCCGACCCTCGTGAGCTGGCATTTGGATTTGGTCGTCGTGTTTGCCCTGGTGCGTGTTCCTTGAAAGCCTCCGAAATCCTTCCCAAACACCATCAGACCCTCGAACGTTGAACATAGGCCTCGGCTCCGCTGTCTCTGGACTTTCTGACACCCATTGATTCGTATATGTATGTAAAACAGGCTCTTTCTTCGCCGAGGCATCTATGCTGGTAGCTATGGGAAACCTCTTGTTTCACTTCGACATCGTCGCGAAGCGTGATGGAGGGGCTCCTTCTGCGCAGGAAGTGGAATTCACGACAGGAATAACGAGGTTCGTCTGTTCTCTATTTCGGACCTCCGCTGCACTTCCCTCTCCGTGTTACTCTCTTCCCCTCGTATCTCCGGACATCCATGGCTTCGCGGCCATCTTTCTTGCGTTCTTCTTCTGCGATGTTCATGTCCGAGCCGATTTGTATTACGCGCGCGCACGCGATGTAGTTCGAATGACGTCTTTGACACGCTTCCACCGCACCCCTTTGCGGGATTGTTTGCTTCGATCGTAGTGGCTCGCGTTCTTCCTCTCTATCATCAATACGATCAAATTCATTATCTCGATACCACCTGACGCTTACTCGAGGCCGTTTTCTTTCTGCACAGCCATATCAAGTTGTTCGACGTCGATTTTCTCCCGCGGGAGACACTCGGATCCCGCGGAGAGTCCCGAAGCCATCCGAGGTAATCCGAACCACTAGGTTCGGTACCGTGTTTACGCCCTGCTTGCCCTCGGTGGACACTCAAGTTTGGTCCATTCAGTCGATGTGGGAGATCCAGGGTCGATTATACAGCACTTCCAGTTCTCGCAGTCTTGTAGATGAATCATTTCGCGGTGAAGTTCGATCGTCGTTCGCGGGGCCGAAGCAGTCTATCCCCCCTACTTGTCACGCAGGTTTCCAATTTTCCATTATGCGCTTCGCACAAATCAATAACGTCAGAAACCTTTCTTGAAGAAGTAATAGATACAGTGGTACTAAATAATGCTACAGTAGATATGGTCACAGCGTATAACAAAATAGCTAATTACTGGTATACGACGATGATGTGACACAGGCACTGGGACACAGTCTAGAAAGTATGTAGCTCAAGGCCTCCCGTCAGTATCATCAACAATATCCCATTCCTCCTCTTCAGGTATCTTCTCCCGAGACGGCTGACTATGGTGTGAGATAGAGATCGCACGCGTGCTGGCGCCCGACGCATGAGAGCGAGATGGGCGAGCACGCGAGGAGGGCGTAGCAGCCGTGGCTTGCAATAACTGAGCGAAATCGAGAGAGAAAGTAGGTGGAGTCGGTGGTGGAAGGTGTGGATGCGTTTGGTGAGAATATCTGTTGTTGAAGAGTGGATTAGTATCCAATGAATATAGAAGGTGTACTTATTATGTACATTGTGGAGAAACACCAAGGGAAGGGGGGGGATGAAAAAAGTCACGTACCGTCCAAGGTCTGTAGAACAGCAGACTGCCCACAGGTTGCTGAGGACTTCACCTGCCTGAGACAGAGAGATTTCTACGTTTTGAGTGTGTGCAAGATAGCAGACGTCGAATAGTAGCATGGCATAGGCAGTTGTGAATGAAGATTGTGGTGCAGCAGGGGTCTCGATGTATGAGTCGGAGGCGGGTATCGAGTTAGCATTGTGTGAATTGGATGAGGCGCTAGCTGCATCAGTGGACAATGATGAGATAGATGCAGAAGAGGAGACATGGAGACAATGTTTCGATGTCCATCTACAATGAGGCAAAGAGCATATAGTGAGCTACTCGAGTTCTGCTTTGTGAAGGGCGAGCTTACTTTGCCCAACTGCCTGACTCGGTTCCTTTGATCGAACGTACGAAGGGCTGCCCTACACCTAGTTTACCACCCGTCCATGTGATCTCAAAGGGTAGTTTGATCCCCAAGTAGAAAGTCAAGAGTCCGAGAAAATGGATTGTATGTGTGATCACTGCGTTGATATGATCTGGTGGGTACCCTAACATAATTATGTTTTCATGGGAATCGGTCATATAGGGGAAAGAGAGCGACGGCGTACGACGAATGTCGCCCGGAACCGGGAGCACCAAGTCACCAATTGTCCATTCGCCTTTGATGCCAGCTTTGCCACCAATGGGCGGTCGACCGCCGACTTCGACGATATTGAACACTTCCACTAGTTCAGATACAAGTCCTCCGCGCGCCTTGGCCAGCGTTTCAGAGCGCGCAGCGAGTTGTTGAGTTTCCCGGATGATTATCTGATCAAGGGGGGTCGGAGGCAGGAGATTGGCTTGAGACAGCGTGCGACGACGTGTCGCAAGGTTTTCCCGCATCGATCGAAGACGCTGACGAGCTGGCCACAGCACAAAATTAATGCATGAACCTTCCATGCGAGCAGAAAGACGCGTACTCTTCTCGTTCTCCTTCCGCAATTTCGCCAATGCCGTTTGGATTTCTGCTATACGATCCTGTCTACTTGCCACCTCTGCACGTCGTGTCCGTGAGCATGACACCGTGCCTAGAGCAGCTGTCGCTTTCTGGACATATTCATCTCGATCTACAGAGACATGCTGTATCTGTAAGCGAAAGTCGCGTAGACTGAGCGGTTCCTTAGACAGAATCCCAAGATGATTGCAAAAGATGACAAACTGTGTTCTGATGCAGTTATCACAGTAAAACTGTCTTTGTTTCAGATTGCAATTGTGGCATTCCATGGTGGCATAGTGGACGTAGATTGTGTGCGATTTGAAGCGTGCTCGAGGGCCGACGCCACAACAAGGTCAGACCACGTGCGGACGTTCTGATTGGTAGTTGCTTACCCTCCTTTCGTCTCTACTGACGGCTTCCACAGTCTCTTTCAGCCAATATGGTATAGCATCTCGCCCCAATTCACTCTGCTGAAAGTGCACAACTGAAAATCAACGGCGTAGGCACTCAACGCAGCACTCTCCTCATCCACTGCGGGATCCCCATTTTCTCTTTCACGAACTGCGCCGCTATCGACGTCCAATGCTACCCCACCGCCGCCAGAACTCGAACAGACGCACTCCCTCCTGTCGGGCAATCGATCAGTTCTAGGGTACCTCCTTATATCCCGTGGCCATCCTGCAAGCATCATCAGACATTCGGGGGTGGTGTTTGAGGGCGAGCAGGGGCGGAAATATGCGACCGCGATCGGGAAGATTCTGGACGGTGTACAGGGAGCTCTAGAAGAAATCAGCGACGAGCCGAACGAGGGAGTGAGTGTACGTTCAATTCCCATGGACGTCTTGTGTTCACGTCGATGGTGTAGGATGAAATACGCTTCATGCGAATTCGCACAAAACGACATGAAATCATGATTTCACCAGGTAGGCTGCCTCTCGCTTCTCACCCACCCCTAGTTAGCTTCTCATCTTTGTTGTTTAGACAGACGGTATCTGCTAGCGGTACTTCACGATCCAACGACATGACTCACGTCGGCCTCCCTTGTGTCCGCCGTTTGACAATACCCTCTTTAGCTCGTCGTGTACATTTGTTGTAATCTGTAGGTTTGTTTGCTGCAGCGAACTCTTTGATTCGCTCGATCTTTGGCGGGCCTTTGTCCGATAACTCCATCATCGGCCTGTCATAGCCTGCCAATGCCATACCGCGTGCCTCGCAGACAGCAGCACATGATCCAGAAACTACTTTGGCATATGATCGTACGACGCACCGACGTTCGCTCTCTCATAGCGTGGCAAATCCAGTGAGTCTACTTGATCAATTCAGTCTGCGGGCTTATATCAGCGGTTGAGGGCGATTGAGGCGATCGCAGCCTGCCAAATCCAGGAGAGGATAGATGACTAGAAATTTGATTCAGCCGTGCCACTTATCAGCATCCCGCCAACTGTTCTGCTTCTGCATGGCTAAACTCCAGTTTGTGGCATTAGCATGGCATGCTTCCATACCATCACGCAGGAGTTTTTTTTTGTGCGCAGTGAGGATCGTATGGCGATTCCCTTTCGTGCATCTCCTTGCTTGTCGCACTGCTCCTTCGACAACCGGAGCAGTAGTCTGCTCAGACTCCGATTGGAGCGAGACTCCAGATGTGAGTGATCGGTGCTACCGTTTTGTCGGCTCCCCGCTCTGTGCTGCGCGAGGGCCTGTGCGCGCCTGAATGGCGTAAATTTTATTGATCGAGTAGTGCGAGTGCGGACGACTATACGGAAGATATCATCTGGACTTTACAAAAGACGATAGCAACAGTCTTTGAGCCAGACCTGGTGCATGGTGCTGAGTCAAAGGGTTTGCGTCGAGCGTTGTCGCGTTGCTTCGAGGCCCTGGACGACCATCGACCGACCGACCGACCTCCACGTCGCTATACCTGGACAAATATCGCCAGGTACCTTCACAGATGGGTGCTCGGTCGAATAATATACCGATCCGCCGCCAGTGCGATTGCCATCCGGGGTTCCGCCGGTGTTGTTGATGACTATGATGTATTTCCCGAGACCTCGTGAAAGGAGGAAAGGGACGTCCGAGGCTTTCTTTCGTTGATATTTTGTCTTTGATAAAGAGTGAAGAGATATTCGCCGATTGGACCAGAATCCTTTGCGCATGACACAAAGATCGTACATAGGGGTCCATGCTTTTACTCCTCGGGCGCGATCATTTCAAACGGCAAAACAGAGGACGCGTCACAACGTTATGAGTGTCACGTTGGCGTGATGATGTGTGACAGCAGCGGCCAAGTGATGTCTTTGTACCTCGGGCCTCAGACCTCTCGGTATCTGCGTTCCTGGATCGTCAATAAGCGCACGCTGGCGTGGACAGGCAGCCTAGACAGCTTCCCTTATTTTGGCTGGCCTGGCGATAGTGGATAATTTAAGGTGAAAAGAGTGGAGATTGATATCGCTGGGAGAAGCTCCCTCGAACGACTGGACAGAGCGAATTGACCCATCTAGTGATCGCCCCGCGAACCGATCTGGGTGGTTCTTGTTGGGGTAGTGCCGGGAGCGAATGGGAGGAGGGGGACGTAAGAGATAGAGACGAGGCGTGATTACGTGAAGGGCAGCCACCGGTTGGGAAGAGCCTTTTAGAGTTTGCAGAGGCGAGGAAAGCTGGCGGCGGGGGGGGAGTAAGGTGGATGGCGACGACAAAGAAGCTTTGGGAACGTGCGGGAAGCGGAATGGGCAAGGAACTTTGATGGAGCTGCTCACTGCCTTCCTGTTTCGATTACGGTCGGTTTTCTCCCAGCAGCTTGTCCCAATTCCAACAGAAGCCATGGCTTTAGCGCTTAGTCCCCCCATTATTTTCATCTAGATTCACCGTCATGGACGCCGTATCGTCTCCCGTTCCCCCGCCAGCCTGGCGGGTCCCCCCGGCTACAGTCTCCCTTCCTTATATCCAGCTCGCGTTTCTCCTCCCCTCCCTTCTCTCCCCGGCACTCCACCTCCTCTCAACCGCTCTGAGCACTTCCTGCTCGCATCTCCTCGCACACAGCCATGTCTTCCTCCTCCTCCTTTACGCCGTTCACGGACGACTACCCCACCCCCCGTCTCAGCGGCCGTTTCCCAAACGACCCAGCCTACCCTGACCTCGCCGGTCGTGGCACATCCTCTCCCGCCACCCGACCCACCAGCGCCCCCACAAATCTGTCTGCTGACTGGACCAGCGGCAGAGAAAATATCTCGCACCATTCATTCTCCGGGCCCCAATGGGACCTTGCCTACGACCGCCGCTCGCTCTCCGGCCATCGGCTCGACGCGTCCGCCTCCCCGAACACCTTCCCCTCGTCCCCTTCCAGCTGCTCGTTACCTTCCCCGCCCTCCGCCAGTACCTCTCTTCCGAACGACGCGGACAACGCCTGGAATCTTATTCCGTATCACGTGGCCTGGGGCCCCGAGTACGAGGAATATCGTGCAGGCACCTTGCCGGGCCCAGAGGGGGACTGTATCTTCCTCCGCTCTCCGACGCCGCTAAAGAACCAGCGAGCGGTCGAGGCCTGCAAGAAGTGCCGAGAGCGCAAGGCTAAGGTAAGCCCTCATCCGCCTCTCCATTCCTTCCATGGGTGCTCATCGCTTTGCTGCACTTCAAGTGTTCCGGTACTCGCCCGTCGTGTGCCCGATGCACCTCACGAGGTTATGCCTGTCAATACGCCTCAGAGGCGGAACCAGACCGGGGCCCAGCCAAGAATCGTCGTCGCCGCCGAGACGTGACTACGGTCGCCTCTCCGCCGGTAGTGCGCGTCGTCGGCGACGATGTCTCTTCTGAGAAGGACTATCACACTCGCGACCTCTCCCTCAAGCATGAGGACGATCCACTGGCTTTCGCATATCCGCTGGGTGTGAGCCCTGCGGCTGTGTCATGGGAGGGCTCGACTCCCTCTGATGAGTTCGCCATGGACGAGGCGTGGCGGTTCCCCGAGCACACGTCCTCTACGCCTAGCGACGATGGTTCGCTGATCCATTACCAAGATTCAGCTTATCCTGTTCATTCGTACTCTGACGAGCTTCAACATCTCCATCTCCCGAGTGATGCCTCCATCCTTGCGCCTCGACCACTTCGTCATCTATCATCTACATCCCTCCTCGGGGCCTCCGGCGACCAGTCTTCCTCTGCCTCTCTTTCATTCGACGGCTCTGTGTCACAGACCACATTCGGTGCCCCTTTGCCCTCCCACTACGCCTCCATCGATGGCAGCTTCCAGACGCCGTCCGAGGATGCTCACATCCACTATGATCTCCCTCCATCATATGTCTCGTGAGCACTTCATCTATTATATATCCTTGCATCGTGGCATAGACTCAACAGTGTCAATCATCGTTCAGATCTACCATGTCACCCCATTACTTCTCCGGCGACGTGTTATACAATGCGCAGCACGCTGATCCATATAAACTTGGAGCGGCACCTGTCTTTCACCAAGACTTTGGGACCGGTTACCAGGAGTCGGATAGTGCTGCTGCCCCCCAATTTTCGACATACGCTCCCCTTTCATCAGCGTACACGCCGTTCCCTCGAGGCTCCTAGGGAGCTGGTGGCATAGCCACGCGGCACCGACGAGATTGCTCCCGGTTGCTGCTATTGCGATAGTGTATACCCTCTGATAGGGTTAACCCTTTCAGCTAAATCCGTGGAATCGTCTACCTTTTTGAGATTGACTTGCTGCGGACTCATTTGTGTTATATAACTCATGCTCGTGGACGATCTTCTGTCTCCTGTCACCGGTTCCATCTTGTTCACTTGCAAACCCCACATTGTTCTGTATTGACTGCTTCATTTCTTGTCTCGATTCTTGGTCTTCACACTGGTCTTGTGCTTCGTACATCTCACCGCTTGAAAAAGTATTCATTTGGTCATTATATCATACTCTCCACCACCTACACTACTCGTACAAATACGTACACTGCAATGGCACATTCGAAAATCGAGTTTTTCGACCTCCTTTCTTCTCGAAGGCCTGCTTAGCTTCTTACAATGCGACCCTCGCCCGAAGGCCGACCAAGGTACTTTTTATCCAGCCCTCAGCTAAGTAGGTCACCCGTGCCGCTTCCACGATTTCTATCTCCGAACAGAGTGAAACGCACTTCTCGATGCTTCAGGAATCAGCAGCGGCTAGCAGTCGGTGTCTCAAGCCACTTGCTATCGCTATAAGAAATTAGCACGCCTGCTGATAGATTGATGCAGCAGTATGCTCCAACATAGAATATCGTCGAACGTCGTCGACATGATGACGCAGGGAAGCGCATGTGCCCACGAAACGTTGCCACAACCATGACATGGCGACCGAGTCCAATTGGCATATCTATGCGATCGAGCCGCTGCCGTCCTGCATATGGTGGTCGATACTGATCATGTCACCTGGGCGCCTCTTTCTAGTTCGCTCCCTTTGCACGTCGTCCTCGCATCGAGCGCCACTGGCTCCCGGAACCTGCCAGGGCTATCGTGAGCAGAATGTCATCTAAATATCAACGGGGTCCTCTTGGCTTCCGCCCGCCCCCCCTGGTTTCAAGTCTAGTGTTTTTTTGTAGGTTGTGGTCGCGCAAATTCCGGGCTTCGTGTCGGCTTGCGCCGTGTCGATCTAATCGGTGACATCTGGTGACATCTGGGCGCTCGTCGTCACGCGCGAAAAGCGCTCGCCTCGGAGTCCACTTCTTTCAAGCTACAACTCCTCGTCGACGCTATCTCCTCCATGCCGTCTCTACCCCCATGACTGTAATCTGGGCTAGCTGCATATGTATAACCGCGGGACCCCAGACCAAGATATCTCGTTCGCGCTGCTTCAAGTTCTCGAAGTCCTCATCGTGATCATCTTGGCCTTCGAGCAGGTCTTTCTAGCTCGTATATTCCGGCCGTGGTGGGTGCCGAAACACATGCGTTGTGGTGGTCGGAAGTCGGGAAGACGTTGCCTTGACACACACGATTGCGTTGGTGAAGAAGTGATCCCAGGTGTGTACATCTCTATGATCATGGGACCTCCCTCTGGCATCTCTCTAATGCATTATATATGTGGCGTTTCTCGTAATCGCTCCAGCTCTCGAACGCCCCACCGTCTTAGCACCGTGTCCAGGCTCCAGAACTTGGTACGTACAGTGTGTCCGTGCGCTTCCCCTACGTACTGATGCCGCTCTACAGGTGAGTCTCACGACGACTGATGCTGTGCCCGAATCATCTCGCATTCGAATCACGAATGTCCTATGGGATGATGCCCATGGAGCGGGGAAGTCCGGCGTCCCAATCGCCGCCGGCCAACACCGTGCTGCTACACGATCGTCGTTCAACCGTTTTGGAATGCCCTATGCCGGCTTCGCGAATGCCGAGAACATCTGCTACTTCAGGATTTGATTTCACACAGTAACGTCGATCTTTCTTTTCTTGGATGGAAGTACAGTGGTCAGGATGATGTACTCTTGCCGAACTATGCTAGACACTGAGACGCCACCCCCACCCTCCTCTCTATATTTGGCTCCTGAATATGTCAGCGAGTCGTCCTCAGTTGAGGTGGAAGCAGTAGGGCCTCGCATCCTCTCGCATCATGGTCTAGTTCGAGGTTACATTCCATGACGACGTTTACATCCATCTTATCTACCCATCGCACAGCATAATCTCATCTTACAGCAGATTGTATTGTGACCGTCGTACCTTGCAATGCACTTGCTGTCAATCCTCGGAAATGTTGCCTGCTTGCAGGAGTGCTTCTCAACGGCCCTCGAGAACGATGAGCGCCTAAGGGTGAGCAATCGGTACCGCGGGTTTGGCGCGATTTCCTCGGGTTTTGACTGGATCTTTACTTTTCATTTTCGCTGTCAGCTTCAAACCGAGTTGCGCAAGGTCGCGCGTCACAGCATCATGAGGCTCGCAACCTCTTCAAACAGGCACTCAAGAGCTGATCCAAACAAACTACAGAACTTGACGTGATGTATGAAGCTCGATTGCTGGTGAGGCGGCAGGTGAAGCGGAAGATGTCGGGAACGGTGATATCGACCGAGTTTCGTTATTGAACGGACAGCTGCGCCAATATATGGATCAGCATCCTGCACCCTGAAGATACAGTCGGCGGTGAACTCTGTGATTCCCAGATTCGCCGGTCCAAGTCGAAGTGAAACTCTCCCAGTTCACCGCTACTCAATCAGCCGCCTTGCCGGTGTGGCTCCCGAGATGCGTTGCACTGAGCGTGTATCCCCAGCTCGAGCTAAGATGCAGACTGCGTATGTAACGATGCCTGGAATCCTACAGTTTTGTTACGGCTTTGTTTCTTGTTAAATGTTTACTCCTAAACACGCTTATTGAATATCCAGGATTTCTGATCTGAGAATCCAGGCAAGAGGAGTGAGATTGATCACATGTGGTGTGGTTTTTCCTCCGGATCCATAGAAGCCCCATCTTGGGATCCGAAGATGTCGAAGACAAGCTAGCAAGCGAAGAGATCTAAGGGAGGAATGCAGCCGCGGTGAGGTCGCAGGGGAAGAAGTCGATGTCAGTCAGTAATTTGAAAATGCATGCGAAGCCGATGGAAGCAGATCGTCGATATGCACTGGGAAAAGGTGCTGTAAACACCGCGCCCATAGGTGACATGGAATAATAGATGATGACATTGCCCGGATTGGCCTCGCTGAGAATCCGATAACGTGTGTCAGTTGCATTCATGCACTAGGTAGTGTGTGGGATAGGTTTCCGGCGTTTTGATTGTCCAAAAGACCATCATTGACAAAGGCTACAGATCAGCAGTATAGATGCGGCAGGTTGTCCTTTTTATATCCTAGGAAGCCGCTCGTACATCTTCACGATCAGATATTGGATAATGGCCTTGATTAATGATTCCTCGACGAGCGCGAAGCAGCAATGTAAACTCAAACAGTCAGTCACATGATGCGGTTGCCCCATACTACTCCCATACCCTCCCCTGCCAGGCCCTGCCTCCATTTGAGGACGGATATGAGAAAATAAAATTGATTATGAAATCAGATTTTGGTAAAAGCGATTTGCACCCTTGAATTTAATATTCATGGCAGAGGCAGTGGTACGAGATCTTATGAGATTCGAGGGATCAGCTGCCGATAGCTTGCATGCTGCGTGATGCCGTTAAACATATATATGGACACGCAGGCTACGCCACAGGACTTTTTTCGGTCGTTTTTGAAATTGGTTTGACTATCTTAGCAGGAGGGCGGAGGAGGGCGGCCGAATAAACGGACCTAAAAGCTTCTGCGTGCCCGGCGGTGGCCAGTGTTTATTGTGTCCTTGATGGTGGAACGCACCTTCCTCATTGGGATGATGCGGGGGTAAGATAACGGGAAGATGGCCTGGTCGAAATATCATATTGAGAGGGTGGCGTCACTTACATGATATCGTGACGCATGGGCACAATGAACCTCATGCAACTGCAGTTTACTTGGGGCTGTCGTGACACCTCAACGACATGATGCAATTGGGCAAGGAGAATACACAGAAGAGAGGGTTTCTTCGCCTCCTTGAAGACAGAAACAATATGACCACTAAGGGTGTAGCAGCCGCCACAATGATACAATTAGCGTGGAACAGACGAACAGCCGGCCCTACTGTTACCTATCTGAGTGAAGTGGACGATGATTCCGTCGAGGTCGGGGTCGTTGAAGGAGGATCTGTCAGAGGATTTTCTTTTCTTGCCTGATCCAGCAATTCATCTAGCCCTCGTTCCTTCACTGCTTTCTGGGGTTCGACATCGACAGGGCATTATCAATGACAGCGGCGTGATAGATTTACTCAGAGACAAGAGAAAGTGAAGGCGAAGAAACGGGTGCTTACTTGCACGCAGTCACGGTAGCTGGCCCATATTTTGCCGCACTTGCGCTCATACTCTTCAGCTTTCGCCTTGGAGTATTTCGCGCGTTGATCTGGAGACGCAGAGGCAGATACAGCTGGCTCAAGGTACCCTTCGAACCAAGAGTTGAAACAGGAGTCGTACTCAAGCTTGAGAGGGGTACATTCGTCTGTAAGACTGTGGGCCATGGTACAGAGCAGACTCGTCACCGCCAGCTGACGTAGCCCCATTATTGTGCCGAGATGCCGAGGGATACCAAGGCAAGGGGCGGCGCGTCTCGGTGTCATCGACATCGTCTAGCACAACATGGTCCTCGTTCTCGTCATTGGCGACCTCCACATTCCTCATCGTATTCATGACCTTCCAGCAAAGTTTAAAAAACTATTGGTTCCAGGAAAGATTCAGCAGATTCTATGCACGGGGAATATCTGTGATCGAGAAACGTATGAGTATCTGCGCACGGTCGCAGCAGATGTCCATGTCGTGCGAGGGGATTACGATGAGGTATGTACACCCTCTTAGCACTTATTGAAGGTATAACATGGCCTTTCAGAGTGCTGCTTTTCCGCAATCAATCACTGTAACACATTCACCAATCAAAATTGGAGTCATTCACGGTCACCAATGTATACCCACTGGAGACCTTGATTCGCTTAGTGCACTGGCGCGACAGATGGACGTCGACGTCCTCGTTTCGGGGCACACACACACGTGCGTTGCACGTTCCCCTGTCTTGTTTGCTACCCACACTGACCTTTCCCTGAAGCTTCCAAGCGCTCGAGTACGATGGGCATTTCTTCGTCAATCCAGGATCGGCTACTGGCGCTTGGTCAGGCGCCTTCATTGGGTACGTTTACTCTTCGTTTAGATTCATGACCTAACTTCCGGCGCTCTTGAATCGCGATCTTGAATGGGCAGCGACCCCACTCCCTCGTTTGCGCTTATGGATATCCAAGGCCCCGTGGTGGTAACCTATGTGTATCAATTAATTGAAGGCGAGGTCCGCGTCGAGAAGATAGAATACCGAAAGGATGCAGACGCCCTCGCCAACCGTGAAGCAGCAAACGCGCCACGCAGCACTGTCATGCCGCAATCTATTCCTAACGGCGGTAACGCTTCACAGCAAAGCGTATGGTAGCCTTTTTCGCATCCTCATGTGAGTCATACTGTTGGGGCCATACAACATTGCGCTGAATGTTCTGATAGACCTGCTCCTCCATGTATCTGATCTTGTCGGCCTGCAAGCGCTGTCATGTTGTCTGTGACTATTTATTAAACGAAATTTTGTTTCATTTGAACCAACACGTGTGGTCAGAACCATCATTCGTGTCTTGTTTCCAGCCATAGTGACTTTCACCGAGATCGATTCTCGGCCTTTGAAACCAAGACAACCTGTCTACGGTTTCCTTTGACCAGCCTCTAATCGACCCTTGTCTTAGCATACGATTGCCGGCATCCCCGAGTCCTTCTCAAATCGTCCGACTCAGCGCATCTTTCGTGAGCGACACCGTGCCGCCTGTCTTGATATGTGAATTTCCTGATTTCCCACCGGAGAGCAAGGCTGCCGTACAAAATGACTAGTCGAGCTGCGGATTTTGTTTCCGCTCATCATGCACGTTTGACTCATGTTTATGACAGGTGCCGTGAGCATTATCTGATCTCCGTTGACTCTTCCTTTCGTCGGTTTTGAACATTGATTCTACCTGTCATCGTCAAGTTCCAAGCTGGCCCATGACGTCCGCCGTTATAGTTACTGCGACTCCGAATACTGAAATCAGATCGCCTGGTGAGTTGATAGTAATACAATTGACATCCTGCCTTTGAGCTCCATAGTTGGAAGCGCTTCGTCGTTGATTGCTCCCAACTTACGAAATGATCGTCACCGGACTGGTCGATCCGCTGTATCCTGGCCTAGCCTACAATGATATTCTGGCTTGCGTTCAAGCGCCCAGGGTTTGATCTCAGGGTATATTGGAAACTGGGATCCTCCCTTTGCTTCCGCCGTGAGTGGTCAATACTTCCTTCATAGAAGGCGGCACGACAGCGCTAAACCATCCGTTGACATTAGACGCGTGGACAAGCGCTTACTATGCCTTGGGCGCTTGGTTGCTCACTGGTGCTGTTCTTGATCTGCTTAAGGATGAATGTGCTCTGGCCAACCAGGTCTGCCGTAGTGCAGCACAAGTCAAGCTCTCTAGATCATTGGAATGAAGTCATTCACGGCACCTATGGACAAAATTGCAAACGGATATAGAGAATAAGGCCTTGGACTCTTGCTTTTGAAAGACTGACAGCTCAGAGCGCTAGGTGATTCACCGATTTTCGGGTGCTATCTCCTCACCATCCAGATTTACGCGCTACAGCATTATTATCTCGACTCGCAATACCTGTCACGCTACTCCCGTCTCGAATAGTGTAGGTTTTCTGCTTGACCGGGTGGAGGGGGGGGGGGGTGACATCAAACACAAAACTACTCACCCGGATGAGTGGACGGGATGCTGAGGATGCAGACATCTGGTTGGTCCAAACTTCGGCGGATATTCACGCGTCCTCAGTTTGTCATCTGCCGAGTGTGCCTCCGCTTTTTTTCAGACGAGACTTTTGTGTTAACATGAATGTCAAGACCAGCTCTCGGTAAGTCATTGTTTTTTTCTCTGCATACTATTCTAATTTCATGTCCAGTCTTCTTTCTCCGCGGGCCATATAACGGATATTGGCCACTGGTAGGTACAAAATCCGAGGTTTTGCTTATCGAGTATGCATGTACCGTAAAAGCTCGCCATTCTCGTGTCAAAAGCCCTGGCAGGCTCTTCCTTCGACATTCTTCCTACCTACAATTTCAGTGTACACGTGCCAGACGGTACACGGTGGTTGTGACTACAGAATCAAGCAAGACTCTCGATCATGTCTCAGACACTGAGGTCTCCTCTTGTGAGCATTGGTCACGGCGGCGATCCATCGAAGCTGAGCCTGTTCTATAGACTTTATCAACAACAGGGCCTCCCTTTATCCGCTCACCTCGACTTGGCGAAGACAACCGGTGCTCCTGCTGTCATATTGTCCCCTTTTATAGATCCTTCGGGCAATCTAGCAGTTTATTTGACTACCCATGTGCAACCAAACCCCATTTCTGGCAGAGAGTTCCGATGATGGAGGTTTTATCTGTTGCGGATTCGACTGAAACCCCTGGTTTAAGTGGGAGTCTTCTGTTCCTTTTCATGTTCCTATCACCTTGAACACAGATTGTGAAAGGTAGGTCAAGGTACGTCTCGCGTCTTGTTATTCGCCGGACGACCCATCGAGTGTTGACCACATACGTGTATGTTCTAGAGAGGACGGTGTTAAGATGGCCCGTACGTTCTTGCATGTTCTACGCATTCACCTAACCTGGTACCTATCACGCCGCTACCCCAGCAAAGATGAGCCCCTTAAGTGATTCGAAAAAAGCGGCGTGGCTTGTTTCCCCTGTCCGTTATGACAAAGCAGGCTCGTAATTGATTTGCATGTTTCGAAAGGTTTCGAAGCAGGTTTACCTTTGAAATTGCTGCAAATGTAGAGCCGCAATAGACGTACTTGAATAGGCTTGCTTCATTCTCAGTCCCTGCCGGCCCGTGCGATTAACCGACAGAGGGGTATTTCTATCACTTCCGTACCACATTTTCTGGGTCTCCTGAGCGGCCACCATGAGGTCCATATGATGCGTCATCTTGGAATGCCGTCCTGAACCAGGTATAAGCAAGTAGTTCTCGACCTTGGTTTGTCGAGGGCAGGGATTCTTTCGCCAAATCCTGACCTGTGGTTCACGTGGCGTTTAATGGGAGGATGTACGACTCTGATAGAAGCCCATTGCTGACTTGATCTCAAGGGACATTATTCTGATTTTCTGACCGAGAACGGCGAAGCGCACACCTCGAATCGAGGCCCTCAGGCCTTAGTCCTTATCAGTCCGATGACGTTTCCTGCATACCTCCTTCAAACTCTCGGAAGCCAGGTAAATAGTAAATACCCCACATCTGCGTTACCTGATACAAGTCAATCTCCAACTAAGGTGGAGCGGGCACAGGTCTAGAACTTGATCAATTATCGCATTGTAAGAGATCTCGACACTCGATCCATCGCGCTCGAATTCGTTTACCCACAGCATCGTGAATTTGCAGGATAAATCGTTCCTGCAGATCGAGCTCGAGTAGGTCATCTATGCGAGTCTATGCGAGTCGGCTGATCAAACCACAGAACTTTCCTAACCAGATTCTCCAACTGACAATGAGATCTAATGGCTGACCGTCGTTAGCTAACGATCCGACCACCGCCTATGGTACTAGGCCAGGACTGAATACACTAGGTTGCCTTTAGAATAGGCCAAGTACAAGATCCACTTTGATATGCTGCTGACATTGAAGGGCTTCATTGCTGTTCACCGATGACCGGCCAGTCATACGGTCTATGTATTGCTACTTCGGGAATTAGGATAATAGTTAAACTCCCTGGTTAGACGGATATACGATGCATGTACAGTGACTTGTATGCATTGGTCAAGCGCCTCGAATATGCAACAAGCTGACTACTTAATCGTACAAATACGAAATCATGTTGGTGTACCGTAGAGACTTCCTAAAGCATGTCTATCATATCTTGCATGGTTGCATGCGCAGTCTGCAACATGAAAGGACGAACGCAGTGATAACTCATGAGACGAACTAAAGAGGCTTCCAACCCTCCCCGGCCGGCCACTTCATCTCGTCTCTCTCAACATTCCGTCCCCGCAGCCCAAGCGCGTCCTCCTCGTCATCTAACCCGTCCAGCGTAGAGTCCTCGTCGACTCCCACCCCCTCCTCATCCCCACTATCTCCTCCAGCGCCGTCCCCTCTGCGTGCACCGATCTGGGCCCTCTCCCGCGTTCCAAACCCAACCAATCTCTCCTCCCCTTCCTCTCTCCACAGTCCTCCGCTCGGAACATAACCCCTCCGACTCAGCCCTGCCTCCGCCTTATACCTCGCCTTATCAAATTTTGGCCCTAACCCACTAAATGTCTTTCGCAGGTCCGCTACCGTCGACTCGGGTCCACCCTCCCTCTTCGCTGACAAGGAGAGGTGCCGCGCAAGCCTCGGGAACCCCGCAGCTGACGTTGCCGACGCCGTCGAAGGCGATACAGCAGAAAAGAAGGCGGAGTGCATTGGCGAGCCGGAGGGCGAGGGCGGAAGCTGCACGCTCTCGGGACGTTTCCTGCGCAGCGGTGGCGGGATCGGAGGCGGCGATGATTGGTGCATCGACTTGGAGCGGGTCACGCGCGACACGGGTGAGGGTGGATCCACGCCAATCCGCGGAAGCAGCTTGCGGTCGGGGTGCATCGGCGGCGGGAGATCCGTTGTCGGTCGGGATGGCGAGCGGGATGGAGATCGGGACGCCGCGGGGGTGCTGGAGTACGGCTTGCGCGTGAACGTGCCGTACGCAGGGGCGGAGGCGAACGCGGGTTCATTGGACAGCGTCGCGTTTGCGATGGACTCGAAGGAGCGCGTGGAGGCGGCGGACGATGGTGGTGGACTAAGCTTCCGCCGAGGAGGGAGCGCCGGGACGAGTGCCGGGCGTGATTGGCGCTCGTCGGATGAGGACATTGAGCCAGTACTGCTGTGCCTGTTGCTGCCGTTCCGTGCGGGGCTGCGGCTGCGCGAGTGTCCTGCATTGCTGCTCTTGAGCACCTGTAGGATCCGCGTCGACTCGCGTTCTGCGTCGGCCTTCTTGGCAGTCTGCGCGGCCTTGCTCGCCTGCAAGGATGTCTTCATGAGTGCAGTTGTCAGATGCGGAACCCTTGGCACGAATGGTGGAGGAGGGGGTGGTTTCGACTGTGCGGCTAACGCTGTGGAAGAGGATGCGCTGGGAACCAAAATCGAAGCAGTCCTTGGCGGGATGATAGGCGGTTTACGTGGTGGAAGAGGAGGGAGTTTACGTTCCGCTGATTGCTTGGAATCGAGCTGCGCTGCTGCTACAACTGGGCTTGTGGTCGACTGTGTGGTCTTTGCGCGATTCACAAACGGGTTGAAGGTATGATGGTTAGGAGCTGCCGGAAGGGTAGCAGGAGGCGACGGCCGTCGATCAGGGTGGACGGGAGGTTGCGTCGGTGTTGAATGATCATTAGGTGTGTGGTGAAATGGATTCGTGTCAGATGTTGGATCGTCGAATATTGTGCTGGCGGAGGATTGGCGGGGTCGTGTGGGTGGAGCCAGTCGTGGCGGTGGTTGTTTGAGAGGGGATTGAGAACGGCTTTTGGATAGTGTCGGATGGACTGCAAGAGTAAATTATGAGGAATATCTCTCGAAGCTGATATTGAGGAAAAGTATGGAAAATATCCCAGAGCGCGCAGCATTCCGAAGGTATATGATACAGATTTAGAAAGGGATGAGAATCAGGCATGTTGGATCAGCTAACGGAAAGCTCAGCTCAGCTTCCGTGAGTACGTTCAAGATAGACGGACGAGGCATATCTACAAGAGCCAAGCGGATATGTGTGAGCGCACCAATCTGTTCACCCGTCTGTCCTAGGTCCTAATGACAGGTAAGGGACGGAGCGAAAGTCATAGCGTTAGCTGTGAAAAGGAGCTAAGACTCGACCATTAGGTACGAGCCCTGTAAGGCGCCAAGCTGAATATAGTACGCAGGGCGGCTCCAAGGCTATGCAGAGTGACGGTATCTAGTGATATTTGCGTACAGAGCCTAGCGCTGTAGCTTTGGCCACCATGTATGTGCGCAAAGGATGACATTGTGTGGCGGCATTGGCCATACTTGGCGTCAAAGCGTAGCCTTGCAGTAGAGCAGAGATCGCGGCCGGACTCGATCGCAGGAGCGAAGAGAATAGGATGACAACGAGGCTCACCTTGAGTAAATACAAGGTTTCTGTCGAGCTCGGCACCGCTCCGGACATGTAGAACTAGACGGAGAATGGCGAAGAACTGGTTTCCGGAGAGTACAGGCTCCTGCCCCGGCGGTGGTGCGAATAGTCGTAATATCTATATGGCATTCCGAATTCCAGATTGAGGTTAGCGGTAGACACGCATGAGAGCAGTATGCGCTCACAGCGTCGAGATCGTTCAAAGGCAGGTCAGGGTAACGGCCTCGGAGCCATGCACGAGCCTCGCGCGATGTCACGGAGAGCTTCTCGTAGTGGATCTCTCCTGGCGAGGTAGCATCGGGAACTGCGAGGTCTTCAAGCGAAGAGGTGAATGTTGCGTATTCATCGTCGTTGAGAGCGGAAACGTGGAGAGAAAGAGGGCGCATGCCCATCGGAAGACAGACGACAAGTTGGAGACAGAGCAGACGCTGGGCAACACTAGGCGCTCCGAGCCACGTGCGTGCTCCGTCACTGACTCAGCACTGCACACCTCCGTCTCGTCTCCTCCGAGAGTGCATGATCCATCTCGCATTGCTGCTGGGTGGAAAATGAGCTAACTGTCTTCATATCCTCCCAGATGCCTCGGAAATGCCGGCCCTACCACCACAGTGAGGGGATGAAGCCCTTACTTCTCCAAACCTGCTTCTTGCTGCTGTGCTGTTGCCGACGAGAACGAGCACATCTCTGGCTCGACTCTAAACATGGCGAACTGCTGCACAGTGCTGTCCCCGCAGTGCTCTCTCGACCTTAGACTTCTGGTTGTCGTCGTGACCGGGCTTCACTAGCTTTACTGTCGGTCGAGGCAGTGCATTTCTCTTCGCTCTTCTCTCGGGCTTTTAAGGCCCCACTTTGACACCAGACTTCTCGCTTTCGGTGACCCAACTAGCATCGTCTGTTGCCGTGCTTCACACGAAGTGGACCCCCGACTCTGACGAACGTGTTCTAACTCTCCTCCAGCCTCTTCAGCCAAACATTCTACCCATCGATGTACTTCTCTGCCATTCTCGTTCCTTGCTAGAGTTTTCGATTTTCTCTCTACAGTCCGTATGATCGTCCTACTCTAAGGTAAATCCCGCAAAGTCCGCTCGCGAGGTCTTCTCTTGTATGAACTGCATCGTCAGTTTTCATCGGTTGTCGTGTGAAAGACTTTGTCCGACTGTGCTAAGCTTTCTTCCACGTTTTCTAGGACTTTGTGGATCCTTCTATCGCAATATACACATGCCGCTGATAATGTCACCGATTCAATTCTTTGATTCACCAAACATATATTTTCACGCCCCCGCATTCTTTCATCTATCATTGCCAGGTCTGTTTGTAGGTTGGGCACCACGATTGTGCTCTCTATCATACCGATACACAATTTCGACGAACTGCAGAAGCAGTTGCCAGGAGGAAGATATGTCGTTCTGACTTTGAATGGACCATCGGAAGAAATCCCGAACTTCGTTCTGATCCTCCGACCTACGTACAATGTGCTACACTGGCCCGATCAGAACATTACAATTTTTGCGAAGGACAAAAGAAGTAGGGTAGGAAGGGGCCCGGTGACGTAGACCCACATCTTCCGGTCTTTGAGCTCTGGGACAACATTTTCATCGTCAGACAGCCACGACGCTCTCGCTTCTGCCGATTTGGGCCAGCAGGGCCTCGGATGTACAGCGTTCCCAGGCTTCTGAGCGTATGCTTCTCGTGTGACTCTCTGGAGCGAACTGACAAGCGAACTGGATGGCTGGCATCGCTCTGGCGACCCAAACCGCTCCTCACTTCCTGAAGATGCCGTGACATCGACCGATTTCGGATCAGTCCTCGGTTCAACCCTCGGTCAGCTACCCAGATTGCCCCGCTCTCCCTCACCTGAAGCAAAGAAGCACGTTTTAGGCCCATCTCGAGAATCTATCACTCGTTCGACTGACGATGATCATCGATCAACGATGCAGAGGCTTCCCTTGCGGCCGAACCCGAACGATGGTCTTCCTTCCGTGAGTCGAACACGGGAACAAGATGTGTAAGTGAAGGCTCTCGAACCCGAAGCCCTGCCCTGTTTTATCTCGATCAAATACCAATTTCTGAACGGTCTCCGGTTGACAGGCTTCCAATAGACGGAACCACCCATCTCCACTCCCGTTAATTTTGTTGTTATGATACCTTGGAAGGGCGTCTGCTCTTTTGACCTCGGCCCTGAATCGCTGACCTCTCGATGGTGGCGCACCTCGCGAATACCGACGTCAAGCAGCCTTGGCCCTTACAATGCATCCAGCTTCACTAAGCTCCCCCATCTCTTGGCGCTCCGCTCAAAGAATGGTAGCCTCACCGCCTCCCGCCCCAAATTGGCACCGATGAGCACCCGACGGCAGTGCCGTTCGACCTTCTAATAGACGAAGAGGATCGAGCGACCCTGTGCACTGCCCGTGCGGCACTTGGGCGGCGCTCTCAGAGTTGTCTTCCGCTTCCCTTCCATTTTTAGCCCCTGGTTCCAGCTGGTACCTGTACCGTTGATGCCATCGTCGAGTCCCGAGCTTGCTTGAGCATTTTTGTTGCCAATTTACCTTCCTCCGCTCTCGCACGAGTCGTCTTGAAGCGCTCTTGTGGATATCGTACCTTGATAATCAATATCTCACAGCTTCTGGAAAGGTGGAATGTTCATCGCTCACATGCATCAGGATGTGTACTCCCAAGAACAAACGTGACGGTCAGTAATACGAACAGTCACATAGACGTTGCAGACACCCATATGCTCAATCGATGCTATGATTTCGGTGCACCACCTGCGAGGGCAATCCCGGTCAATCATAATATTTCCCCTGCCACTCTAAAGCCTTGCGCTTTTCCCCTTGTGAATCCTCTCATCGGTCTGCGTCAATCTTCGGATCGTTCCTTACTGTCGGCAAAAGAGAGCTCAGTAGACGTTTTGAGCCCCTCAGTCCCCCCCATCTACATGATCTAGTGTCGCTACGATGCGGTTGTATCCTGTATAGGAACATGGAAATCGCGACGCGCTCGTGAGCGCATGTACGGAGCAACGCTAGGCGTAGGTGGTGACTGTCGCTGCGCACCTTCGCAACGCCTCTTCACAGACGCCAGCCCTGCGACCGAATCTCGTTCCATTTGCGCGCTCTCTTCGCTGTGCAGCGCCTCCCGCCGCTTCACGAGTTCCTGTGCGCCAGCGCTCCAACACTAAGATACGGTGTTACAAATGCAGCTGGACAGCATACCGTGATCTTCTCCCGTTCTTTCATGATCTCGCTCAAAATCCCACGAATGCAGTCTTCATTTTCAGCATATGCCATAGCATATTTTTCAGACTGTCCAGTCCTGGATCAGATGCCGAATCATCTGATATTAGTAAATAGAGCATGGTGTGTTGCCAGAGAGCGCATACAATTCATCACTGATGGCGCTCATCTCTTTGCCGCGAAGTGTCATCTAAGGTGCACGCATACAGGCCAGGCCAAGAGATCAGCATGCGCAAATATGCGGGCGAGGAGGAACAAATTTTCGCACAGCCTTTGCCAGCTCTCTCTTCATAGCTTGGAGGAATTTTGCTTCGCGCAATTTTTGCTTTTTATCGGCCGACTCTGCGGGGAATGAGAAGTCAGCGTGATCCTGAGCCCTTGTTTCACGCATACATGAAGCGCGAAAGCGTACTTCGCATCTGCTCTGCCAATACACTTGCCATTCTGTGCGGCGAGCGCTTGTGAGAAAACGTCGGACCACCCGAGGGAAGAGAGTGAGGGGCTCAAGAATGCCCATACCGAGTCTCGTCGCTCCCGATCGACACCTGCGACGCGTCCAAGTCGTCTGAGCGCGCGTCCAAGTTCGCATCTCGTTTTTGTTTCTTAGATTTGGTGGTATCTTTCACTACGGGCATTTTTCAAGACTCTGAGAGGAGTTCCGCTTTGAGTCGACGGTTGGTAGGTCGAATACGCGAAGAAAAGCGTTGAACACGCGTCGAGACGCGCCACGGTCGTAGATCCATCATTCCGAAGTGGGCAAGTAACTCCCAGCACATGACCGTTCCAGACTGGACAGGATTATCCTGCACGCCAACATATCCTCCATCTGTCGAGCGCATGATCCTCCACTGTATAGAAAGAGAAGAACAAGGAGCCTATGAAAGGACGGTCAAATTCCGGTCGAGCGACCTTGACAGGTCGTTGAGAGGCAACCATCAGTGACACTTGAGCGCTCAAACAGAACGACGGAGTTCAGGGTATTGAACGGCGAGACGATACTTGCGCGCAGTGTGCGAGGCGCACAACGAGAGGCAGGTGCAGCCCAGGGATATAAGCATTACTAGTATTTGAGAGGGCGACGCAAGAATTTGTCGGGGTCCGGAAATAAGATAAATGTCCAACAGAATCCACCTACACGACAAAACGTGGTGCAATGTCAGAAAGGTCCAATAACCAACCCAGACCAGCCCCAAATCCCCCAGCGCCAGACAGAACGATAGGATGGAAAAAAAGAGCGGATAAGCGAGACGTGAGATGAGTAAGTGTACGGGTGTATACGGCCGGGCATAGATGTAGTGCAAAAGCAGACATGAACAGACGTGAGGATGAACAGATCTGATAGATGGAAGGGCGCTCAACGCTCTGGGCTCATAGCACAACCCAAGCTCCGCCTATCAGTCCTAGTCCGACCGTAACGGTTGCTACCAATCCTGTCGTGACCCCTTCTAGCTTCAGCGCCCGCACGCCATTCGCGCTTGGGGGGAATGTCGTAGCCCAGGCGGCTGTAGGATTCGGCCCACCGCTGATAGTTACCGTCGGTTTCGTAGCATCGATGTTCGGACTGGATGAGCCGGAAGAAGAAGAGGTGATGGAGAAGGGTAATGAATTGCCGTACATTACTCCGTGCGTGGAGTTCAGAAAGAAGAGAAAATAATCATCAGCCTCGGGCACAGATTGAATGGCGAGGTTGACAGTGCCGATAATTGATTGGACTACCCACAGCTAGAACTTAGTCGCTGGATACGAGTCGTCAGAAGTTTGAATGCCCACCATCTTTGGCAACTAATATGAGCCCACTCTTGCTCATCCGGGAGAGCTCGATATCGAAAGTATCAACGCCATCAAAAAGCCCCTTCTCCCATGAAACAGGGTAGGTCTGTCCGTTGACCCATTTGTCGCCTTTCGCTGGTGCAGTCACCTCGAACCCTACATTGGTCGTTTACCTCCGCTGAGCCATGAACGACAAGAGTGAACTCACATGCTCTAACAAGCGGAAGGAGCAGAAGAGGGAGACAGAGACGTATCAGAGAAGAGTACATGGCTCCGTCTGGTGGGATAATGTGGCAAATGAAAGGATCTTGTCAGAGGTTGTGAGACGGCGCGCATAAAGAGGGGATGAGACTGCCGAAGGACTCTGCGCACGTGACTTACTCGTCTCCGTATTCCGTCTCCAGTGCACTTGGATCATGCGAGTCCTATCCCAGCTGACATTGTGCCATCAGCCTTTCAGAGCGGTCACTCGTACGCCTCCTGGAAAAAGATTTCATGACGATCACTATCAAGCCCCATGGCCTTATTAATTCTGAGTTATAGTGATTTTCGTTCGTTGCACCTGTTTGGACATCCATTTGGTTGGCCCGATACCCAACCTTTTTTTCTCATGTCAGCTATCATGGAAGGTGGGGATACAAACAGACTATTTGATCAATCTGGATATTTTACAACCTCAAAATTATAGAGGAGGACGATTGGCGTTCAAGTATGTCTACCTTCTTATCAAAAACTGGCGTATCAATATGCCAAATATCGACGGAGATCTCAACAGAACCTCAGTATTATAGGACACTTTTCAAGAAATGGACTTATGGACATGATCAATATAGGGATTCATAACAGCAGGGCAGACAAGATATCGGAGCATGTGAGCCGAATTTTGTTGAAATTGCTAGGATCTAGGCCTGCCATCGTCGCTACACACTGCTATTTATCTTCTCCACGAAGCTCTCGAGCCACGTTCCGTGAAGCATCATCCTCGGTTGTGTTCCCTGTATAAGGTAGCGCTGGATTTACTGACCAGGTTTAATTGGACTAGACAAATTTTAGACTTACATGAAGCTATAGAACGGCTTGGGTGTAGTCGAACTGTGATGGAAACGTGCAGGGCTTCAAGATGCCTTCGAGAGGATAGTGACATATATTCCATATCGCGTTCTTGCAGGAAAAGCTCATTTATCATCTCTTGAGTTCAGACATCCTTTGATATCGGCGACACATCATTAGCGATGACAGAATTCACTCTGGGGACCTTTGCTGAAATCTGTTAAGCAGCATTCATCTCGAGCCTTGAATTGTCGATCTCTCTCTATTGCTAGATCATCTATGCATGTGTCTCGTTGGATGCTGAACGACGGGAAACGATGGCAGTCTCTCTGCAACGCTTGTCTTGTTATTCTACCATACTAGCCAGCCTGGGAATCTAGACGACTCAGGCACTGTCGACATTCTGTGAAGCTCTAACGTCTAGTAACCCAATCGATCATAGCACACCCATTGTACAAGACTATCAAGTTACGACCTCGTCGAAGTGATTCTAGAGTCACTGTAAAGCTATCTGCCCCACATTTCAATCGATTTCGCTCACTCGACGCCCTTTCAGAAACACCTTCCACACGGTTGAGCAACAGCATCCGACGAGCGACTTTAGGATTATTATAACTCTATGCGATCTTCAGCATGCCGATCGACCGTTCTCAGTTGATAAACTCGCATCCGGACTCAAACGCTGGATGATCGAGGTTTTCGACAAAGGTATCATCAAGTTGTGCACTGCTCTACATCCTGATCGTCTAGGTTCTTTGAATGCTCTTGCAAAAGCACTTCCCAAACGATTCCAATAGAGCCCATCCTTATCGTTTGGAGACCCTGGGTGCCATACGACAAGAAAGCAAGAACTAACATCTGCTGCTTAGTACCTGTGAAGAGATACGCCAAATCGAGAAGGATGTGCCAAATTCATCTTTCATAAAGCTAGGATTCCAGACATGCCCTCGTGTTGAGGCGACACTATCACACATTCGTAACGTATCCGTTGTCCACTCCGCATGCAACGCCCGACGCGACCGATATCAAACGCGTATTTGGCCTCCGTCGGTGCGTCTTAGACTGCGATGGGGGACGTCAACTTCCCCGACCAAGCCATACATCTTGTGGGGTGTTGCTACTCTTTGTACTCCGCTACCATGTGATAAGCTTATATCCTGGCTCGATTTCCACTGTCATGAAGTATCCCGCTCGAGCACCTTCGAGCACCCAAAATTATTGCGCAGCGCGCATGATGCCTACTGCAGAGCTCGGGCTTTCTGGGGTACCGCTTCGCAGGTCTTCGAATTTCATCGATTGCCAGGGCCTTTCTTCTGAATCCAGGCTACCCCGCTTCGGCGTTGCGCTAGAACTCCTTTTGCCATCCGTTGCCGGCAGACCGCCGTGCCTCTCATTGGCACTCGGTTACCACACGCCTATATATCTCATGTAAACCCCACCCACGTCTTATGACCCTCGTCGCTGCGGTCACCTAGCTCAGTTACATGGGCGACATCAATGTAGTCTCTACACTGGGCGCGATTCTCGTTGGATGCCTTTTGTGTGTAGCGTGCGTTCAGGTTTTTCTCATCCGCAGTTGAATCTCGTCTTCGAAAAGCTGACTTGACGCGCTTCGGTTGACAGTTTGTCCGCACTTGTCTTTCTTCAGACTATCATTTATTTTTATATCTACCGCCAGGATCTGTGGAGAATCCAGCTCATCGTATGTTCTGCGCCCGTTAGCCCTAATCAATTGCTTGATCTTAATGATTCCTAGGTCGGAACCGTATGGTGCGTCAATCTTCGGCAGTGGCAATTTTGCACCATTATTTATTTATGCGACGATGGACAGGGCTCTCGATGCGACTCACGTTGCGCTGACTTGCACGGCGACATGGACATATCTCGTTTTGAACTTTGGTAACGAAGACATTACAGATTTTATCCCTATGTGAGTGATCTACGAGTTAGCGTTTCAGTCTACGAGGTGACTGATCTGATCCCGCACGAACCTTTTCAGTTCTATCGCAGTACGTCCTCAATAGTCTATGAGAACTCTTCAGCATGCGTTCACACTAGTCAGCAGTTAGGCATCGCATTCACGGTACGTTCAGTGGGAAATCTTCTGCTTGTGTTCGTTGCTCATTGCGTTGAAGGGTCTGGTTGGGTTCATTGTACAAGCGTAAGTGGAGAAGCTGTGAATGTATGTCGATTTGCTGAGAAGTCTTCAACAGGTTTTTCACTCACAGAGTTTTCCGATGTGAGCCCCCTCACTTTTGTTATCATTTCGATGAGCTGATGAGCTGAAGTGAGCAATAACCGTGTGTTGGCATCCATATTGGTGCGTGATTTATGGTTCATATGTGGTATACCTTGATTGATCTTACCGGCATATCAACGTAGATTGTCATGACAGTGGTCCGACTGGGTGCGTGTTCCATCGTAATCCATTACTGTCTCATTCTGATGTGCTAGCTCCCAGCTGCGGCTTTAGGTCAGGGTTCTTTCATTTGGAATGATGCAGTAGGCTGACGACTTATTTGTTTTAAACAGTCACGACAATCGAGATGTACGTCAACAATTCACCGGAGACGTCACTTACTTACTAGCTCATCTTACTCTAGGATGCGACTGAAGAGCTTCGGCGTTTTACTCGATCAATTCGCTGTATGTACTTCCAATACAGCCAATTTCACGACGAGTTCATTGTCCATCGTAGTGGTCTATCTCGCTCGGCCTTGCGCTTTCTTCCGCACTCGACCTCTTACTATCCGCAAGCCTCTCCTTCTACCTACGCAGCAATAAGACCGGTTTTGGCACCCAGTAAGGCCTTCTTCAAGATTGCACACCTCATAGCCTGACACAATGATGTGCATAATCCTCGCATTGCTCAGAATGGACAGGATTGTCAGCGCCATCATATTGTATACGATCAATACCGGGATGCTCACTTCGTATGTCACGGAGCTTCGGCTGCTATGATTTTTACTCTACGCCTACTGATCAGTTTGTCGTGACATCAGGATGATGACCGTCTCAACCTTGATTTGTGTCAGTCTCCTTTCATGTGTCCTTTCAACGTGTCCTCACACTGCGGTAATCACGCTCTGCTCACACTTAAGTGGTTGGTCATCCCTAACAACTGCGCGTTCCTGGCAATGCATTTCGCCGTCAGCAAACGTACGTTCCCCTTCCTTTTCCCCACCGCTTGTGTTCATCCTCACTCTACCTCCCCCTGCCTAGTCCACGCCAACTCCTTGCTCACCACGTAAGTTTTTTCCATCAATTCGCCGTCGTCTGGATCCTTTTCGTCGAGCCACGACAAAGTGAGGTAAAACGAGGTGGGGTACCAATGACGACAGTGCCAGCGACATGTCCAATTTGCACTAATGTACCAACCATCTGTCCCCACATGGTACATTATTCCTTCCAGTCTCAACACGCGCAAAGTGCTCCAGGAGTACTCGAAGCCACGCTTCGAAGTCGGGACTCACCAGCTGGACACGCTCCCGCGGCGACCGTCCGTTTTGGTGTTCAGGAAGGTGCGTACATTCACCTTTTCTCCGCCGACCTTCACATATACTCTCTGACCTGATCGCCGTCTCCGCTTTGGTCCGCAGCCAGTCAAAGGCGAGCACTACTCCGTGAGTGCCGTACCTTCCTGAGTCCATTCCCGATGCTAACCTATCTACAGCTGGATACGGGGCCATCGAAAGCTGTGGAACGTGACGGCACGTGCGAGGAACGAGATACCATGGACAATCGGCCTTCTGTCGAAGACAAGGTTGCGGCGCTATGATACGCACCCGGACAGGCACAACGCTCGGACATGTACAATACTTTTCTGGACTATCACTTGTACATAGATTTCCCACCGATCATACTATTCACCGCAGTGGACACGCGGTACAAAACAATGTTCTGATGCTCACGTTATTGTCGTGACAGATGGAGCATCGTGCATCACCCCTTGGTCACGGGCAAGGGGCATCCTGCAGGAAGGTTCAAGCTCCAGCGCAAGCAGCTGCACAAGGTTGGGCATTATTAACCCGCTATCATCTGTACTCTTCATTCGCGGGAGCTGCGACGCGGTTAACTGCCCAATGGCGGGCTTCGTCTCCGCCGGCGTCATGACACGTCTGCTCCATGAATCTGTGCAGACCAATTCATGTCTTGGCGTGACTGTTAGAAATTTTTGATGATCACTTTTTCTCTGCTCATCTTCTAGTTAGCATCTTGGAGTAGCGAGCGTTGTTTACGCCGGGGCAAGGTTGATGGCGACATGGGCGGATGAATAGAATCGGAGCATCTCGCATTTTCATATGATTCAGATCTTGATCTAAGGCTCAATACAAGACTATGAATAGTAGGTATTAACAGATTATAGAAAGACCCACGAGTATTCCGAAGACTTCCAGATTCAAGGCCCAACCAATCAATCGTAGAATCGCTTGGGCCAGGAGCTATAGATCGCGGGTGGATTTTAGCATTGAGTGCTCAACTTCTGCGGGATAGTGAGCCTAGTATAAATGTCAGGACGACAGTTCCAAACGAACGTTTAGGTAGGCAGTTGCAGCGCTCTCAGAAGCCGCGCAAGCATTCATAAACCTAGAGTGGCCAAGTTACGAATGGCGGAAGCACGGAGAGTGGCTCGGATGAAGATTCTGTGAAGTTGGCTGTTCCGCGGCTGTTCCGCGTCTTACAATGTACTCTTGTTTTCAATTCAACATCCGGAAAGCATTCAGCGACACCTACATGGAGGATCTCCTTCAAGTACGACTGTGAGGGACCGATGGACGCATGACTTGTTGACCGTCCATGTCGGTCAGCAGATAAGCAACAAACAACGCACTGACTTAGCATCGTGGTATCCTGAGGCCTCCGAGGTAGGGTAGGCGAGTGGATTGTTTCATCCAACGATACATATACTCCGAGGTCATTTAAGGAGTCACAGGCATGCACAAAACTTATTCAGTAGAAGCCTGTAGAGACTCGTGCGCGCCTTCCCGTCTTATCATCACGATGGGTAGAGCCAGTGAGCTTGCTGCCAGAACGAATGGTGTGAGTGGGAATATGAGTGCGTCCAAGGTACATCGTCTTTTCGGGAGGACCGGAGCACGATTGCCGGATATAGCCGAGGCGTCATCGACATGTCCACTTCGATCCTTCGCACGTCGTGCGTTGAACGTTCGAATCATTCTGCGCGCGACGTACAAGTGACGAGTGGAGATCATAGAATATCAGGGAGAGGTTTGACTCGATTTCCAGACATTGATAGACATCCAGCCATCCATTCGCATCACACTCGTCGCGTCCCCTCTAGTACGATGCGTCTCTGTCTTCTTTGCCGCCGATTCTCGCACCCCAACGATGCTCACCATCAACCTCCACGAAAACATTGTCACCTTCGAGGATGGCGGTAGCTCTTTCAAGGATAGTTCCTCCCATACACCAGGTCCAATTTCGCATCTCGAGGAGCTCCTCGCTCAAGGTTCTCGATCTTCGCTTTGCCAACAAGTCTGAAATATATGCCAGTTGCAGACCTTGATATACGCGATCCCTTCACTGGTGAGACACCCCTCCACAACGCTGCCATTTGTGGCGCATTCGAGACTGTCCAGTGGCTCCTCTCAAAGGGAGCTTCATGGTCGCTCGAAGATCATGACCAACAGTATGCGTACAACTTCGCCCTCATAGAAGGACACCATGCCTGCTTCATTTTTGAGCATGCCGTTCATACAGGCTCATCATTCCCATCTCTTTCAATCTCGTACCAATGCTTTGCTCCGTACCCGCGCTCAGATTACGAGCGCTACCTCCTTCCCTACCGGGACGACCCCACCGGGGGCTTTCATTCTCTTGATCGCCCCCGCAACAACTCCGCCTTCCTGTCCGAACCCTGCTTCTATATGAAACTCGACGTCGACGGGTCCGGCAAGGGAACGATCGTCGACCACATCCTTAATCGCAACCTCGTTCCTAACCGCCAGCCAGCCTCCAGTGGCGCACAAAACCCCGTCACACAATGTATGGCCAATCCCGAGACATACAAACATTCTGGTCGCCCCATCGAGAATGTCATGGTCTCTAGACGCGGCTTGGGAGTCATGATGGATTGGGAGCAGCCCACTAGTCAGTTGCTTTTCTCGGCTTTTTGAGCTTCAATTGGTCAGTGGCCCAGCCTTACCGAAATATTTATTATGATTATATATCGCAATATTTCAACAGTGGAGGTGTGCATTGATGAAAGGTCTCCACAAGGGTCCTCTGTACCGTGACTGAATATCGGATACGGCCTTGGCCTAGTACGTCCTCATCATGCTCATCTGTATATCGTACTGATCACATCACCGGCTCTTGTAACTTATACAGATCGACGTGGCCTTGCAAGAATACAAGCCCGCGGCGCACGTCATTGTCGAACCTCGCCCGGACGTAGTACACCGCATGCAGCGCAACGGATGGCACAAGAAACCAGGCGTGAGCATTGTCCAGACGACGTGACAGGATCTCTTCATCGCCTCGTCCGCGGATTCCAAAAAAACGGTCAACGGTGACGTCGTCGCCGCCGACAATGCATCATTTGGGCCCAAATTGGTAAAGCTCCATCATCTCGGCACGTTCGATGCAATCTACTTCGACACGTACGAGGAGGGTATTAAGGACCACAGTTTTACAAGCGATTGCCGTCGTTGTTAAAGGGCCCTCACGCGCGCTTCTCGTTTTTCCATGGTGTCGGACAGCATGGAGACCGGTTCGTGGCACAGGCGCGGGCGGGTTGCGATCGTCCGTTCACGAGAAACATGTCTAATCCTCTTTTGATTCGCGGCATGCTTATACAGGTCTACACGGACGTCATGGCTATGCACCTGAATGATCTTGGGCTGAGCACGAGCCCGACCGGTGCGCCACTTTGACCTATTTTTATCTCGTTTCCTCATGACGAACCTTCGATTGGCGCAACAGTACCATACCAGACGCACCGTTCTCTGGTACAGAAGTTGAGATCGACAAAGGACGTTACTGGAACGGCTTCAGCGAACCTAGAGTACGTACCCGTCTTTGCCTCCTCATCTAATCAGGAAGAGACCATGCGCACTCACTGATCTTTCAATTTCTCGACTTTCACTTCCTTACGCTCACGTGCTGCTGCCGCTCACCACATTAGCCCGCGCCAGATGTACCGAGGCTTGTGCCCCTGTGCATGCTCGCGCCTACCATCCAGCGTACTGTCATGGCCCGCGCCCCTGTTTTATTTGATGTGGACGAGACCATGAGTGCGGAGGCGACGGCAGAAGCAAAGGCAAAGGCAAAAGCGCTGGACGCTGGAGAGAATATTCGAACAGATAAAGGTAGCGTAGCGCAGAATATGGATGCTGCCACAGAGTGAATGCTCAAGCACGCAATGCTGAGTCTTTCAGTACCTCTTTCTTTGATCAAATCCTGCTATATTCTGTCGATCAATGACCTTGCCGCTCTGCTGTCGTTGTTATAGCACTGTGTCCACGCTTGTTTGTTTATTGTCTGTACGTGTATCTTATAATCACGGACTCATGGACTGTCGTAAAGTCACACTCGTGCTGGTGCCATCGTCCATCTCCTGGTTGAAAACAATTCACACAAAGGGGTAGACGAACAACAATTCGATGAAAACAGCAACCATGTGCAGTATGTATGTATGTATGCATGCGAGGATATATTGCAGGGAAGCAGTGGAGGTATGAAAAGGAAATATGCTAACGAGGGTGGAGCTTGAGTAGGGCGAATACTAAAAGATGATCCGTCAGTAGAAACGTGAACTTGGGAGACGTGAGTAGCTAAAGCAGGAGATGTAAGTAGAAGCGGTTACGAGTATATAAGCAAGTATGTATGAGAAGTATATTTGCATGTCAGTGTATATGCATGTGGTAGAAAACGTTAGTATTATGTATCAATCCGTCGACGTAGATTGGATCAAATGTGGCTTGGCGTTTAGACGTATATTGTATGTGCGTGTGCGTGTTGAGGCAGTAGGAGTATGGACGTGCGGGTACGCTGTACAGCGGACGATCCGGCCTGTCCAAGAAACAGAGGAGCGGCTTTACACGTACACGCCGTTGTGGTACTCGATTGGGGCACGAAGTATGGGAAGGGGTAAAGGCGATGGGCAGTGGGGAGGCCGAGAATGATCATATGAGCGGGTAGGGCGAGTAGATGGGCCGCGTTTGGTGTACGGCGTTTGGTGTACGAACAGATACGGGAAGACAACTGCGAACATCGATAAGAGCGATGTGGATTAGCCAATTGGTATGATGACTGTTGTGCGACAAAAGAAAAGAAAATATTTTGGCAAACTTATGTTGCATGGCTACATTTATTGCCGAGACATGTAAGAGGACTCACCTGATTAGGTATATTTTATCATAAGAGGATTTTGCCAGAGAAGACAACAGATAAAACTAAGGAGCGGTGTAGATGTGGAAGACGCAGATGAAATGCATGGGGCGGATATGCGCAGGCTCATGGCAGGATCAGACAAAGTCTGCCTTCTTGAGATGCGCGCGTAAGATGCAGTCGTAGACTGGGCGAATGAGCGAGTGAGCGGTCGATGCCGGGCGGCAATCAAAAAGGAACGCACACTTACCCGACTGCAGCACGAGAGCTGTCTCCTCGGTGTCCTGATCAGGTGTTAGCAGCTTGATCTAGAAATCGAAGTCGGCCAAAGACGGATAAGACGCACTACGACAGAGGTTGGGTAGCCGTAGAACGGTCGCGGGCTCGGCGAGTTATCCGCCATGAGACTTTTGAATGTACTGCGAAGGTCTGGGTATGTGAGATTAGTACATGGTGCCAACGTTCTGCAGGAACTTATGTTTATGGAAGGAGTGGAGGCAAAGACCGAGAAGAAGAAACACACATTTAACAGCTGTCCCGCTTGAATTGCTCCGGTCACCATAGGTGACAAGATGAGCGTTGAGTTTGATGCCAGCTTTGAGTTTGCGGTCTAACAAGTCGCACTTGTTCATGAAAAGGATAACCATGACCTGCGTAAGAGAACGAAGTCAGTTTGCGGACAAGGAAGCGATATCATAAGACAAGGCGACCTTTGCCAGTAACTTTGACGATACGACGGCCGTCCACAGCTGGAAGGAGTCTTCTAAACGATTGACTTTCGGGTCTTCCACGAGCATCTCGTCGAAGCACGAAAGCGGAGCGAGAAATATGATCGCAGTAAGGTCCGTGAAGTACGGCAGCCACGCATTTCTCTGCGAATTGTCGACATCAGCGGCAGGCGAGAATGGTATGCGCAAAGACATACACTAGTGCGGCTCCCGCCTACATCATATATGACCCATTCGCGAATCTCCTTGGACCAAGCCGAGCCTTCCTTTGACTTCCGTCGATCTTTATCCTCGGAAATAGGAGCTGTGTCGCGTTCCAACACGAGGTGGTGCTCTTGAACACCTATGGTGCGGAGGCGGGCTCGAACAATGTCACGGTCAGATGGCGAGTAACTCCGCGATGTGATGCGGTCAATACTGTCGAGGAAGCTGCGTGGATACGTGAATCAAGGGGGAACACGATCACACGAGTTAGTCAATGCGAAGTCTCTATGATCGATAAATAATGCACCCACAATCCAGACCCCTGCCATAGCAGCACGCCACTAGATTCTAACATCACTCGAACTGTATCGTCTTCCCAGAGCGCTTTCATATCGTCGGCGCACTCTGCGATGATATCCGTCGCCTCGTCCGTAACGGATCTGACGCCCCGGCCTCTTGGTTTCTTTTCCGGTATATCATCAGTACCCGAGTGTTGACTTCCTTGCGCACGAATGAAAAACTCGCGGAGGCGGCGGCGTTCAGACCCATTTTTCGTCTCCGAATCGGGCATAGGTGTCTCAAAGGGGGTAGCCCATTGTTCAGCCTCAACCTCAACAGACTCGATGTCAGATAATGTCGCTCCGAGATGGCATCGCAGATCATTCTCAACACTGCGCAAGGGCCCCAAGCGCAAGCGCAGTAACATATGCTTATCGGTGAGCTGAGTGGGAGTTTCAGAGCGGGAATTGTTACGAATGCCGGAGCCATCTTCCTCTGGATCCAAACGAGAGTAGATAGAGGGATGAGGCGATGTGAAGGGAGAAGCAGCCCGAGTAGTCGGGGTATGGCTTAGCGATATTATATCGAGAATGGTGTTGATAGAATGGACAAGATTCAGTTGAATAATGGACCGCCATGAAGCGCGTTGTTTAGCCCAGGCCTCTGGAGCATAGGCCATTTGTAGGTCTTTACGCAATCCCAACGTGAGCAAACAGAGATCGACAATAGCAAGGAACGTACTTTTGAGGGTCGTGCTCTTGCCTGTCAACGAAGACCTCAGAGAAAGGTCGGGGGCATAAGCGGAATGGACTTGCCGCTTTCACTCTGTCCTAAAAGCAGAATTTTTACGATCCTAGATTTCTTCATTGCGGCGCGCTCTGCGCGCAAAGACTCGTCAATTGCATCGCTAACACGCTGTGCATCCGCTTCTCTCTGCAGTCGCTCGGCTTTTTCCTGCGGGGACTCGTTCATGGGTGGAGCCCAGGCAATGGAGAGGGGATCGATGTCGGAGTGAAGCATCAGAGCGGGGGAAGGAGGAAGGTAGGGGAGGAGGCGCTATTCTAAGCGAAAGGAGAGACGAATGTATAGCACGCTACACGTGACCGTTTACTGCGAGGTCGGCAGGGCGATTGCGCTCGGCAGGACAGGCAGGACGCTACCGAGTGAAACGAGCTCGAGGCTAACGAAGTTGGCTAAAGTCCCTTGGATGAGCCGCCAGATTTGGGAATCTAGACCCGGCGCCATGGCTACAACGCCTGTTCGCTTCCTTCTGACGCGCGAAACCCTACCGACACCGACACCCACACAAGCCCCTTACTCCCTCTGTACGTCAAAAGACAGACGTATCACACTACAACGCGTGCCACACCCTGCGCTCACGTTTCAAGGTCACCACGATGCCCGGCGGTAGAGCCATCAAGCACACTCATAATTTAATTCTGCATCCCTGCATTCCCTGCATCGCCGTACAATGTGCGGAACCGACGGCTGAACGAAAATAAGAATGAGTTCACAGGACCTCCCGGAATATGCTTGTGCAACCTCCCATGGAGATCAATCTGGATTCATCGGCAAGGAAGACCGTACCTCGCAGCCTGCCACGCCGATCTATCATCTCACCGATCTGGCAATATCGAAGAGGCATCGTGTTTTCAAAATTATTACAGCATTAGGAAATATGGTCGCTTTGAATATCCGCGTGCTTTATCATGAAACTTGAAGATGTTGCAGACCATTAGAACTGGACTGTAGACTTTCAATCCAGATGATAGTAGACCATAGAAATCGACTTATCGTGTTGTTCACCAAAAGGAAGGTGGTCATCAATCAGCACTTCAAGATATGCGCGTCTGAATACTGTAATATGAGGGTGTGTTACGAGCTGGGGACTGTGACCTTCAGCGCTTCAGCACCTAGGGAAGGTTTAACATGAAATTTGACGTCTCGAGTACAGTGGAGTGACGCGTCTGTGGCGCAAAGATTACCGAGCCTGCCAAATAGAGGGCAAACAACGCGATCCAGGTTCCCTTAGGGCTCGTTTGTCGACGCCGACACCACCTTTTTGGACAACATGGCACGAAGACTACACTCTGGCGGAATCGGTCATGGATCCCACCATGTAGATGCATCAACCAATGTGAACGGTGTCAAGGCCGAGAAGGTGAACCTTGAGAAGAGCAGAGCCGCTCGAAGCGCGGAAGAGCCTACGAACACTCAGCAGGCCGAAGAGTATGACGATAGTAAGGATGAAATGGAGGTGGACGGGGAGGAAGATGCAGGAGAAGGAGAGGATGCAGAAGCCGAGGAAGAAGGTGTTCAAGAGGAGGGCAGCCCGAAAGGGAAGAAGCGTATCAGAGTTAATGAGAACGGCGATGCACGTCCCGTCAAGGATGAGAAGGGCAAAGCGAAAGCTCATACCATCGTTCGTGATGCTGATGGGTGAGAGTCCGTATATTATCATCGTGTCCAGTATATTCACATTCTGGCAGGTATGTTCCTGGCTCGATTGTCCGCGTTAAGCTCGAGAACTTCGTCACCTATGATCATGTGGAATTCCGCCCAGGACCCCATCTCAACATGATTATTGGGCCTAATGGCACTGGTAAGAGTAGCATTGCCTGTGCTATCGCTCTCGGCCTGAATTGGCCTCCAAGCGTGTGTATACGCTCATCGTGTTGTCGTATCGATTTACTCAACGACTCTTGCTCGCTACAGATCCTTGGCCGGGCCTCGGAGCTCAATTCTTTTGTCAAGATAGGCACGAATGAAGGCTACATAGAGATAGAGTTGAAGGGTCCCATTGGCAAGTCCAACTTAGTCATCAAACGATTCCTTAGCGCGAAATCCAAGAGTTCGACCTATACCATCAACGGGCACTCAGCGACTGGCAGAGAGGTCACGCAGAAGATGAACGAGTTAAACGTCCAAGTTGGCAACCTTTGGTATGTAGTTGCGTTTCTCATATACGTGCCTATTGATGTTTCCCGTATAAGCTCGTTCCTCCCTCAGGACAAGGTATCAGAGTTTGCAAGTATGTCTCCGCAGCAACTATTGCGGGAGACGCAGCGGGCGGCTGGCGATGAGCGCTTGACTGCTTGGCACGATACATTGATCGGTTCAGGGAAGGAGCTGAAAGAACTGCAAGAGGTTCAGCCCTCCTGTGATGATTTTTTCCACTTGCGCTGACATCACTATCTAGCTTCTGACTACGGACCGCCAGAATTTGAAGACCTTGGAAGAACGAAATGGAATGCTCGAACGGGACGTCCAGCGATATAACGAGCGCAAAGAAATCGAGCGCAAGGTGACTGAGCACGCTTGGCCCGTCAGTTCGAGGATTCTGAAATGTACTCCCAGATCGCTGTTCTGGAACTTGTCCTGCCCTTCGTGGAGTACGTCGAAGCGAGGGCTCGCTATGTTGAGGCGAAGGCCAAACAGCGGGACCTGCACAAGATCGTGCGAGAGCTCAGGGACAAGAATGCTCCGGCTCACAATCTCAAAAAGTAGGTCTGTTGACTGTTTCCTAAACTATCCCTTATTGGTATTGTGCAGGCATCTTGAAGAGAAATACAAACATCTAAATGCACAACGCGATCAAAAGAAGAAGGATGCGCAGAAGAAATTCAATGACATGAAGGTGAAATGGAAAGAGAACGAACGCCTGGTGAGTTTTCTCTCTTCATTGTGTCGTTGACATAATAATGAATGATTTGCTTCACAGCAAGGGGAGGCGGATATAGTGTCACAACGGCTATTGAGTCTTAAGAAGAATGAGAAAGACCGTCTCCGAAAGATTCAAGAGCTTGAACGCCGGAAGAACGAGATGGAACAACAATTGGACAATCCTGTCAAGACGGAGCCAATGGAAAATATAACGTTTGAGGCGGTGAGCTGACATTATCTTAGACCGACAAGCACCTCATCTGACCACCTATAGCGTCAATTACAACAAGCCGGGAATGGGATCCGACAACGCCAAGCTGACCTCCAGTTTCGTCAGAGGGCCAATGTGCAGGAAACCTCCAGGGCAGAATCTGAATTACAGCAAGGACGAAATGCGTGAGTGGCGCATCCCTCTACCCAAGGATATTCGCTCAGCGTGAAGCAGCTTATCGAATTTGGACAACGTATTCCATCGAAAAGTCGCTGCGCTGCGCAAATTCGACCCCGACTGTGCGGACGTCATCATATGGTTAAGGGACAATCGCCATCGGTTCAAGATGGAGATCATGGAGCCTGCTATTGTGAGTTTGACGGTACAAAACAAGCCGTATGTGGACGCTGTAGAGGCATGTTTTAGCGGTATGCAATTGCGCGTATGTTCCTCCTCCCTTCACGCTCTTCGCGCCGGATTGGAAAGTATGTTCCTGATGAATACACACAGACTTTTGTCGCTCAATGCGACGAAGATTATCAGCTCCTGAACAGGCTTGTAGTTGACACTCCCGAAGCTCTTGGACGCCGGGTTCGTGTCATGACTTGGTACCGCCCAGATGACGGCCGTGGTGTCATGCCCCCGCCGATGAGTGTCCAAGAGGTGTGATGCTCTCCTCTCGAGGCTCATCTAGGAATCTGATACCTTTCCTCGTAGCTTCAGTCGTTGGGTTTTGATGGATATGCGATACAATATGTCGATTGTCCCCAAGGCTTACGTACTTTCTTGCAGCGTGAATGTCAGCTGCATCGTACGGTAAGGACTGAATTCCTTCATTAGCACTCACTTCGCTCACTTTGTGAAGGCCATTGGACTCGATGCATCTAGAATCGACCCGAATCATGCTATGGATGCCGTGGCGCGAGGAGGGGGAGGTAGTTATACTACTGGTTATACTATGAACCAGGTCATGCGCTCGCGGTATGGCAAACAGCTCTCCCAGAACATGTCGCGAGAATTCGCACGCGCCAGAAATCTCGACTTCCCCGCCAGTAAGGAGCCTTATCCAATCCAGCCCTCTTTCTGACCAATCGACCTTTCCAGTTGATCCAACTGCTAAGCGTGCCATCGAGCAGCGTGTCTCTGAGGCCAATGACAGGCTCTCTATGTGCCAAAAAGAGGCAGACGCGCTTGGTGAAGAAGAGCGCATGTTGAAAGCTGAGGATAGCGAGTTGAAGAGGCAATATGTAAGCTGTCCCATTAAGTCGTCGCCCTTACATCCCTCACAGAACTCTCAAAGGCTGCCCTCGCTTCCAGGAGGAAACACGTCGAGGACGAAGTAAAACGTGTGCAAGTGTTGAAAGTTAAGATCGGCGAGTAATATTAAACTTGTTTTCCTATGCATGCGAGTTTGACAAGAAATACAGCTTCGAATCACCAGAAACTCGAGGAGTTAAAAAGTGCACCATCGGTGGAGGCAGAGCGTGCGAATTTGAAGGAGCAAATCTTGGAGTTCACGAAGAAGCGTGCTAACATTGCTAAACAATATGCGGTCAGTGGCTTTTTGATACTTTGCTATATCTCATTGACAAGCTCTGCATATGTAACCCTAGGACATCGTCCGTGCTGCTATCAGAGATCAAGCTGCTGCTACGAAGCTCGGTTTAGAATTCCTGCAAACTGGGGCCAACAAGATCGCTTTGGAGGCCCTCATTGAAGAACGTGACGTCGAGTATCATAAAGCGGTTGACAGATTCGCCCAAGGCAAGTTATGTGTATGAAACCATGCGCTGTCTATTAACGACGGGATTGTAGCCAACGATGAGTACGATCTCGCGAAAAAGGATTCTTTCGATAAACTAGAAAGAAGCAAGACGATGCTTGCTGAGGCTGACGATGATGCTCTCGAGGAATTCAGGGCAATGGAAGAGGCGAGTTCGTTGTCGAAGCAGGCGAGCTGTGCTCATGCAGGCTATATCAGAATGGAGAGGCCCATCAGAAGACATCCGAGGAAGTCAAAGACGACTTGCAGAATCAACGTCAGAGGCTGGAACTCGTTCTTCAGACCAACCCTGGGGTCGTCGATCAGTATGAAAGACGCAAGGCTGAGGTGCGCAAGAACGAGATTCTAATTTCATGAGAACGAGAACAGTGATTTGTTTTTCGAATACAGATTGAGGCTTTGACCAAAAAAATCGAGGAGAGAGAGCGGAAGGCTGGGAAGGTTGATAAGTCAATCAAAATCGCACGGGTGAGCAGCTATATCAAATTGGCGAGGATATGTTGATCGATATCCTTGCAGGATAGCTGGGAGCCTGCTCTCCGGGGATTGGTCAATTCCATTGGGCAGAAATTTTCTGCGGCGTTTGACCGTGAGTAGTTCTTTCACGTCCTCTTTTGGTGTAAAAAGGCTGAAACGGAGATTGATAGGCATTGGATGCGCTGGCGAATTGGAAGTTCAGGAACACGAAGACTACGATAAATGGAGGATCGACATCCGCGTCAAATTCCGAGATGGCGAGAAGTTACAGCTCCTGACGGGGCAGCGTCAATCCGGAGGCGTACGTTCTAACGATCTGCGTGCCTATCGCTACATTGTTAACGCGAAATATTTTGCAGGAACGTTCTCTGACTACAATCTTGTACCTGATGAGTATGACGGAACAGGCCCATGCACCGTTCTCTCTGGTGGACGAGATCAACCAGGTATGTATACAGTCAATATGTGCAGAGCGTAGTCGTTGATTGTAGCTCCAGGGCATGGATTCACGTGCAGAACGCACAGTACACAATCAATTGGTTGAAACGACCTGCAAAGCGGATAGTGGACAATATTTCCTCATCACTCCCAAGCTTCTTCCCGACCTACGATACCACAAGCTCATGAAGGTTCTCTGCGTCAACAACGGCGAGTGGTTGCCCGAAGACAGGGGACTCGGAAACATGAAGAGTATGATCGAGCATTACGTTCAGACGCAGAGAAAGAAACCAAGCGCTGCCGCTGCTTGACGAGACGGTTCTCTCCAGAGACGGCCATATTGATCTTCATCTAGTTTGCTATTTTATCTTCGTATAAGCTTATGTCACTTGTAAACATCGGTTCAATCACCTCCCGTACACGCTGTCGGCTTTAAACAGAATATACTCTATCAGCTAGGTTTTGGTTATGCTGTTTGGCTATTTTTATGCACGTAGAGAGCACATCCTCAGTGCCAGAATCTGCTAATCCAAGTTGTGTCACTGAGATTAGCTGTAGATTGTCGTCAAGGACGATAGATAGAGTAGTGTCCATCAGAGGCTCCTCGAAAGACGTTGGGTCGGCAAAGATGTGAGAGCTATGGGACACAATTTTAGCGCAATCCGGTATGCCGGCATAGAACACTTACGAGTCAAACACACCGAATGATGAGGAAGTGGGTAGTTTCTGAATCTGCAGAGGTATTTTCGTTTGTCGTGAGCATGTGGTCCGACCAGTGTCCTCGTTGAAAGTGGCTTTGGGCAGGAAAGCTATCAGGAGTCAGAGAAGCGCCAACAATGAGCGAAAACAGAGGGACGGACTATTTTTAAGGGCGGAGACCATGGCGATCAATGCCGCATCGAATGCATTCCCGTCATAGTTGATACATGTTGCATCAACATAGAGAACCCAAACCGCTTTTCCGGGATGTATGCATAACGACTGCAATGATATCAAACTCGATCTGGACATAAAATTCTCAAGGGACCAATTCACGCGACGGCAGCAAAGTAACTCACGAAACGAAGACGTCGTTCAATCTGTCAGAAAGCGTCTGGGCTTCCTCTGAAGGTGGACCTGATTTGAATTTTGGAGAACTCATCGCGGGAAGGTCGAGGTTAGGGACTAGCAGAAGTATGGGCGGGATGTTAAAAGGCAAAATAGATGGGCATACCGAGAAACCCTTCATTGGGCCGGTCAAGCTCTGGCTCTGCTATCTCTGCCTTGACGCCGCACACTATTGTCGTGTTCCCTAACCGCACGAGGGACGATCCATCCGCGGAGGAGATTGAGCCTGAAAATGTCCTCAACCCGAAAAAGATCTGCGAATGCTCTGTGAGGACATACCGACGTTCACCGAAATGTCTCGCCGCTCGCTGAACTGACGCCCGTCCGGGCGAACATCTTCTGCAACGAATCGTTCAAGATATATACGAGGATGCAGACGTTGGAAGACAAGAGCCTTGAGATGATCTTGCTCTCCGTCCGTGGTCGTCTGTGGGTACGCCATAACACAGTCTAGGACGAATAATCGGGCATCTGCGGACCAAGTGAGTATTTATGTCACAAACCCATCCACAGATAGACTTCAAGGCCAAATCATACGCAGTAATGACATCATCTTCCCCATTCGTCGATCATCAATCACGAATAACCTCCATAACTCAGCGTATACCCCAAACCACACGGAAACCTCTGGGACATGCCTGTCTCAAAAATACACAAGTATGTTGCGCTATATATACTCTTTGAATCCTATATAAACTCATCTGCAGGAATATCCATGCTCCAAGACAACTTGATTCACTTGGCCGCTATGGCCCAGACGCATGGATGGTACGTGCTGTCCTGTGGACTGGACCTTAATTAGCTCCAGAGAGTGCAGCTATACTAGGTTCACCCTATATAGGTGGGATGCTGGCCGCCCTATCACTTCAACTGACGCGGACTAGAAAGGTCAAGGCTATTCACGCGACCCTCAACAGCTTCTACTCTAAATTCTCGACAAGCTCAAACCGCTCCTTCTCCGGAAACGAGAGCACCGGCAGCGAACCGCACTAACGCGTTTTTTTTGTTCAAGCCGAAGCCCGACTCTGCGTCCGCCGTACAAGGGGGTCGGCCGATTCCTGCTCCAAGGACTTTTAACCCAGAATTCAGGAATCATTGACCCTTCTGTGAACCCAAAATGTCAGGTTCATATTTGTCTCTATCAGTCACGCTCAGTTGTAATCTGCTGTGAGTGGCTTATCCGCTGTACCATATCAGTAGCTGTAACTTTTAGAGACATAGTCGAAGTTGTCGGTGTTTGCAATGTTTGTCGTAACAAGACAAAGCTTGTCAGCGATCTGAACCCCGCTTGCAATTGACCGGCGGTCGAATAGACGTGCGTCACGAAGGACAAATTGCCCACACAACAGAACATTTCGAAAGCGATAACCGTCGGGGCCCTTTACAGTATCATCCGAATCGCGCTCGATTCAAAAAATCTCCAGCTTTCTAGGCTAGTCCTCTCTCGGCCCCCGACACGATAATGTTATGATGCGCGACATCAGAGCAAGAAGTCAGAGTATTGATCGAAGATGCCAGGACTGCGATATCTCCGCCTACGGTATGATCTTATTCGGGCAGAACCTGCCAGGATTCTGTTTGCGTCGAAAATAAGGACTCGAAGATCAGCTCCGACCGAAGCAGGTTGGACTTCTGGCAGCTTCTGGCTTGTTTTGATGGTCATCCGATCTCCGACTCCCCTCCAGTACTGTACCATGGGCTGATGAATGCGAGATGACTAGCCGGTGAAGGCTTCTCGGGAAAGGCCATCGACTTTTGGGTGGAGATTTGCCGAGCAATGTTCGAGGTAGAGATTCTAGTATGTCATACCACCCTATCTCCCTGCCCTATGCAAACGCTCAGCCCGTCAGGCGTAACAGTATAACAAAGTGCGTGCCTTCGTGTTCGAGAAAAAATACATATCGCAAGGTCGCTTTAGGGGCTTCCGGTTTGATTTGGAGCGCTTCGAGCTGATTGAGATAGAATGACCGTCATTGCGGTTATCGTTCAGAACATACCGTCGATGAGATGGCGATGACGATGAGCAGCTGTCTCGGATCAAATGGAAGCTATTTTGCTCGTCATGCTTGTCAGGCTAAGACCTCGGAGCCACTGGAGGGTTGAAAGAGACAATGAGCACTGGCTATTATTCCCGAGGAGGTATCTGACGGCCGAAACGATGACTGATAATTCCAATGAAAAATGTCTGGTACTACTTGGAGAGCAGGGCATATATCAATAATTGCAGGTTTGTGCGCACGCTGCGAGAGCGAAGGGTTGCAACACTGGTGAGCGGTTGAACCATCAATTTCGACTATGCAAGACAAGGCTCACATTGAGCGCTTGTGTAGCAAGACAAATGGTGATTCAAGACTACAGCTAATTTTGGGATCGAGGGTAAGTAATCCCCTACCAGGAGAGTACCGAGAGGAACCGACCCAAATCCTCGGCCGAGGAGCCTCTAAGTTTCAAGCACAATCCGCGGTCAAGTCACGTTATCGCGCAGAGCTTCAAGTGCTCAAGGTCGGGAAAGAAGTAAACTGATCCATGATCACCAAAATTCTTATGCCAGGTTTAAAAAGAGCAAGTGTAGTCTTTGTCGACCTCGTCGCCTGGAAAGGCGAAGCATAATAGCGCTAGTTGTGCATAGGATTTGCTTCCGTTGATGGACTTTGACAGGTCATAAGGGCCGCGGTTATGAAGGAGCCGGAAGCAGGGCTTTCACAATTCGAAAAGGTGCAGCCACAATGATCGCAAAGGCGCGAGTGATCTGGCGGTAGAATACTATCCGAAAGAGATGAGCGTCGCAAAGACAACCGTTGGGAACACTCACAGAGCCAAGCCTGAATGAATTGAAGAGTGTCTCTCGAAGCGTTGGGTCGGGGAATTATCAGGTCAAGCTCATCTGGTGTTCTGTCTCAACACAGGAGACGATTGCAAGTGTAACATCGTACTTGACGGGGGCCAGGATAAGTTCAAAGACACACCCTCACATACGCTGTGTCCCTGTAGGTCCTGTTGCTATCAAGTGATAGTACTATTTCACTAGACGGGGGCCTGCCACGTGTCGCACGCTGCGGGCAGAAGCGGCGAAGCTACCACAAGTGAGAGTTCAGAAGAGTCAAAGAGCCTGCTCGAAGGAGAGCATGAAGCTGTACAGCATGAACGAGAGAGCCCAGGAGAGGCTTTAGGGACGGATGTTTGTGGCTCGCTGGTGTCGTCCGTCTGTCTAGGGGCGCCAGCAATGTGCCTCCTTAGAACAGAACGAGTGTCTTCTGACCGGTCAGCACTGGAGACAAGTGTGCCTCGAGATATGGATGGTATGTAATAGGGCGTCGAACAAGGACGGTGTGCGCCGCAGCAAAGCCAGCAAATGGCGATGCGGGTGCTGAGCATGACACGGTGACGGGATATGGAAACGAGTGACTGGCGTGACAATGAGGGGGCTGAGGCGGCGACGGCGTTGTTCTTGAATTTGGACCTCGTTCTGCTCCAATCAGCCGCAGGGAGGCTCGTTGTTTACGTTCCTTTTATCGCTGTAGACGCTGGCTTCAATCAACCTCGACGACGGCGGGCGTGAGTATATTCAGCGCGTGTTTTGGAGTGTTTTGCCAGCCCTGACCTCTTCTGAACCATTATCTCGCACTGATTCGTCCGGCGTGGGCACCGTCTCTTCTCCTCGCCTCTTGTCCTGCGTGCCCTCCCTCCCCCTCTCCTGCCACGACCTATTCACGACCCTTCGACGATCTCTTCCATTGGTCCATCAGCCGCACCTCCCAAACCATGACTCGCTTCGGGGATTTTTCCCCCCTTTGTTCGAATACCCCTTCATATCCCTGGTGTAATCTCTTCTATCGCCAGGTCCGTTCTCCTTCCCAAGCCCACTTTCCGCGCTCTATACAGCTCTCACACGTCTTTTTTATGCGTCTCGTGTAGTTGGAGCATCATTCCTCCAGCGCCTTGACTGGCGTCTCTGCAGACCCCAATTCTGCTCCCGTGGGCATCAACCCGACCTGCGGCATCCTCAGAGCTGGCCACCAAGGTTCTCTCGGCAACATCGCTAATGTCGTCGCTTGCGGCATCAGCATCTTGGTCGTTCTTGGTCTGATCATCATGACTGGTCGAAGAAAAGCTGCCGTTGGTAAGTCCTCTCCTTTAGGACCTATCGGTTCGCAATTTCCGGCTGAGGTTTAAAGGAACGCGTGTGCCTGGAGTAATGATCGCTCACCGTTGTATCCTGCCCTCTCGTCAGGCCGAGTGGAACTTCGCTACTTCTTCATCATGTACTTCATCTCTCTCCCTCTCCAAATCATCACCACCGGGTCTTTCCTCGAACAAGGATCTACAGCTCTCACAGTCCTCACTGCCATTCATGCTGGAATAATGGCAGCGGCCTTCTGGGCCCTCCTGGGGAATGCTATTGTTGCCACGCAGGTAGTTGAAGATGGCACCTTGAGCTCGATAATAGTGCGTGACTTTTCACCAAACAGAGTCCATAGACCCGCCCTGAGTGCTCACCACTACGTCTTTTCTTCGGACCCGAAACACAGCCATTTTCCTTCTTGACGATCGCATTCTTCGCAGCAACAACCTATATCTCGCTCGACGTCGCTTTCACATTCACTCATACCTTTGGCCCGTCCAACCCACCAAACGCATTGCACAGTGTTCCATTGTTTGTTTTTACCAGCATCTGGCCCGCAGTGTAGGTTTACACTTTCGCTTGGCGGTTCGGCCCCGGTCTCACACTTTATGCTTGCAGTGCAGCGATACTGTATCTTGGCATAATGACGTACATTGTTGTTGGCGTTTTGAACGAAGTCCGACCAGTCTGGTACTATGTCCTTGCGGCCGTCCTTTTCGTCCTCAGCCAGCTCGATTACTTCCTCTTGAATAATGTGATATGCCAGGTAGGCAACGAGGGTGGATCACCAATTGCCATTTCGAAACTCAATTTTAAACTCGATTCGGCAGGGCACGTCTGCAAAAGTCGACGGCTCCTTCGTCGCCACGGTGCTGGAAACCGCGGCTGTCGGCGTCCTGTATCTGGCATGGAAGAACATCACTGAGGGTAAGCTAATCTTCACCATCTATCCCCTTTCGTATTCTCGTCTCCTTTAAATCCTTTCCGCGCTGGCCGAAATCACTGATGAGTGTCTCCTTCGTCCTTTTTCGGTCGTCCGTTTCACCCATTAGAATCTTGGGACGAAGATATCTACTACCCTCGTTGATCGAAAAATGGCCGCCGACACATCATGATTGGCTTCTATCGTCATCCCCACCTACATATGGGACATACTCACCTATCCGCTTCTTGCCCTCCATCTTGGTCTCGGCCCTCGCGGCAAGGCGTTATACTCCTAATTACCTCGATGTTGTTGTTGCTACCCACTGTTCTGGCTTACTATGCAATGCAATATCGCTGTTGTGTCATGCACTCTTATCGCCATGCGCTTTCCTCACGTTATTCACATCATAGTGGTCCCCATCCTGATACGCTGCTATGTCTTTCCTGAATCTGTCTTGCCGCGTGTACTCTATCTCATCTCCTATCTAAATTCGGTTCATTTCCTTACAAGCATATTCGGTATGATGCTGTCGAAGTGACTGCGTGAAAGGCTCGTACCGTCACCCTGTGAGCTATAGTGACGTCTCTTCCAACAGGGCGTAACCCGGTTTGCTCAAGCCAATCCCTATGAATTCACACCCTCATGTATGTCGTCCTCCTACCCCACGCGCAAGCAGTTGTCGCATGCAGTCATTCATATTGCTGCTCTTCTGTTTGTCAACGGTCCAGCCCTGTACACGCTTCACCAACCATCAGGCTACTAACATTCTAGTCGCGATCATGCACACTGTTGACGTATGCGTTGTCCACTATGCACCTGTGTTCCTTCAGGTGACCTTTCGGCACCCCCGCTTCGAATTGCGGCAACTCAGCTTTGTACTAGCGCGCATGTCTAGTCGCGAAGATTCACCTTTCCTGAAAGAGGCAGCGGAAAGCGGGCCCGACGCGCGTTGGTTTTGCCTTGTGCAAAAATGTGTGAATTATGTTCTTCGAAGAGCGAAGACGAAAAGAATGTAACAAAGGCCTGCTCTTAGGCAAGTGGTTAAAGTTGTTCTACAAAAAACGGTCCGAGGAGAGGGAGCTAACAGTACAGTGTAAGCGCCACGCTTTGATGCACAGAGCAAAGCACAGTGGCGAGGGGACAATCAAAATAGATGCTGTAAAGCAGGCAGTGTACAATATGCAGACGGGATGGGAAGCGCGAGAGTGAGGGGATGAGGAACGAGCATGGAGGATGGAAAGAATGCAGACGCCAAACGGGTGGCACGGCCACAAAAGAATGTCGAAAATCAACGGAGAAAAAAATACACACCGGGTCATGTTCACGGCGTAATTTGGAAAGGTATCACTATGTCAACACGGTCAGCCCTGAATATATGGGTGCGAGTTTCAACAATCGTCCTCTCGAATCTCGCGCTGCGTCACTGTCTGCGTCACGTCGATGCAGACCCAGCGCTCCGCAGCATCTGAAGAGTCCCGTCGGAGGCTTCCTAGACGATTCAAGACCGCCCTCTTGAACGCGTGCTTGGGTTTATATGATGGTTTATCCGACTTCCCACAGCAGGTCGACTTGTCACCTGTTGAGTTGAGTTTGCACAAGCTCGTACCGTACTCGAGGGTAGGCGGGCTGCTGACGTGATTGTAACGCGGCCGTGCAAGAACCTCAGAGGGTTTCGCGGGGAGGACAGATACCGAACGGGGTTTCTGTAGTCTGCGTCTGTGGTGAAAGGGAGAAGGGGAAGAGGGGCAAGTCGTTTCTGGAATATGAATGGTGGGGGTTCCTGTTCGCCCGGACGAAGAGAAAGGTCGGTTGCCTAAACCTAAAAGTGTTACGGAGCGAGAGTCGGGGACCTCGAGAGTAGACCAGGAGGAATCAGTGGCGGTGGAGTAACGCGATGGTGTGTCAGGGAAGGGGACGTCGATGTAATTCGAAGTTGAGGTCGTAGTGACAGAGAAGGCAGAGCGCTGAAGGAATCAATTTGAATCACCGATATAAGACCAAACCGAAGAGACAAGGCCAGAAATGCGCACCTCGTTGGGATTGTAGAACTCCGGCTCCCCATCAAAAAAGGGCGGGAATGACCCAAAAGGGTGCTTCTCTGCAAAATAATCATCTTCTCCGACATAACCACTATCGACGAAGGGTGAATCGTATTCTGAGTGATCGGAAGGCGGGAGGTCGCGTGTGTCCAATAAGGGATTCAGAACGAGAGTCTCCCCTAGCCTTTCCAGCCACGACCACGCAAACAGACTCTCCGCTTTGCGAACCTTGCTCCGCAACGCATGCGGCTTCCGTGCGGCTTCCTCGCGCTCCGTGCTCTTGAAGGAGTATGCACCCTCATTCACGTACAGCCCGTCAATCGCTGATGATGCACGAACCTCCCCGTCAAGTGTCGTGTTGGGTGTCTTACACCTCATCCCACCCGGAGTTCCACAGCGGAAGTACATATCCAGCATGCTTCTCATATCTGCCATCGCTGTGTCCGAGGAAAACTGCGCCGTGCTGAGAGCTGGGGTGCATGTTCCCATCCTGTCGATAGTGAAGACCTGCGACTGACCATCTGAAGGAATGAGGGGGGAGGATGAACGATGGGTTTCGTTGGGAGAGGAAGGGAGAAGCGAGGGGCCCGTGAAGGTGATCAAGCCTTCCTTTGGGTCGTACAATGCTGCGAAGGTGAGCGCGGTCTTGGGCGGGACAAGTTCAGACCATCGGTGAGCGGAGGGCGGGGGCGACAAGGATTCTTCAGAGGAATCTGACCGGACGGAATAGGAGAGCGAGGGTGCTTGGACGTGTATGTACGGATGAGCCTTCTGGAAGCAGCTTTTAGCAACATAGACGGTGAACATGGGGGTAAGACTCGAACCGTCGCAGTCGCGGCCGCCTTGACTGTTGAGGCTGAGGTCGTCCGGGAAGACATTGGGCAGTTCAGTTTGGACTGCGCGAGGCAAGCACGCGCCATGGAAGTAGACGGAGAAAACGAGACAGAGCCTTGTGAAGGGAGACGAGATATTTACCGCTCGGGAGTCGGGCGTCGGACTCGGGTTCTCGAGATACAATGAGCGCAGCTTATGTATCGAGAACGAGTGCGGCAGCGAGAGAAGTCGGAGTGATCGAATTGAAATGGAAGAGAGAAGTAGTGTACAGCGGGAAGACAGAGGGGATCGGAAAGAGCGAAAGCGAGAAAAGAAGATTAGTGAAGAGGGTAGGGGAAGAGGGAGAGGAGGGCGAAGCGATATAACCTCGGCGAAAGAAGCAGGGGGCAAAGGGACGGCCCTGTGGCTGGGATGTGGACGTTGAGAAGCCTCGTGGAAGGGACTCGAATCCATTTCCGGAATGTGGGTGGATTGGAGTGGGAGTATCCATGGATGGATATGGGCGTTACGGAACGGGAGGGCATGTCGGAAGAGATACAGAGGCCGCTGTGGCACGCAAATTCCGAGGCTTCGATCCACATGAGTATTTGCTAACCGCTGAAGGGACGTTGAAGAGATGGTCCATGATGGGTTGATGGGAATCAGCACGCATTTGAAACTCGCCGGTACAGTATAAATCAGTGTGCGATGGATGACCTGTCAGACCAGAAATTTCGATGAAGGGGAAGAATTCGTTCTAGTGAGAGATCTGCTGTTTTTGACAGGGAAAGCGCGCGAGTGAGCGGGGGAAGAAGAAGAAGGGGCAGGCTTACGGAAAGGCCTGCAGGCTGCAGGAAGGCAACGATAAGCACTTCATCTGACGTTGCTAACAGGATACTGTCAGAGAGATGGTGAACCTAAATTGAGCGGGAGATATCACCGAAAGTATAAAAAGGCAAGCACACGTATGTTGTTGTCGTCGTCGTCGTCGGCGATGAGGAGGAGTGGACGAGAAAGGCAGGTGGAAACCTAACCCGAAGACGCGGCACGCTATGGGCGCGCCGCGGACGGGCGTCTGCGGCCAGTCTGGTGTCCCGCTGCCGCGCCGTCATTCCTAGCGCCAACGCTCTCTTCATCCCTACTGTCCTCGTTGTCGAACACAGCGCCCATGCAATGAGCTCCTCAGGTCTCTCCCGACGCAGGGTAAATCCATCTATCTCCTCCTCCTCCAACGACCTCTCGTCCGACTCAAATGGCCACGCTTCCGCGTCTACACCTGCCTCGCACGCCGGCTCAGCGTTTGCAGGGGGGAGCAAGGTCGCGTACGACCCAAGAGACCTCCAACAAGACGACGAGGATGCTAGGACCGGTGGAAAGATGCCAAAGCTCACCATCATGGAAGAGGTTCTCTTGCTCGGCATCAAAGATAGACAGGTGGGTGTGCTGTCCCATCCCCTCTTCGATCCTCGTTCCCTCCGGATCCCCAATGCTCTCCTCTCGTCATCCACAAGCACATGTCTTTTACCTTACCATCACGCTTGCATCACCAGATACCGACTCCGTGCTGACACTCTCCAAAGGGCTACCTCTCCTTTTGGAATGACAACATCTCATATGCCCTCCGTGGCTGCATCCTTATCGAGCTTGCTCTTCGCCGACGAATCGCGATACACAAAGACCCGAATCGCCGGCGCTTGCCCCTTTCCGAGCGCATTGTCGAAGTCATCGACGAGCGCCAGACAGGCGAGACCATCCTTGACGAGACGCTTAAGATGATGAAAGCTCAAGAAGTAGAGCGTATGTCCGTCAACAGTTGGATCGACCTGCTTTCCGGTGCGTGTCTCTCGCTCCTTGCACTGCGTTTTTTTTCCTGATCAAGCGTCTGCGACTACGCCACAGGTGAAACTTGGAATGTCCTTAAAATCGGCTATCAACTCAAGCAGGTCCGCGAACGCCTCGCCAAGGGTCTCGTCGACAAGGGCGTACTTCGCACCGAGAAACGCAACTTTTTGCTTTTCGACATGGCCACCCATCCTGTCGCCGACGTTCGCACCAAAGACGCAATCATCCAGCGCGTCGTCGCGCTCCTCACTGCCAGCACGAGCTCTATCCCTGCTACAGCCCTCGACCGAGAGGGTGTCCAGATGCGTAATCTACGTGCAGTATGTCTTGTTTGTGCTGCATATGCCGCGAGCGTTCTCGACAACGCGTTTGGGCGGTTGGGGTACGAGGAGAGAGAGGCGGCATTTGGGAGATGCGACGATATACTTGCCGAGTTCTCCGTATGGCCGTTCGGCAACGCAGGCGGTGGAGGAGGTGGGAGCACTCCAGGATCGAGACGGAGGGAAGGCACGCAGATCGGGATGGGTGGATCCGTGGGTCGAAGAGAGGTGGTCCTGGGGCTAATGCAGGAAGTGAAGAAAGAAATGATAGGCGGCGACGAGGATTTAGGCTGTGAACTCGTCGCAGGCGTGTTGGAAGTCTTGAGCAAGCTCGATTCGCTGCTCTGATGTCAGAGAGATGTGGGCTGGTATAGACGCCAGTCAGTATTCGCGTCCTTTTGTTGTATGTTCTTTCTTTGATCGGCAGGCTTATTTATTTCAGCTGTTTGGGATTGAAGGTCTTCTCATGCTCCATGTGCTACTTCATGTGCGCCTGTTCGTGCCTCCAGGTCGACGACAACCATATACGTTAGGGAAACGGCCTTCATAGGAAGCAATCGCCGCGTTTTAAGACTGCATAAGACAAGCGACTAGTCAACGGATTCTTTGAATATTGCACTTCGGCAAGCCTCTCAAAAGGGTCATGTTCGTAGCTCGATCAGCCTGTAGAGACCGTCAGTGCTCGCCACTCGATGAGTATATCTCCAGTGACATGGTGTTGGAATTGTAGTCGATGTAGGCGCAACCAAATCATGGCACTAGTAAAGATCAGCGCACGGCATAACCTCCAGCCTCACAACTTCACCACCTGCTCCACACGTCTCCTGCGTGGCCTGAGCGATACATGTAGTATCCTTGATTCGTTCCGCAATCTTCTCGCGCACATACAAATGCATGCACTCGTAGCCAAAACTTTGTTATTCTTCTTGTAATATCTCGCTCTGTGTAAGGCATCTCCGCCTGTGTCTATGTTGTCTTTTTTCTCTTTGGCAGGATTCAAATTACGATTCCGCAAACACAATATTTTCCTGGGGAAAGAGGGTTTGCCTTCTAGCATATCCTCGTTCAACCACATAACGGCAGGCTCTGAACAGTGGAATGGTGCGTGAGTGTCAAAGGTGGCCGTGGTGTCGTGGGTGCACGCACCTAGGTTACGCTTAGGAACTCTGCTGAAGTGCTTGAGTCGAAATGATTACTCGGTGACCAGGTTCTGAAGGACTGCGCTTCAAAACGATGCGTAAAAGACAATATGTCGACTAACCATCATCGTCTAAATGACGTTTTAGATCTGACCTAGAGCAGTACATTCAGCTGATCCCGATCACTCTTCTTACACGTCTGCAGACCAGCGAGACAGACATCGTCGTGTATTATGTCGTATATTTAATGCACACAATGGCCATTCAGGTCGAGGAGCTCACCTTGTGGGATACATCGGTAAGCTTCGGCAGTTTGTGGACTCACGCAGCTCGCTCGCGCCAATCAAAGCAGCGAAGACCATAATTCAAACCCAGGGGTTTTCGTTTAAGACATGGTGGCGGTCTTGTAGTCCGCTCTATGAAGACGTGAAATGCATTGTATGATGTATTAGAGAATGTGTTGAAAATGGTCTTCGACACGGACACACCATATGTCCACTTTAATTTTATTACAACCTCTAATTTCGACTCGAAGATAATACTCTTTTCAAATCTATACGTACACGATAATCAAACGAAGTGCATTGGATCAAAAAGAAGGATGGCTGGGTCACTACTTAATACACCTCGATGGCCCTAGTAGCTGCTTGTAGTGCGTCCGCATATTTCTGGAATTCAGGCTGTGAGCAGGCAAGGACGCGCTGGAACATCATCTTGAATATATCTTCCAAGTCGCCGATGACGGGATACTGGGCCTTGCTGTGCCCACGCACATTCAGGCACCACCGTTCCACCTCCTTTGCGTTATCCTCTGCATAACCATCCCACTTACAACCGTCGATATCAGCTTTCCTGAACGTCAATTCGCAACGAGGACCAGTGGCAAGATGAAATGCGCTTGTGGTGGCCAAATCGAGGAAGAGAGCGACGTGCTTGGGTTTGAAGTGCGCACCGTCCTCACGAACGATAAAAGGGCAGGTCAGGCCATTAGCGGCTGATTTCTCGGCTGCTGTCGATTGAACTTTGATCTGGTAAGGAATCATGATGAAGTTGGATAAATTGAGGCGCCGCTTAATATCTCCCTTATAGCCCACTAAAAACCCGTCCATCACTGGCTGGCTAAACTTGCACTGCACCGCGCAAGTGCGGGTCCAAAGATCACGTAGGAAGTCAGGCTTGAGCTTGCTAATGTTGGTGTCGACTTCAATAAAATGAGTAAAGTTGAGCCAAACATCGCTGGCCCAGCTTATGAGGTTGTTGCGATGCTGCCGTTGGGCCTTTTCGTTGCCCAGACCAAATTTGTCCCCGAGCAAGGTAATTAAAAATTGGTCGAGTCTGACAGGTGGGATCGCGAGAGCCCGTCGGCTCTCAATCATTGGCACGAATTCGCCCCCTCTGGGCAAGGTCGCTTTGTCGCGTGTGAGTATCATGAGAAGTCGACCACATAACTCTCCCTGAAGACCTCGATCAAGCACGACTCCGTTGATGATAAGCTTCTCGAGCAAGGTCTTCATCGCGATGTTGTAGGTGTCACTTGCTTGATTCAACACCTGTGTGGCAGCAATAGCAAGGAGCGGTTCCGAAGGCGCTTTGGTGACAACAATACCGCCGACGACGCCCATCAGAATTCGCATGTGTCGAGCCACGGCGACCACGGCTACCCGACTCGCAGCGGCGCTTTCGCCAACTTCGAGCAAAACTCGATTGGCAAAGGCAGCAAGAACGTGGTCTTGGTCGGTGGCGTCGAATGAAGGGCCACGGAAAAGCTTTATTATAGCCAATCGTACCAGATCCATGTGCGTTTCGCTTGTGGCCCAAAGCTAGTCAAGTGCCCATCAAGACATAATCAAGCATCATTTCAAACGGGCACTTACCGGTCGGCCAAACTGCTTGAGGTTTTTCAATGACAGCGCGTCTTCAGGTTTTTTTATTTGCACGTCCATCTTGAACTGGTCCAATCCAAGGTAGACCCAGACAGGCAAAGGTTTGAGTGCATCTCTCAGCCTAAAGGACGAAGCAATATCTCCGGTCCCTGCTAGGAGTGGCACAGACGAATTCGTATCGAGAAGAAGGTGCCAGAATACCACTCCATGAGTATCTTCGTAATAGTCGGTAACCTTGATGATGCGTTCCAAAGCGATCAATGACATGTGTGCACCGGGAGGGCGAGGAGTTTTCATCGTGTCCTTGCCCATATTGAGGAGGGTGCACTCATCGAAAGCGAAGACAAACCGATCGTAACTCAGCGTTTTGAGCTTCTGGGCTAGATCCATAAACCTTGCCTTGACGAGAAGGAGAAAGACTTCATGATGCCACGTAATGATGCCTTGAAGCTCGTCATCTATCGGGGTTTCCGATTCAAAGCCTTTGGTTCGAATGTGTTCGAGCTCGGCTGTGTTGTCTGCAAGCATCTGTTCTGCGCGCTGGACGACATCGATGAAAAGCTCTTGACGCTGTTCTGCCGGAAATTGCACCTGCCATGCTATCATAGCCTCCTTGGGTGAGGCCGATTGGCCGATCGTATCCTTCACAACCTCCAACAGTGCCCCATAGAAGGCTGCAGCCAGTTCCTCACCCTAGCCGAACATTAAAGATGCATACTCGTAAGATGAGTTTCCGGGCTCACTCTGAACTGGGGGGCGCGGTTTTTTGCGAAGAATTCGTAGACGCCATGATCGCGAGGGGGCCAGCCTTGTGTCACCTCCTCGCTGCCTCGAAAACAAACACTCAGAGTTGGGATCTGTTGGATGATTTGAATATCAAAACGAGGGTCGATTTTTGAAGAAAGCGTACAAACGCGACTGCCTAATTCTTCAACCAAGCGTGATTTCCCGGTGCCACTAGACTGCAGGATACTGATTATTTTGCCGTAGTGAATGTCGCGCTTGTAGATGGATTCATACTCCTCAAGGGCCTGAAAGAAATCGTTGACTGCGCCGCCCCGGTATTCTTCATGGAAAGCCCTGTCTAGCCTCTTTTCCTTCTCGTAGCTGTTGTAGAAGGAAAGGCTGCTCAGTATGGAAACGAACAGGGGAAGAAATACTGCTAACTCACGGAGTCTCCGGTGGCAAATCTTCATTGATAACTCCACATCGAGCATGTCAAACGATACGTAGAGCATGTAGAGCATGAGCGACGTACTGCAAGCGTCCAAAAGAAATTCGCCAGCATGATCGCAATCGAGAATGAGCTCCATAAGATCGTAGTCGGACTTCAACGGACGAGGGGAGTTCGTATCGCCTTGACGGAAGAGAGCATTTAAAAGAGCCGCCGGGAGTTTACCCTGAGGTAGACTCGCAAGCCTTTTCATAGCGTCTTGTGCAAAGGTCCGGGGGAGATCCAGAACCTGATCGGATTGACGAGAGCGTATGGCTTGAATAACTTTTTTCGGATAGAGTGTTGGGATCACTTGGATGTTGAATTCATCTACATCAGAATCGTCGAGGGTCGCGAACCAGTGGATGACCTGTTCTTGGACATTGGAGGTAGTGGTACTAAGATTCATTTCTAAAACCCTTGCCCGTCTTGCATTCGAATGCGTGAGGCCCTTACGCCTACCATCTCGTGTTTTCCCACACCTCCCACCACCCTCCTCTGCGCCTTACAGATGCTCTACACACTTATTATGCCCCCTACTGGTTCTCAGCCGACAGGGGGAAAGGCCCCGGATGGATCAATACCGAAACCACCAGGGAAAACCCAACCCACAACCTCGTTACCGCCAGAAGCCACTTCCTCCCCAGCCGTGGCGATCACAACACTATTTTTTAATTTTGATTTTAATAATCAAATCATTTATATCCCGCACGGCGTAAGGTCAGTGGCAGCAGTTTTACAGCCAGATTCATAACGATAGGCCCAAGCTTCGGAAAAAAGGACCCAGTCGGAGCATTGAATTTGAGATCTAGACAGCGTACGACTGGGGAGAGGAGTGAGGACAACAAGCGGAGAAATCGGCATCTACCTTACATGGCCAAAATATTTCAGCGCCGACACCATTTGCTAAGCATGTTCTTTTTTGTCAAGGCCCATCATTATGAATCTGGCTGTAAGGAGGCGGTCGACGACATCATGACCAGGCAGGAGGTGCTCGTGCAGCAGATTTCCCGGTTCAGGTTCACAAAGAGGTGCTTCGAGCAGGTCATCCTGCGCTGGGAGATGAACACTGCGCCCGAGCTCCCAAAAGAGGTTCACTTCTCTTGCGCTCTCCAGTTCGTGCTCACGCTCACACTGACGCACAGACGTGCGCACAGCCTCAGCCAGCCGCTCGAGCTCCGCCGCCAGGGGGCCGAGGAGGAGTCGTACTTCAACATGGATGACGACGACGACGACGACGACGGCTCGCTGCCGCTCCCTAGCACGCCGCTGCTCACGCGTCACTAGTCCGCGGACCAGAACCGTAAGCGCCAGCGCGTGCCCGGCGTGCCGATGCCCCCCGCTCTGCATGCCAAGCATCCACCTCCCGCACGCGCCGCTCAGCGGCAGCCTCATCGACCACTACGACTCCTCCTCGCGCGAGCTTGCGCTCGACCCCAGCCTCAACCTCGACCGCCGCCTCGTGCCTCTCGGCCCTCATGGCGGCGACACGGAGGCGGGCGCGGACGCCGCGCACACCATCGCGCCCGTGCTGACCCCTACGCGCCTCCGACGCTGCGCCTCTCTCATCGACTGATCGTGGGCGCACGCCCAACGCCGACGATGCCGGCAGTGGCAGCGGTGACGAGCAGCCGAACATGGGCGGTGGCGGTGACGGTGGCGGGAGGTTCATACCGCTATCACATGTACGCGCATCCCCTCGTTCTCTCTCCCTCGTCCAGCGTCACTGTTTAGGCCTCGCCGTTCCTAAACCGTGCACACACCATCGCCATCCCTCCACGCCCCCCGCTTCCATCGTAATTGCACTCCTCGCCCGCGCACAAAGCATCATGAATATTACTGCGCGTCGACGAGGAGGCCGTTGAGCCGCTGGCAGCGGAGAGATGAACCAGGAAGAAGGAGGCCGAGTGTTACCAAGGTTAGTAACTCACGCTCTCCTCCTTTCTGTCTGCCCCTTGCCCACCACCGAGTGCCCTCGACCCCCTTGAACCCTCGAGCACACGCACCTGCCTTCGCTTGCCATCCGCATTCGTTTATGCATGACTCCTCCAGCTCACGCACGCACGCCCGACTTCTCGTCAACCCCTCCACCCGCCCCTCCCTCATCCTGCATCATTGCCGACACCGCCCACGCGCTCGACCCCGCATCCTCACATCCTCGTCTCACCTTGTCCTCTTGATGATGCGACCCCTCGGTCCCCGCACACACTCGACCCCGCCCACGCTCGACCCTGCACACGCTCGATCCCCCATTTGTCGGCCATCCCGTGCTCGTGGCTGAGGAAGTCGAAGAGGAAAGGCGGCGGCGGTGGAGGATGAAGAGGGCTGGGAGCTCAGATGGGCATAGACGATGAGAACGTCGTGATGGATGCACCTTTCCTGAGCAGGACGAACGTCATGAAGGTGTGTCGTTGTCTCTCCTTACACCGGTTCCTCTCTCCACACGCGTATATCCCAGTCTCGACTTTCTTCCCGCTCCTCCTTCGACCTGTGCCCCGCGATTTCCTCGGCAGCGACGTTCCGCCGTTGACGCCGCGTCGGGTCGTCTGTTCAGCCCACGCAACCCTGCCACCCAGCGCCCTCGCGCTCATCCCCTCGACGGTTCACATCCGCCCCTTCCTCGTGCTGCGTCGCCGCCAAAACCCCGCGCACGCTCACCCCTATGCACGCTCGCGCCCAGAATCCTCGTGCTCGTGCTCTCTGCTGTCGATGTTCCCGCTGTCGAAGTCACCATCTCCAACGGTGTCGACGCCAACCCCTTCGACATCACTGCCCCCGCCTCCGCCAGGGAACACGATGTCCTCGTCGAGTTTCTCACCCTCCTTGCCGTCTGCTACACCGTCATCCCCGAACTTCAGGACGGCAAGATGCAGCGGCGGAGGACAATGATGAACACAAGCAATGGCAGCGACAGAGAATGGGCATAGACGACAAGGACATCCACTTAGGTTAGGTTATAAGAGGTGGTAGGCGGATGGTAGGTGAGACGAAAAAAATCCAAGATGTTGGGCAGGTGAGGAGCCAGGTGAGAGGCTAGGTGAAAGGCCAGGTGAGAGGCCAGGTGAGGAGGCAGGTGAGAGGCTAGGTGAGGGGCCAGGTGAGGAGTCAGGTGAGGAGACATGTGAGAAGGCAGGTGAGGAGGCAGGTGAGGAAGCAGGTGAGGAGGCAGGTGAGGAGGCAGGTGAGGAGGAAGGTGAGGCGGCAGGTGAGGAGTCAAGTGAGAGGCCAGGTGAGAGAGTACAGCCAGTGCTGGTGACATGAGGACATCACTGATGACTAGCAGTCGTCTGAGATGAGATGCGACGTCCGAGATGTCAGGCAGTCGTCAGAGACATCCTGCCTGCGTCCTAGACGAGATGCGACGTCTGAGACGTCGTGCAGTCGTCAGAGACATCCTGCCTGCGTCCTAGACGAGATGCGACGTCTCAGCAGTCGTCTGAGACGAGACGCGAAGTCTGAGACATCAGGCAGTCGTCACAGACGTCCTGCCTGCATCCTAGACGAGACGCGGCGTCTCAGACATTTGGCCGTCGTCAGAAACACCTTGTTTTTACCACAGACGAGGGGGGGACATCTTAGACGTCGTGCAGTCGTCACAGATGTCCTGCCTGCGTCCTAGACGAGACGCGGCGTCTCAGACGTCCTGCCTGCGTCCTAGTAGTATTACCGACACTTTTGAGTCCACCGATATCCGAAACTACTGTGTTGCCAATTAAATGTAAATATAAATATGAAAAAATCCTTTCTGTAATCTTCATACCCTGCTTCAACTTTGAGGCCCAGAAGTAGTAAGATTGAATCAGGGGTTCAATAGATATGGATTTAAACAGTCTACCCCCTAAAACCAGACTGTGTGGAGCACAGTCTGGGTTTTGGGAACCAAATCGGAGGTTGCACACAATTCTGTCTGATTCAATAGGCTTAAAATGTATTTGTTATGGTACCCTAATATTTTTATTAGTAGACATGGAGTACTAAAGATGTTACAGGCAAAATACAGAATTGAAAGAAAACCTCAAAAAACCGAGTCTCCAGTCCACAATTGTCCTTGGATTTCCATTGCAAAACTAATAAAATGCTCCTACATACACTACCTTTCAAATCATACCCTAATTTCATTATTTGGATGAGGGGATCGAGAGATATGTAATTGTTTGTGATGTTGAGGGTATTCTGCAACCCGGAGACACAGTTTAGTCAGCATCGGGAAAGGGCGGCGCACAGTCGGGAGATTGCGGACCCACAGTCGTCACACTGTTGTCACACCACGCACAGTCTCTCTGTTGCGCCACACAGTCCGGCCGAGACCGCACACAGTCCGGATTTTAGCGCTAGTTCAGCGCCACACAGTCCGGATTCTCGGTGACAGTCCGAGATTTGGCGGTGAATCTGCGCCACACAGTCCGGCCGTGCCGCACACAGTCCGATGATTGTCGCGCCACACAGCCCGACTAGTAGTATTACCGACACTTTTGAGTCCACCGATATCCGAAACTACTGTGTTGCCAATTAAATATAAATATAAATATGAAAAAATCCTTTCTGTAATCTTCATACCCTGCTTCAACTTTGAGGCCCAGAAGTAGTAAGATTGAATCAGGGGTTCAATAGATATGGATTTAAACAGTCTACCCCCTAAAACCAGACTGTGTGAAGCACAGTCTGGGTTTTGGGAACCAAATCGGAGGTTGCACACAATTCTGTCTGATTCAATAGGCTTAAAATGTATTTGTCATGGTACCCTAATATTTTCATTAGTAGACATGGAGTACTGAAGATGTTATAGGCAGAATACAGAATTGAGGGAAAACCTCAAAAAACCGAGTCTCCAGTCCACAATTGTCCTTTGATTTCCATTGCAAAACTAATAAAATGCTCTTACATACACTACCTTTTAGATTATACCCTAATTTTATTATTTGGATGAGGGGATCCAGAGATATGTAATTGTTTGTGATGTTGAGGGTATTTTGCAACCCGGAGACACAGTTTAGTCAGCATCGGGAAAGGGCGGCACACAGTCGGGAGATTGCGGGTGCACAGTTGTCACACTGTTGTCACTCCACGCACAGTCTCTCTGCTGCGCCACACAGTCCGGCCGAGACCGTACACAGTCCGGATTTTGGCGCTAGTTTAGCGCCACACAGTCCGGATTCTCGGTGACAGTCCGAGATTTGGCGGTGAATCAGCGCCACACAGTCCGGCCGTGCCGCACACAGTCCGATGATTGTCGCGCCACACAGTCCGACTGTGTCGGCACACAGTCCGACTGTGTCGGAACACAGTCCGACTGTGTCGGACACAGTCCAAGTTTTCCCTCCGACTGTGTCGGCACACAGTCCGACTGTGTCGGACACAGTCGGAGTTTTCCCTCCGACTGTGTCGGCACACAGTGCCCTCCAACGTCTCGTGATGAAGCACGCCGCCACGTCGCGTCGCGTCGATCCTCCCCGCACATTTGAACATCGAGCACAACACGCTTCCTCAGCCGAGGTCTCTTTGCTCTCTCAGGACATTTTGGATTTCATTAGTGAGCTTTTTCTTCTTCTGAACCCTTCCTCTGCATGCTCTCGACGACGCCAGCAGACAACAGATGCTCAGAGAAAGTGCGCACTGCTGATAGTATTTTTTCTTACAGTTTGCAGCTGCAATACTCCGGGCACCCACTCCACGCTATTTCCACACCCTCTTCCATCTCCAAGGCTTTCTCTTTTCTTGTCAACATCCACGACATCCGTGTCGGCGCCGTCCTCTTTAAACGACTGCTTTGCGCCCACCCTGTCTCATGACGCGTGGAGCAAAGCAACTATCTTATCATGCGAGGTTGAGCACATTGAAGAGAAGAACAAGGAGCAGATGGCGATAGAGGCAGAGGAGGGACAGCGGCTGTCGAGAGACGAGGGTGGAGCGACGAGACGATGGTGACGGACACACGCTCATCGAGCAGGCAGAGCGGTACGACGGTACGTACCTCCTGTTATCGCCCTTTCCGCCTGCACCTCCCTCGACATCTACGCCTCGAACCCCCACGCATTCGTCTTCTCAGCCCCCTGGCTCCTCCTCGCATGTGTGGACCGACTACTCCTAGTAGTATTACCGACACTTTTGAGTCCACCGATATCCGAAACTACTGTGTTGCCAATTAAATGCATTTATAAATATGAAAAAATCCTTTCTGTAATCTTCATACCCTGCTTCAACTTTGAGGCCCAGAAGCAGCGAGATTGAATCAGGGGTTCAATAGATATGGATTTAAACAGTCTACCCCCTAAAACCAGACTGTGTGAAGCACAGTCTGGGTTTTGGGAGCCAAATCCGAGGTTGGACACAATTCTGTCTGATTCAATAGGCTTAAAATGTATTTGTCATGGTACCCTAATATTTTCATTAGTAGACATGGAGTACTGAAGATGTTACAGGCAAAATACAGAATTGAGGGAAAACCTCAAAAAACCGAGTCTCCAGTCCACAATTGTCCTTGGATTTCCATTGCCAAACTAATAAAATGCTCCTACATACACTACCTTTCAAATCATCCCCTAATTTTATCATTTGGATAAGGGGATCGAGAGATATGTAATTGTTTGTGATGTTGAGGGTATTCTGCAACCCGGAGACACAGTTTAGTCAGCATCGGGAAAGGGCGGCACACAGTCGGGAGATTGCGGGCGCACAGTCGTCACACTGTTGTCACACTGTGCACAGTCTCTCTGTTGCGCCACACAGTCCGGCCGAGACCGCACACAGTCCGGATTTTGGCGCTGGTTCAGCGCCACACAGTCCGGATTCTCGGTGACAGTCCGAGATTTGGCGGTGAATCTGCGCCACACAGTCCGGCCGTGCCGCACACAGTCCGTTGATTGTCGCGCCACACAGTCCGACTGTGTCGGCACACAGTCCGACTGTGTCGGACACAGTCCAAGTTTTCCCTCCGACTGTGTCGGCACACAGTCCGACTGTGTCGGACACAGTCGGAGTTTTACTTCCGACTGTGTCGGCACACAGTGCCCTCCAACATCTCGCGAGAAGGACGAGCGTCATGAAGGTACGTCGTCGTCTCTCCTTGCGCCAGTCTTCCCCTGCACACCGGTCCCTCCGCTCGACCCACGCATGGTCGTCCTTTCGACTCCATATACGCCTGCCACCCAGGACCCCCACCCTCGACCCCTCGACCCCTTCCACTGTCGACCTTATCGATCCTCCTGTCCTTGCACATTCATTCCTTCCCCTCCTCACATATATTTCACATTTTCAGTCATTCTGCCCGCCCTCTCTCATTCTGCGTTATTATAGAGACCCCATGCACACTCGACCTCTCGCCTATTTGCCTGCTCGAAGTGCTCTGATGCTACGCCCTCGTTTTGTCGTCCCCGCCGGCTCCCCTCTCACTCCCCAGATCAATTCCCACGCTCATGCCCACGCTTACGCCTACGCCTACTAGCCAAAGGAATTGCGATATTCGCAGGGAAGCGAGCGCATTCCAGTCCGTGTGCGCCGCGCCGCACTCTGCCTCAAGCAGAAGCTGCAAAGACGCGGTGCGCATCGCGTTCCAGAAGGTATGCGCGCGCACCATCCTCTCCCCAACACCCACCCTGCACTTCTTCGTGCGGTCCTGCAAGCTCAGCTATACAGCGTCATATAGACTCATCCTCCAGCCCCTCTATCTCTCCCCACGTCTCTACCCCTCCCACTGCCCTTGCCTGCGCGCGTCGGTGATGCTTGGCATCAAACAATCCACAGCGGACGAGTTGCGCAAGATGCACGGCTCGCGCACGCGGTCGAGAAGCTCGATGTTGAGGGTTCCGCAGTGGACAAGTCTAGCGAAGTGCAAAAACGGCCGTGTGTAGTCTGCGGCAGCCTGGCTCGCCACCAAGCCCAAATTCGCCGAAGGTTAATTTGGGCTTGGTGGCGAGCCAGGCTGCCGCAGACTACACACGGCCGCCGGCTTCGCCGGCAACACACCTGCCCTTAGCATGTTCTTCAACATCACAAATGGCTCCGAGCATGCCTTGGGCAAACAGAACGCAAGTGAGTGCTGGACATGTTCGAGCGCCACGAGAAGTACATCCCGCACATGCACACAGCACATCTCGTCTATCAGGAACGTCACCGCACTGCGACGCAGCGTCAAGTGGGAGCAGCTAGGTTGGCCTGAGGTAGATTGGTCGCTGAAGAAGTGAGGGATCGTTATTGTTTGCACAGTGAGTCTTCATTATGTTGACATTGAGTCCGAGTATGGGTGGGACATGGCGACACGCTCCAACCGCCTTCTGTAGCACCCTGACACACACGCCATGAGAGGATCTGACATACTCTCCCACTCGTACTATCAGCAACTAATTTCACATGCTTTGTGCGCATATATACGCGCTCCCACTCTTAGCTATTTTTCAAGTACCCCTTCTACCTGTAGTTAGATTTTTTTTCTCTCTCTCTGTATGTATATCACGACCCTGCAAACCATCTCTTCCTCTCCTAAAAAAGAGGCTATGTCTTTACACCATGGCCCCATTCACCCACACGACGTGTGGGCGAAAGTTGTGGAGAGAGTGTCGATCTGCGCTGACCTGCGCTGACCGCCAGCTCTCGACTCGACCAGATCCAGCTTCCAATTGCACGGAGGTTCTCACAGACAACATGTCTCCCCGCTGCCCACGCAACAATGGATTGCGAAACCGGGACAAGCATCAATCTGACTAGTCTTGTGAGTACATTTCTAACCTACTCTTCGATGCCCTCTTCCACACACTCAACTTTGCGAACGGGACGATGGGCCTCCGCCGATGCCCTGAGAAAGCAAGCATCGCCGAAGGCGTGTACTGACGTTTATTTTTATTTTTATTTACTTTTGCTGTCTGCAGATCCGTCCCATCCCTGCCTCGTCCTCTAACCTCGTCCACACCTACGCCCACGCTCGCCACCATCTCTTTTCCCGGTGCCACCCACGATCACCGTCGCTGAGGCGTCCTGCCCCACCGACGCCCACACGCTCACGCTGCCCGATGACGGGCCAAGCATCGCGACCGTCCGAGCGTCAACGACCGCGATGTCGACGACAACAACGACCACAATGAGGAAGGTCGGTGGCGGAAAGACACGCTGGGGGGAGAGAAGGGACGTGCGACGAGGATATTCACGAGGTATACTGCCTCTCTTCGCGCCAGCCTCCCTGCACACGCGTCCCTGCTCCTGCACGTCCCCCGCCCCTGCACTCCTGTCCTCGACCGCCGACACCGCGCGCGTGGACCTCTCCTGCGGCCGCGCTTGCGAAAAGTGGCTCGCGTGCGGGAACTACGTCTGTGTGGAGTCGTGCCATCCCGGCGCGTGTCCGAGGCAGTGCAGTGCTAGTGCAGGAAAGTGGAGAAGCAGCTTGCATACAGGGAGGGAGAGAAGAAGGCGTGCGCCGTGGTGCATAGAGACGGCGAGGAGGAGGAGGAGCAGTGGGTCGGGTCGTTTGATTGCGGGAATTCGTGCGATCGGTACGTTCTTCCTCGAATCTTCCTCCATACCCCCAATGAATTCCTCCCGTCTAACCGCCTCAGCCACCGCCTCCAGCTGAGCTGCTCACTAGTGAGAACTCGGCGCCAACTCCTGCCATAGTTATCGAGCTGCAGTTTCGACTGCAGGACATTCAAGCCTCTCTTGCCTGCTTCATCGATAAGATCCGCGCCATGGAGGGTATGCTCTCTGGGCACAAAGCCATCAAGCGTGAAGTTAGCACCCTCCGCGAGCTGATAAAGGAAAAATGCGAATTAGACAGCGTACGCGGCAGACAATGCTCAGGGACGCTGCGTGCCAAGGACCACGACGACAGCGAGTACGGCGGCGACGACGATGACGCGCAGAGTATCGCAACCGTCATGCCCCACGAGCTGGAGTGCGTCGAGGAGGAGGACGAGGAGCAGCTGGCGGCGGAGGAAGAAGAAGAGGAGCGGCGGCGGCGGCGGCGGCGGCGGCGGCGGCGGAGAGATGAGCTAGGTCGACCGATAACACCGGAGCCTACAGGGATGGGCATGGACATCCATGGCAGATCCAAAATGCACCTTGACGTGCTCAACATGCACTCACGATCGCCGCCGCCCCCTCTACGAGAGCCTTTTGCTCTTCAGCCTTCGACGTCTTCCGTGTTCGAGGAGCGCATCGATGCCCTCACCTCTCACCTCGAATCTGCGCTCGAGCTCTCACGCACGCTCCAAGCTCAGCAGGCTGCTGCGCAGAGTACCACCTCCATGCTTGAGTCCAAGGTCTCCTTGCTCGAGTCACTCGTCCAGGCGTCGCAGACCGATATACAGTCGCATGTCACTGAGGTGAGTCAAGAGCGCGCCTCGCTCACCTCACTCATCGCTGAGTGGAAGAAGGGTGTCGAGGGCTAGTGGAGCGGCGTCCGTGAGGAATGGGCTGAGGAGCGCATGCGGATCAATCAGGCGCGTGAGGTTTGGGAGGCGCGCGTGCGGGCTGCTGAGGAGGGGTTTGACGGCGCCGTCGCGAAGGTGGATGCCGGGCTCGCGACGCTGCAGCAACACCGACTCAAGGCGAACGTGAACGAGCGCAACGGTGTCAGGCTCGTCACACCCCCCAGTCCACGCAACATCTCGTCTGACTCGGGCAAGCGCCATCGGCGGAAACGATCGACAATCTCCCGAGGCCGATCGCGTTCGCACTCGGCCGAGTCGAACAAGGACGACGGTGGGTACGCGAGCTCATTCGAGGGCGTGACACTGCTCGATGACAAGCGCCAGTCAGCTTCCAAAGCACGCACGCGAGTGCCCCGGGCGCAGGATGATTCGGATTCGGACGTGCGTCATGCAAGCGACGATGCGAGGATCATGTCCTTGAAGCACTATGCCATCACCTCAGAGTCGTCGGTCCAGAAGGCATCGACAGGGTCCACGACGACGATGACGACGGAGGATGACGCTGCACACGCCTCGTCTGCCGCCGCCGCCAATCTGAAGGGCGCACACCTGGCGCCAGTGAGCTTTGTTCTCTGCGTTTTCGTGCATTCGCTCACGGCACTGTGTCGACAGATGGTTCAACATTCATGCCGTCGAGTTCACCTAACGTCTTGGACAGTCGACCCGCGAGGGCAGGTGAAACCTGGTGCAACTTGTCCGTCGACGGCCGAAGCCGTAGCGTCTGCTGCCAAACGACGGACCGGCCATGCTCCAGCAGCTCTATCGCATGCTCCAGCTCCCCCTCTCGAATCGCGTGTGCAGCCGCGCGGGAGCTTTCGATCGGGCTCTTCGCGAGAATGTCATGTCGCGCCTGCACAGACCGCCCTATATTCGCCGTGCGAAGCTGTTGCTGCAGGCGCGCGTCGAACACCGACATCCGAGGCATGACGGTGTTTCGTGGCGACGGCCTCCCATATCCTAGTGTACCGCAGACAGTGTCCGCTCGGAGCAGTCGTCGAGGTCGCTGCCTGGGCGTACATGTGCAGGCACTCATCCAGGTCATTCACGTCTCCTCGCGATTCATACCTCGCGTATACGGTTGCGGTGTATGAGCACTCGCCTATTTACAACGTTGTCTCGTGACAATGTTACTGGTATGCGGCCGTCATCTACGACGTCTTCTGCGCCCGCCTCGGTGGCAGATCAGTTGATCACGCACTCCGTGGCCCTCTCCGTGCCGGGCGCTTCCTCACAATTTTCACCATCCAGCCCAAAGACCCACCACTGGACTGCGTTCTGCCACGTTACAATCACCATTTCACGAAAGTTGTGGAAAAGGCGAGGACTGATCCTAATAATGCGAGGTTACAGGCAGCGGAAGCACGGGCGAGGGAGGAGGCAGCGGCGAGGGCACAGGCCGACGCGAGGGCAAGGGAGGAGGCAGCGGCGAGGGCACAGGCCGACGCGAGGGCAAGGAGGTTAGAGGATGAGATTGCCTTCCTCCGACAGCAGCTGGCGGCGCAGGGCTATGCTGGCCCATCCAATAGGGCAGTGTAGACTTTGTTTTGTTTCCTATATCTGTTCCGCGTCTGTTTTGGTTTGAGTGCTTTCGATGCTTTCGGTGCTTTCAGTACATGTACCCGTTCTGTACGCATAGTCTTTCTCTCATAACATGCGATGTTTTCCGCGGTCCCACATCACCAGCGATCAATTGGATGGACCTCTTCCGCCTTCAACACCACGACTGCTCGTTCTCTTTCCGCCTGCACCTTCTCGTCCTCGTCAATGGACATCCCACTCCCACACCCACCATCCATGGTCTCCGCGGCGGCGGCATCTGCTCCGACAACAATCCCGCGCCCACACTGCCCGTCAACACGCAGAGCATCGCAGCTGTTTGAGTGTCAACAAGGAAGATGAGACCTAGCTGGTGGCAGAGGACGAGGAACGAGTGTGGTGGAGAGACGAGCTGAGAGGAGAGTGGGCACGGACTCGAGGACGAGGCCATCGACGAGGGATAGAGGTAGGTTGTTGTCTCTCACTCCAGTCCACACACGTACTTCTCGTATTTGACCTGTCTGCCCTACCCTTCTAATTCTACGACCCCTCGCCCACGCCCTGTCCGTGCCAACGTCGACATCCTCTGCTAGCCTGCAAGCCTGAGATTTTCCGACAGGCCATCGTCCACGTCCTCTTCTTCCTACGGGACGATCGGTCGCAAAACCAGCACTTCGAACCTTTCATTGTGAGTTACCTTTTGTTCCTTTTACATCTCGATACCCGTTTCCTTCGCGCTCTCCCTCCCTCGCACTCTCAGTGATGCAAGCGGACGAGTGATGCAAGCGGACGACGGGCCTCCACCTCGGCCCTGAGAAAGCTTGCATCTTCAAAAGCCCTGTTATCTGCTGCCTTGATTTTCTATGTACTGTATTTTTTTGATTTAGCTTGCAAATTTTCCGTAAACACTCGCACTGTTGAAAACCGGCACTATGCCCGCCCGCCCGCTCGCTCGACCCCCCGAGCGTCGATTCCGCCCTCGTGCCCACACGCCGAGCTTGACGCACTCTGCGCGCACGCCCCCGCCCTCGCCTGGGACCCAAATCCGCGTGCGCGCGTCCCCTCGTTTCCTTGAGTCCACGCCCACCGCCCACCCAGTGCCCAACCGCCTAGGCCGTTGACGTGTATGCTCCCGCCGCCAAGCCTATGCGCGCACGCACGTCTCCTCGACACCACGCAAGATATCCCCTCGTTCTCCATCCCTCGTCTAGCGTCACTGGTGAGACCCCGCCGTCTCTCAACAGTCACTGTCCCTACATCGTCGCCGAACCTCCAACCCCCCGCTTCCGCTGCACTTGCGCTCCGCGCACGCGCACAGAGCATCGCGAATATCACAGCACGTCGAGAGGAGGCCGAGGAGCCGCTGACGGCGGAGAGTGAGCTAGGAAGGAGCGTTACCGAGGTCCGTACCTCCCTCTCTCATCCTTTCTTTCTGCCCCTTGCCCGCCGCCGAGTGCCCTCGACCCACTGGAATTCTTGAGCTCACGCATTCGCCCTTGCCTGCGACCCACATTTGCTTACGCGCAACTCCTCCAGCTCATGCACGCACGCCCGACTTCTAGTCCACCCCTCCGCTCACTCCTCCCTCATTCTGCATCATCGCCGACACCGCATACACGCTCGACCCCGCATCCTCATATCCTCACTTCACCTCGTCCTCTTGCTGATGTGACCTCTCGACCCTCACGCGCGCTCGACAGCGCTCACGCTCGAACTCTCGTTCGTCGACCGTCCCGTGCTCGACTGAACCTCATCGGCTCGTGGCTGAGAAAATGGAAGAGAAACGGTGGCGGCGACGGCGGCAGAGAGACGGGCTGGGAAGAGGGATGGGCACGGACGACGACGACGACGACGATGGGCGCACGCTCGATGAGCATGCCAAGCGGTACAAAGGTGCGTGCCTCTCGCCCTCATCCTTCCCGTCCACCCGTTCCTCAGCGCCCCGTTCCTCGGCGCCCCGTTCCTCGACCCTGCGCATGCACATCCCTTCCGCACGTCCCTTCCCCAGACATGCAGCCTCGGCAGCCTTTCTTCTTTCCCCTCCCTCCAACTCCGCTGACTCCTGATCGCTCTAGAACACCTCCTTGCGCAAGTCTTCCGGCTTTCAGACACAACCTCCATTCATAGCCCTTCCATCCATCCTACCTCCCGCCCGCACGTCCGATGACCGGTTGCAACCCTCTCGCCTCCTCCATGAGCGCGCTCGCTATCAGTCCCGCTCCACCTTCCCTCACCTAGGCCCAAAGCTCCCAGAACGGCAGCCTGCTCTCGTTAACCGCGTCCCTCTCTGCCGTCGCCTCGCCTGCCGCTGCTCTCCCCACAATCCAGACCTCCGCTGGCCGGCCGCCTCCGAGCTCGCATGAGCCCACGATGCCCTCTCCCTCGTCGATCGCCTCGACATCTCGTTGCGCTCTCTCTCCATTGCCTCGGAGCCCCCGCTCCCGAGTCCCGTCAACATTGCGGATCAGAGCCTCGTCCACCCCGCACACGTCGCCATCCAGCTCATCGTCTAGCTTGCCAATCGCCAGCTCCCGCACACCCCGCCCTCTCTCTACGTCACAGAGGCCAACTGCCGCCGCGCCAACCTTGCCGCGTCCGGGTCCTCCCCCAGTTTCCTCCCCGCTCCGCCTCCTACGACTGCGAGCACACATTCCGCGCAGGCTACGGCTACGAGACCTTCGGCGATGCCGCCCGCGTCAACGACTGCTTCGAGTGCGGACTCAAGCATGGTGACGAGAACTTCCTCTATGTGCGTACTTGTCTCTGCGGCTTCGTCCATCCTCGACCCTCCTCTCCTCCGCAGCGCATGGGCATGGCCGATGCATTCTAACCTGAAAAGCTAGAAGGTTCAGGGTAGGACAGGGGTATGGCAGGGCTAAAGAGGCCATTAAGAGGTGAAGAAGCCACCCATGCCAATATACACGGCTGACATGACGAGCCTGTCCGCGGCTGGAGAGGCTCGTCATGTCAGCCGCGTATTGACAGGGATGAGTCCCGATACGCGGCTGACATGACGAGCCTCGCTGCGGCTGGAGAGGCTCGTCATGTCAGCCGCGTATCAGCTTGGCTGAGTCTTGATACGCGGCTGACATGACGAGCCTCGCTGCGGCTGGAGAGGCTCGTCATGTCAGCCGCGTATCAGGATTCCGCTGTGCCAACAAGCAGCTGACATGATTACTCGTCACAGCTCAGAAATTAAATTGTCACATGTAATAATTATATTTATTCAATTCTAACCTGAAAAGCTAGAAGGTTCAGGGTAGGACAGGGGTATGGCAGGGCTAAAGAGGCCATTAAGAGGTGAAGAAGCCACCCATGCTAATACACGGCTGACATGACGAGCCTGTCCGCGGCTGGAGAGGCTCGTCATGTCAGCCGCGTATTGGCAGGGCTGAGTCCTGATACATGGCTGACATGACGAGCCTCACTTAGGTTAGGTTAGGTTAGGTTAGGTTAGGTTAGGTTAGGTTAGGTTAGGTTAGGTTAGGTTAGGTTAGGTTAGGTTAGGTTAGGTTAGGTTAGGTTAGGTTAGGTTAGGTTAGGTTAGGTTAGGTTAGGTTAGGTTAG